CTGGGGCGCAGACACAACACAGCTACTAAATATTTACAAATCCTTAATCCACAGTAAATTAGATTATGGATCAATTGTATATAATTTAGCTAAGGACTCAACATGTAAAATATTAGATATTGTACAAAATACCGCACTAAGACTAGCTCTAGGAGCCTATAGAACCAGTCCAGTTGAAAATCTTTATGTCGAAGCAAATGAATCTCCACTTTCTATTAGAAGAGTCTCAGTTTACAATACGTAAGCAAGCTATCAATTAATCCAAACAACCCGGCCTACCCCTATACTTTCTCCACACATTACCATTCTAATTACAATGAAAATCCTAATCTTCGACCATCATTTAGTAAAATAATTAGCAACTTCACATTTCCGGGTATTATGCATACCAATATTGATTAAGCTTCTCCTTGGACTATACAAATTTCTTATTGTAACACAGATCTGTCAACTTATACTGATAAATAAAATAACTATACTGTCGATTTATAAAAAGTTTATTAAATAATAATTATTAGCCTGAGAAACTGAGAATATTAATTAAACATGTGTAATTGTTTTTGCATATTTTAGAACATTGACATAACCTTAAAACTTAATTCTTCTTTTCTTATATCTTGAATATTACATTAGTGCGGGAGCTTATATTAACACTCCCACTTATTCAAGATTTGAATACAAAGACCTAAGACAAAAGACATGAAATCAAAGACCTAATACAAATTAACAAATACATAATTTAAATTGACAAATTTAACTTATTCAATAAATTGTTAAAAACTGTCTTTGACAATGCTTTCATGAACAAGTCCGCTAACTGATTACTTGTATCGACATAGCTTACACAGATATTCTTGTTTTCACACTCATCTCGAACAAAGTGAACCTTAATATCAATATGCTTTGTTCTACTATGAAATTGTTATGCCTGTGTTAGCTTAATGGCAGATTGATTATCAACAAAGATGTTGACAGGTGAGACATCAATTCCAATCTCTTTTAAAAAATTTCTAAGCCATAAAGCTTCTCTAACACCAAAAGCCAAGGACACATATTCGGCCTCTGTAGTTGACTGTGCCACTATGTTTTGTTTTTGGCTCTTCCAGGTAATAGGACCATTGCCTAGTATAAATACGTATCCACTAGTAGATTTTCGTGTATCCAGGCCGCCAGCATAGTCTGCATCAGTGTAGCCTATTACCTTGATTTGTGTAGTTTTTCTGTACACAATTTTATAATAAGCAGTATATTTTAGATATCTAAAAATTCGTTTTACTGCTTTCCAATGTTCATCACTCCAAGCATTAAAGAATCTGCTCACCTGATTAACTGCAAATGTAATATCTGGGCGACTGCTGGTTGCCAAAAAGATTACTGAATCAACAGCCTCACGATATGACAAAGATTTATTACAATTTAAAATATTTCCTTTAGACAAAGGTATACTAGGCTCTGTAGGAATCTTTAATGGGTTAGCATTAGTCATATTAAATTTAACAAGAAGTTTACTATATAATTATGTTGATGAATAGCAATTGTACCTGCACTAAGATCTTGTTCAGTCTCAAGCCCAACAAAATGTAATTTAATATTTAAATTTACAGTTATTTTAAATATTTGCTTTAAAATTTCTAAAAGTTCATTAATAGCTCTTTCTGATTTTGACATGACAAGTCCATCATCAACATAAATTAATAAGTTTTAGAATTTGCAAAATTATCAACAAAAACACACTGATCACTTTTTAATTGTCTAAAGTCAAATTTATTAAGAAATGATACAAACTTCTGGTTCCAGCATCGTGGTGATTGCTTAAGTCCATATAAGCTTTAATTCAATTTACACACTAAGTTGTGTGATTTCTTACTTTCAAAACCAGTTGGCTGCTTCATTTAGACACACTCTGGTAGGTCACCATACAGGAACGCAGTCTGTACATCAAAACTAACAAGTCTTAGGTCCTTTTCCATTGCTAACGATAACAAAATCCGCCCTGAGTCATACCGCACAAACGGCGCGAAAGTGTCTTACTAGTCTATTCCACGTTCTTGCATAAAACTTCGAGCAACCAGACGTGCTTTATAACTAACAGGATTACCGTCTGAGTCAGTCTTAACACGATAAACCCACTTATTGTCTATCACTTTTGCACCATTGAGCAATTTCACCAAGTTCCATGTGTTATTAAACTTGAGGGCATCTATTTCCTCGTGCATTGCTTGTTGCCACTTGCTAGAGTCCTCACACTTTATTGCACTTTCATAACTTATGGGTTCAACTATGTCACAGTAGTTTGCTACAACATAATAGTCAGGCTTAGACAGTGTATTTCTGTTCCGTAGCTGTCATTACCATGAATTTAGAAATTTAGAAATTTAGAATTTAGAAAATATATTCGAATCATTCGGTTTTAGAACAGATTAAAAAAGACCTTGTGACTCTGCAAAATTATTATAAACAACTAAATATTGTGTGAGGATACCAGAAAATAAGATAGCTGATCAAATGGCCAACGAAGCTTGTAAAATGGAGAGATCCGATGATAGAACTAACCAAATTCCTCACTTAGAGATGAAAAATGCATCTAAGAGTACACAAAAAACTTAAGGTTACGAAGATGGCAACTCTTACAAAATAATAAATTGCGGCAAGCAAACCCAGATCTATTAGCGAAAATACCAATTTTAGTAAAGCGAAGGGACCGGGTTGTACTAGATTATATCCGAATAGGACATAATAGACTGACGCACGAACACAAGGAACCTCCTAGAATATGCTACGCCTGTGACACCAATATGAGTGTAGGCCACAGTGTTATAGACTGTCCATTATATCAAATGGAAAGACAAGCTACTGGACTACCAACAAAATTGGACAACTTAATGATTGTGACAAAATCATTAGGTTTTCAAAGAAAACGAAATTGTATAATCAAGTATAAGTGATACTTCAAGAGAAATTCTAAATTATAATCAACTTTGTAAAAACTTAATAGTTTATATTTAATATTAATCATTACAATATATTATAGTCTATATTGTACCACCACTAATAAACTTCTATGGTTGATGCAGGTTATTCCCAATAGAAAAAATTAAAAGAAATAGGCTGCATGATAAATTACTTCGAATATCTGAAAGAAATTCATACAAAAGCTTAAAAAACAGTTACATATTTCTGTTTGTTTTTCTGACTATGCATATTTATTCATATCGTGTCGATAAACAGGAAAACAGGGCAATCTGTTTATTTTAATAGTATTGTTGTTGAAAGTAAACAAATTATTTATAAACTTCGTCTGAAGGCTGATGTTTTTCAAAGTATCACGTTCTAAAACTTGTTTAAAATAGCTCAATTCTTCAATACTCTTCTAGTTTAAATCATAATGTTTTTCTATCAATTTTCTAATATAAACTGCTTTTTTTTGTTTGACTTGTAAAGTATATTTTGGTATTATTTTAGGACAAAACTGGTCCATATTTCTAGTCGATTTTGTGACTATTTATATATATTTATGTCGTGTCGATAAACAGGAAAACATGGCAATCTGTTTATTTTAATAGTATTGTTGTTGAAAGTAAACTAAGTAATTATATTATAAACTTCGTCTGAAGGCGGATGTTTTTCAAAGTATCTCGTTCTAAAACGTGTTTAAAAAAGCTTAATTCTTTAATACCCTTCCAGTTTAAATCATAATATTTTTCTAACATCAACTGTTGTTTCTTGTTTTACTTGTAAAGTAATTTTGGTATTATTTTAGGACAAAACTGGTCCACATTTCTATTCGTTTTTGTGACTATTTATATTTATTTATATCGTGTCGATAAACAGGACAATAGGGGAACCTATTTATTTTACTAGTATTGTTGTTGAAAGTAAACTAATTATCTATAAACTTCGTCTGCAGGTGAATGTTTTTCAAAGTATCTCGTTCTAAAACGTGTTTAAAATAGCTCAATTCTTCAGTACTCTTCTAGTTTAAACTATAATGTTTTTCTATCAATTTTTTAACATCCACTGCTTTTTCTAGTTTTACTTGTAAAGCAAATATTTTCCTGTTAAAACACGTATTCTAAGAGGTTTATTTATTAAGAGCGGTTTTAACATCCTATCTCCTGATGTATTCTTACAAAGTATGTAATGTTACTCGATCTTTACTTGCTTTATGTCCATTTGCAGTTTTTTCATCATTTGCGACGTAACTATGGTTAGAAATTTTTTCCAGTACAGACTCGTTTCATCAGCGCTAATTACTTGATCGGCACAACAGTCCTCATCTTCAATAATTTTCGCTAGCTTCTGTGGAAATATTTTTGCGACTCTCACGACTGTGAGAGAAAAGAAGAAGGGAAGAATATTTTAAACAAAACTGTTACAGGTGCTCATAGTGGGGAGTGCTTTCGCCTCTCGTACTAATGTAGTGGTATAAATGTCAACGAAAGACCACTAAAGAGAAGATAAATAAGGTTCATATTCATAGCAAAAGCGGTTCCCGCTACCCCAACCGCCCAACAATATAAGGATTAAGAATGAGGAGAAGGTAGGTGTATACGGAAGGTGGATAAGAGGCTAGGAACTAGGTCAAAGAATACCGAGATCAAATCTGGAAACGTAATTCAACCTAAATATAATTTCGAAAAGACATTTGTCGTCTTCTTTCCAGGAAGGGGCGAATGGGGGTTGAATAAAATGAATCTAGAAACCGATGAAGGAGTTGCAGCTGGAGTATACGGTGGAAAATAAAGCTAATCCCTAATGAAAGCATGAGTAATCAGATTACTATCTTCCAAGCGGAAATTTATGCTATAGAGATGCGTCTGCAGGAACTAAAGATGCACTGCAGGGACAGAACTATAAAAATTAAATCTGATAGCCAGACGGCATTAAAGGCACTAGAATTGACTGCAAGTTAGTTTGGAAGTGTCTTTATAATCTAGAAAGCTGTAGGCTTTCAACAAAACAACATATTTTTATCATAATATCATTTTTTTTTTTTTCAGAATCTTCGACTAACGTCCAACAGTTCATATTTTTATTATTCAATAAAGAATTCGAAATTATGGATTCCAGAAACGTTAAGAAAAGAAGATTAAATCCTAGAGATTCGGCAAATATTTTTTCTCTGGTAACATTTAGGTAAGTATTCTTTTTATTTTTATTATAAAGTAACAAAGTGAATTTTCTTTCTGAATCCATCTCGATGATACAAAAAAGGTAAACCAGAAGCCGTAGTTAAAGGGGCAAAAATATTTATTACGCGAAAATCATTTTTATGCACAAACTTTTATTTTGCAAGCAAAGTCGTGGACTGGAATCAAATCGATCGTTGAAAAAGATTAAAAACAAATCAAAAGTCAACAAAAATGTTTACCGAAAATGAAAAATTCTGTGATCAAAGTTATCAAAGACACCGTTTTGACCGTTGTCAAAATAAGTGGATCTATCTTCGTTTGCGATGGAAACTAAAGCCGAATTCTACGAAAAGCTAGCAGAAATAATTGAGAAAATACCGAAATACGACATAAAACTAACCCTGGGCGATTTAAATGCGAGAGTCGGTAGGGAAGAACATTACAAGCATATAACAGAAGGGAGACATTTACATAAAGAAAGTAACTGAAACGGGATAAAATTGACAGAATTTGCAATCGAGAATAAAATAAAGATAATCAGTACACAATTCCACCATAAAGACATATACAGAGTGGCCCAAAAGTCTGGAAACGGCTAATTATCTCGTAAATTACTAGACATAATTATACAAAATTTAAGATACGCCTATTTTGGGATACGGAGATTCCATATTTGGTATTTGCAATGTTGTCATATTTTCAGTTTCTCTTATATTACTAGTAACTTTGGTTTTTCAAATGCATCACCCTGTATATTCAGTCATTATTGGAATCTCCTATTAAATACAAGTTCAACCATATGTAACACTTATGATTTTATATAGTCTGGAAGGTCTTAAATACACAAAACAGAAGTCTGGCAACGCCTAAATTGTTTCAATACAATTTTTAATACTAACTATTTTCAAATGCATTAAAACGTAACAATTGATAGTTTAGAATATTTTTTAACATAATAGTTACGTTATTAAGTGTTTAAAATGTGCTCCATTTGTGAGTTGACAGCACTCTAATCGATGGTAGAATGTGTCTACCACATTTCTCCATGATTGTCTAAAAATTATTCGACATTAATCGATAATTCATTGCCTTAGCTATGCAAGACTTGCTGGTTAAGTTTTGTAAACTGAATTTTTCAAGTATCTCTAATAAAAATAAACTTTAGAATTGAAATCGGGTGAACGTGGAGGCCATTCAATTCTACCTTGTCTACCAATTTATCGTCCGGGAAATATCTCATCTAAATAACGCCAAACATTTACACCAACTATCTAACGTTAAATTTCTTTTGATTAAAAATGACCCAATTAAATAAGTACCTACTATAACTGACCATACATATAATTTTTGTGGTGTTTGAGTATGGTTTTCACGCATTCAGTGTGAATTTAACACGAGTTCAGCTATTCAATACGAGTTTAGCTATATATTCACTTTATTTTATGTAGTCTGAAAGATCTTAAATACATAAAACAGTGCAAAATATGTAGATTTTAATAAATTTAAATATTTAAATGGAGAATGCTATGATTTTGACATTTGTTCACCATTTAAATTATGAACTAAAATTGACAGTAGTTGTGGTTCAAAAAGTTCTGCAATTTAAATTGCTTCTCTAAAATGCCGTTCTCTAAACCGTTCTCCTATTCATAAGACGACAGTACAAAAAACTGTAAGGCGATTTGAGGAATCTGGAGAAGTAAAAGATAGATACCGATCAGGTTGACCGAAACGAGTTATCAATGACAACAAAACTTCAGATATAAGCAAAGTTTTGTTGAAGATCCACATACATCCCCAGGCAGGGTTGCACAAGTAGATGATGTAGGTCATACTTCAGTCTTACGTTTATTACGTAAAAATAAATTTAAATCATAGAAAATTTACTTATTGCAAGAATTAAGTGAAGATGACTTTGGTCGTAGATTAGAGTTTACTGAGGTAATGATTAATAGAATTGAAAATTATTAAAATTTCGTTAACAGAATATGTTTATCCGATGAAGCAACTTTTACACTGTATAAAAGTGTAAATCGACACAATTTAAGGTACTGGTGTGACGTCAATTCACACTGAAGACTGAATGCGTGAAAACCATACTCAAAGACCACAAAAAATAAATGTATGGTCAGATATAGTAGTTACTTATTCAATTGGATCATTTTTTGTCGTAAGAAATTTAACGTCAGATAGTTGGTGTAAATGTTCGGCGATATTTAGATGAGATATTTCCTGGACGATAAATTGGTAGACAAGGTAGAATTAAATGGCCTCCACGTTCACCCGTTTTCAATCCTAAAGATTATTTTTATTAGGGATACTTGATAAATTCAGTTTACAAAACTTAACCAGCAAGTCTTGCAGAGCTAAGGCAACGAATTATCAATGAATCTCGAATAATTTCTAGACAATCATGGAGAAATGTGGTAGACGCCTTCTACCATCGATTAGGGTGCTGTCAACTCACAAATTGAGCACATTTTGAACACTTAATAACGTAACTACTATGTTAAAAAATGTTCTAAACTATCAATTGTTACGTTTTAATGTATTTGAAAATAGTTAGTATTAAAAAATTTATTGAAACAATTTAGGCGTTGCCAGACTTCGGTTTTATGTATTTATGACCTTCCAGATTACATAAAATCATAAGTGTTAGATATGGTTGAACTCGTATTGAATAGGAGATTCCAATAATGACTGAATATACAGGGTGATGTATTTGAAAAACCAAAGTTACTAATAATATAAGAAAAACGGCAAATCTCTTAACATTGTAAATATCAAATATGGAATCTCCGTGTCCCAAAATAGGTGTACCTCAAATTTTGTACAATTATGATTAGCATTTTACGAGATAATTAGCCGTTTCCAGACTTTTGGGCCACTCTATAAAGTAACGGGGGTATCCCCTGATGGGTAGAGTAAAAACCAAATCGATCATTATAGGAAATAATCATGTCAGAACCAGATATTGCAGAAGTTATAGAGGTGCAGATGCCAGTAGTTATCATATATTGGTAACAGGAAAAATTAAACAAGATCTACCTAGTGGCAAAATAATAGGGAAAAAATAGGAGAATGGCATAATAGGTGAATACTAAGGAGGATTTAGAGCAGAAATATCGACAGTGGATCAAATAATTACCTTAAATTTGATACAAAATAAGAGTTACGAACTAAACCTAGGAATCCACATGCTCTTCATTGGGTATGCTTCAAGGTAAGAAGAAAAATAAAAAGGAAAGACTCTATTAAAAGGAAGTAGAGCAATAGGCTCATTAAACAATATTCTAAAAGCAAAAAATGAATGTATGGCAAAAAATTCGACTATATGAAACAGTTATTCAGCTAATGGCAGTATATGTACCTAGTATATGCAGTATATATTCGGCGCCGTACAGCCCAATACTTTCTATTATTGTTTTATAAATTCTTTTTTTATTTTCTTTTGTTATTTTTTTATTCCATAATATTCCGTGTAGCTGTCTAGTGGCTGATCTTGCTTGGCCTATCCTGGAATGTATTTCTTCGCTACTTCCTCCTTTTGATGTTATTTGAACTCCCAAGTATTTAAAATTGTCTGTTGGTTTTATAGTTACCATTTCGATTTGTAGGCTTTCTGGTTGTTCTCCTACAACTAAGTACTCAGTTTTTTGTATATTAATTGTGAGGCCCCATTTGGTGTACTCATCTTCCCGTTTTCTAAGCATGTAGCCTACATCACTCTCGTCTTCAGCTAGAATGGGTTGGTCGTCAGTGAAGTGTATCGTGTATAATCTATCATCTCTGATTGGGATACCCATATTGCAACACTTTCTTCTCCACAGTGAGAGTGCCTCATGTAGATATATTGTGAAGAGTGTAGGTGCTATGCAGCAGCCTTGCTTTAGGCTTTTACTAATAGGAATTTCTCTAGTTAATCTATTTTCAGTTTTAATGTTTGCCATCATATTTCTGTAGATCTGTTATACTGCTTGTATATTTTTTTGCTTATTCCTCGTTTTTCCATTGCTACCCAAAGCATTGAAAGTGGTACACTCTCGTATGCCTTTGTCAGATCTATAAAGACTATATGAGTTGAAAGGTTGTGGGCTAATCTTTTCGCGATAACTTGCTTTATTGAGAATATACTGTCCATACAGGATTTGCCTGCACGAATGTTATTCTGTTATTCTACATCTGTCATCTCTTTTTCAATTTTATTTTTTATTATTTTTCTATACAATCTTGAGAGTGAATTTATGACACTTAATCCCCTGTAGTTTAAACAACTCTTTCTACCTCCTTTTTTAATATGTGCTTTTGTTCACTCCGGTGGTAAGTCGTGTCCATTATAGAATAATGTGGAGCTATGTTTTAATTATTCATTTGGTATACCTTGTGGTCCGCATGACTTCCGATTTTTTAGAGTTCGTATTGCATACTCGACTTCCTGTACTGTTATTTCATCATCTTCACTGAATTCCAGTTCATATATTGTTGTACTGATGTTCGTGAAATGAGGTCTTGTTTCAGTCAAAAGTTGTGAGTAGTGTTCGATCCAAGATCCTTCTTCTATTAAATCTATTCTACTCGTTTCTTTTCTATTTGTTCTCAGATTTTTTACCGTTTTTCATGCTTTTCTTGATCTTGTTGACCCTATATATTTGTTGAGTTCTTCGCATTTACTTTCCCAGGAAATATTTTTTGCTTTAGTTACTAAATTTTTTACTTCTCTGTTTGATCTTGCATATGTTCGACTATCATCTGGATCATTTGTTTGCGGTCACTTTTTGCGGTTTTGATATGCTTGTTTCTTGTTGTGTACTGCATTGGCGATGTCATCTGTCCACCACAATGGAGTATTCCTTTTGTTCTTTTGGATTGTGCCGAGCGCTTCGTAAGCTGCTTCATTGATTTTATTGATTATTTCTTTATAGGTATTCTGGGCTGAGAAGTAGATCAGGTTTGCCAATTTTTGGCTGAGTCGCAGCTTATATAAGAATGATGTCGAGTCGTTTTGCATTGCATCAATATTGTATTTAGGTAGATTCGATTCCAGGGTTTTGATTGAGCTAGTTGGTTGTCATTTTGATGTAGTAGCCGAGGTCGATACTGTAGGTAACATTTTGATCTTACCATATAGTGGTCAGTTCCACACTTCGGTGCTCTTAATACTAATATGTCTTCAACTTGTATGTGTGTTTCTTATTTTGTGATGACATAATCTATAATTAACTTTGTGTTTCTCATTGGTTGAACCCAGCTGTACTTATGTATGTTTTTACGTTGGTAGAATCCGTTAAAGATTTTCAGAGAGTGCTGTCTACAGAATTCGATTGTGTGTTCCCCATTTTCATTTGTTTTTGTTCCTGTCCAAGCGTTAAAATCTCCCAACAACAATTTATTTGCGGCTAGTTATATTTTCAATGAGTTCCGATAAAGTTTCGTAGAATATTTGTTTAGCTGCTTTTGATGCATTTTCTGACGGAGCATATATTCCAATGATCTCGAGGTCGTGCCCTTTCTACGTAATAGATACTCTAATAATTCTCTCATTGATCTGCTCCCAGCTTTTTAGGTTTCCTTTTAAGTATTTTTTTATCAATATTGATACCCTGCTTGTGCTCTTTTGTCTTTCTCTACTCCACTATAAATATGTATAAAACCTCCTATGTCTTCACTACCTTGGCCTTTTTTCTTTGTTTTGGTAAGAACCGTGATATCTGATTTTATTTTCTTTACCTCTGCCATCTATACGATACAAGCTTAAATTTTCGTATTAATACTTCGATCCAATTAATATCGAATATTATTAGATTGTAAACTTATGCAGATCTGGTTCAAATTTAGTACTAAAGTCTAACAAAATTTGAAAAATTTAAACTTTTTTTTTAAGCTACATAACAGATCTTTTAAAACGAGGTTTACACAAAAATTTTGAAGAAGGTGACCTATATGAAGTGTCAAAAGATTGTGCATCCAAACATTGTACCGAGCAAGTCGACAAGGAATGGAAAAAGGGACAAAAAGATGGAAAATATCCTTCTCTTTTTGTAACCTTGTGTAAAGTTTTTGGATGGAAATATTTTCTTTGGGGAATCACTCAATTATGTTGTGAATTATTCAGAAGGTAAGGCTTATATTCATTTAAATTTGATTCTTAAAATACCATGCTGAAACATTTTGTAGTCTTAAATAACATAGTTAAATACTTATCATATAACATTTATAAAACATATATTTAATAATATAAATTAAATATTGTACTATATTTCGCTAATTTTGTTATTCAAATATGGGTTCATAGGAAATGTGGTCACCTTCCGATTCCCAATTTCCATAGTTTTCGATCCATACAGACGCTTTCTCCGTCTCTCTCTCTCTCTCTCTCTCTCTCTCTCTCTCTCTCTCTCTTTCTTTCTCTCTCTCTTCTCCCCTCTCTTTCTCTCTCATATTCTTTTTTATTCATAGCATTGGCTATTTTTTATCTTTTAATGATTAAGTTCGTTGCGCGACATCCTATTTCTATCCTTTTGGGATACTAATTTTAGTTTAAGCCTAGACTTAATAACACTATTCAATAAGATATATGACACAGGTAAAATACCAACAGCCTGGCTAAAATGCAACATTCGTAGCATTACCAAAAAAATCGAATTGCTCATAATGCGATGATTATCCAATATTAAGCTTGATGTCTCATGTCCTTTAAACTTTTCTCAGAATTATCCATACACGAATTTACAAGAATTGCGAGTTCCAAATGAGTGACACTCAATTCGGATTTCGAAACGGATTGGGAACACGAGAGGCTCTTTTTGCTTATGTGTTATGTGTTAACGCAACAATGCAGAGACATGAATGTAGATGTATATGCATGTTTTATTGACTATCGAGAAGCATTTGACTGCGTTAACCATAAAAAGATGATTGAAATTCTGAGAACAACCGGAGTTGACGAACAAGGCTTGCGAATTATCTCAGAACTATACTGGCACCAAACGGCAACAATTGAAATAGAGCACACAACAACCGAAGATATACAAATCCGACGAGGAGTGAGACAGGGTTGCGTCTTATCACCTCTACTGTTTAATTTGTATTCGGAGTCTATATTTAGAAAAGCATTAGACAAGGTCCAAGATGGAATTAAGATCAGATATGCTGATAATACCGTCTTGATAGCAAGTGACGCACAAGAACTATAAAATATAATAAATGCACGACTAAATCGTGAACTATCACGACAGCGAAATGTTTGGTTTGCATCTAAACGTTTCCAAAACTAAAACTTTGGTATTTTCAGAGACACCAATAAACGTACATGTGTATGCCAAAGGTCAAATAACAGAACAGGTATATTCCATTAAATATTTGCGAGTAAATATCAATAGTCAGTGTAAACCAAAAAAAGAAATCCTATCAAGAATCAAACAAGCAAGAAAAAGATTCATGAGCATGAAAACATTTTTTACAAGATCAGACCTTAGTCTGCAGCTTAGAATCCGAATGGTCAGATGTTACGTTTTTTCTGTCTTATTGTATGGCCGTGAAAGTTGGACAATAGACTCTGAAATAGTAAAAAGAATAGATGCCTTAAAGATGTATATATCCAGATGAATGTTGAAAATTCCATGGGTACAAAGAGTTACTAATGTTGAGGTACAATACTTTTGTCATGTGTTGAGAGTCGAGAGATATGAATTACTTCAAGTTATACTGGAAGGAAAAGTACAGGGCAAAAGATCAGTAGGAAGACGCCAAAACTCGTGGCTGGAAGACCTGAGGAGATGGTTCGACCTCTCATCCGCAGAAATCTTTCGCGCAGCATTTTCCAAAACTACAATTTCCATTTTAATCGCCAACCTTCGAAAGGAGACGATGCCATGAGAAGATAATTTTGAAAATGTATAATGCTTTGCTTGTTAAACTGTTTATTCGGGCTGTTAGGCCGTTGTCTTCTGAGATTAGTTCTCGACGTTTCACCAACCCTAGGGGTTGGCATCTTCTGGAGATGTTACTGCTATGCTTTTAAGCTGAAACTGGTGCCGTGTTGAACTACGGAGGCCATACTTATATTTTCTATTTGCCTCCCCTCCACTGTTTTCGGCGTGAAGGGGCGTGTCGTCGTTCGTTGCTTTTCTTTTTTCATGTTTTGCGGAAAGGGTGTTTGTGGATTTCAATATTGGTATCCATGTTTTGTTCATTTTTAGTCCTTCTTCTATCCGATTAAAATTATTTGAATGCGTATCTATTTCCACCGCTTCCCGATATAACCGTGGGTAGTACTGGGATGTTTTGTGCAGCATCTGCATTTCTTCAAACAGTATCCGATGTTCTCCGCTTCCCAAAGCGTGTTCGGCAACGGCAGATTTGTCGATATGTCCTAAACGACAATGGCTTTTATGTTCGTTTATTCTTGTGTTTGTGTATCTTTTCGTTATTCCCACATATACCATACCACATATGCATGGTATTCAGTATACTTCGGCCATTGCTAATGGGTCGCGTTGTACTTCAATGATCCTGGTCAGTCCTTGATTTTTTTTGTAGGCTTGAAAATGGTCTTTACATTGGCTTTTTAAGTATTCGCCCAATTCTGTCTGTTACTCCCGATATATAGGGCAAGAACTCTTTGCCTATACATACTGTTTCTTTATTTTTTCTTCCAGAAACGTTGCTAATTGCTTTATGTATTTCTCTTTTCGTATAACCAGAAAAAAAAAATAGTAAACAAGAAAAACATTTCTAATGTCAAAACGCTGCTTGAATTGCATTTTGGTTCTAATTGGCAATCTAATCGATGCTAAAAGGTTTACGTCAATTTTATCCTACTTTTGAATGATGCAGTGAAATTGGTGCTGAAGTGAAAATAGATTTATGAAATGAAATCATTGTATGATATATTTTAACTGACCCCTTAATTATTTGTTATTACTTAAAAATTAACGCAAACGCAGAAAATCAATCATCTGAGACGCAAAATAAAAAAGTCTAACTTTTATAAGCAAAACAGATAAAATCCATTTTTAAAATAATAATAAAGCCTCTTTGACATTTTTTGAGAATGTAAGATTTCCACAAACGAATTGACTATAGCCATATTGACTAAATAGTAGAAATTTCTGAACCACCATTTGGCAGATCTTTGTCCAATGGAATATCTTTACAGCTTTAGGACATGACACATTTGTTGTGGAGTAATCTTTATTTTTATAACTGACAAAATCTATATCTCGTGGAGAGAAACAGTTGCTCAAGATATTGACTGGTTTATTATCCACCCACTTTATTGCAGCTACTCTTTGTTTTGTACTGTAGCATTTACAAATCGGTTGATTTATAAATTCTTTGAAATATATTAAAATCCCCTCGTATATGTATTAAATTGAAATCCCGTCATATATGTATTAAAATAACGAATATTCTTTCCCCATGTTTCTTACCCAAATAATATTTCGTTCTTTTCAGCGTCGCCAAGTAATAAAAACCGTTTTAGAGTTGTTTATTTATTTCGTGGCTGCGTATTTTCCAGTCGATAATTCTTTGATTTAAGCTGCCCAATGTACTAGGTTTTCAAATTAATAATCTACGTCTTAATTTTCGTTGTGTTTTGTTTATTTCAAGTGCTTTGTTTATTCTAACTTATATGAATTAATTTTGAGGATAATTAGATTACTCTCGGTAAAGTCGGCCGCTGATCAAGGCGTGTTCAGTTTTGTTGGAGTCCAAATTTATTTTCAAATTCGAAATCTTTTCGTTTTCCTTTTCTTGTCATGGAAATGTAGCATGAAGTGACAGTAGCAGTTAGATACTTGGTATTGAGCAGTTTTACATTAGTTTTTGAAGATGGCCTCATGTTGTCATTGTGCTGTGCCTGTTCCAGTCTTTGAAGGAGACGAGGTTGTGTTCCAGCCGGTGCTGGCTTCTGCCCTTATCTTCTTATCCGTGGTCGTCATCCCGGATCTGCCCCCAGTATAATTCCAGCATGATTCCAGTTCCCGACCCCAGACATGCAGAGTGAAGTTTAGTGAGGTTCAGGTAACTTTTTCTGTGTCTAAAATTTAAAGTCAATATAGACATTAAAAAACTGCTTTCATTGTTTAAAAAGATATTTTTTTTTATTTGTAATAATTTTTATATTTGTCGCAGTTTATACCTCAGTAAAATTTTTGTAGCATCTCCTGAGTTTGTAAATCAGTAGTACACATGTAAGTTTTCTTTATTATTTTGGTAAGAATCTCTGTAGCTAATATAGCATTTTTTTGTGCTGTCTGTATTTGTGTAACTGTTTGAGGTATGATACAACAATAAATGTTAAATTTTGTTTCGTAACATTTTGTCTATTTTTTTTAAATTAATCCTTTTTTTTTAATAGTATCCCAAGTTATCGTTACAAAAATGTCGCCCAGACATGTTTTGATTTTTTTATAATTATTTCCCTGGTTACAACTAGTGGTTGTAACAGGTATAATTAGGCACCTCAAAGTGCCCCCTATATTAAATTACTAGAGGTGTTTCCTGTTTCTTTTTGTTTTGTTTGACCCAAGAAATTCATGACTCTTTTTTTCATATTTTTGTAGCTGCCCCAATCCAACACTTTTATATTTTACTTATCCACGACCCCAGCTCTCTTAACAAACCCTGAGTGCCGTTCGCACAAGTAGCGTTTATTTTGCTTGCCCTATCTTTATCCCCATAATCTTACCCTGAGGTAGGCAAAATATCATTCGTTACAGTACTAAACAAATTCCCCATGGCACATCTTCGTTTTACTTTTATACATATGAGGTAATCCCGTAAGAGGAAAGGATGTAAAGAAATTATCAAAGGCTATCAAATATCCCTTAAGGTCCTTCCTAAATATCCCGTTCGCAAGGTTAATAACAACATTTTCACCTAGGTTTTTGCTCCGTCAACATCTGCTGACTTTCCAGTGTAAATATGGAATTTATATATATATATATATATATATATATATATATATATATATATATATATATATATATATATATATATATATTTATATATAGCCTGTAACTAAGTCTGCCAAACACCATATTTTATAGCCTCGTTTGACAGGCTTCATGGGCATGTATTGTTTGAGTGATGATCTCCCTTGAACGCTATTATCGATTAATCAAAAGCTAAGTAAAATGAGTTATACGTAGATTGGATTGAACTGTTTAGTTTTTCCATAAGTGGTCTCACTTTACGCAGTTTGTCATATCCAGGTTTTCCTCGAGGCACTACATTTTCATTGTTATTTATGTGTAAATTTTCAGTAAATTTTTTTGTATCTCTTAGATGCAAATAATTGTGAAACTGCGGATATACCTAAATATGGATCAGTAGACCAGTAATTGGAAAGATGAGGAAGTGTACGTATTCACATTATAATCATTACTCCAATTGGAACCTTTACTCTGGATTTGTATCTTGCCAATTATTAAAAGGACCGGGTTGATTTGTCTTATTAGCCCTTCTAGGCAAATTTTGCTTTGCGTGTAGATGATTCTGATAAACTATCAAGTCAAGAATATTTAACTCAAAAATTTTCGTAAAATAACCAATTTTTTTATCCTTCATATTAAAATCGAATGCAGAATTGGCATTTTTAGAAAAATTAAGTGCAAGGTTGTCAAAAAATATGTGTTTTAACCGCACAAAAAAACCGTCAAAACAGCATATATTCAAAGATTAGAATGAATGTTAATGTTAATATCTGTATCTCAAATTCAGAGTAATTTTTATACGATGTACACTGCCTGTAGATATGATATTATATGGTGGAAATTATACTGCTCACTACCTATGAAAATGTTAATTGATATTGTGCTTTCACGACCGTTTTTGTCAAAATATTTTCCTTATTTACCATTTGGTAAAAGCAATATTTTACAAACGGAGCCTGTACATTGAGATCATGTAATTGTTGAATAAATTGATCTGTTTAATATCTTATCTTATTAATGTTTAATATCCGTTTAATATCCTTAGTCTCTTAGCTAATGGAAATGAGAGAATTTATAATGCATTAGTAAAATTTCTGTCAGGTACCAAAATAGTCTTTTAGTGACAACTATAAAAAAATATATGTATATACAAACTTGTGGTGAGCAACTTGGACAGTCCATAGCAAAGCAGCTGTCGAATTGAGTAGATAGCTGCTCAAGAGTTTGCTATGGAACTCTGAGAACCTCATCATCTTGTTTATATGTAAATATAGATAAAAGTGAGATAATACAAAAAAAAAATTAGTATTTTGAATTATATTATGTGTACCATTTTTTGAACACACTGATGATGTTAAAAAGATGCTACATATTAAACTTTTATCCTATTTTATTTTTAGCTCTTAAAGTATATTATTCAGCTCTTCGTTATTGATATTTTATGGATCTTACGGTAATAAAATTCTTATGTTTAAGGTAGTAGTCATGTTGTAACTGGCTGATTGACACCTAGTCTATGCCACTAAAAAAAAAAAAAAAAAAAAAAAAAATATTTTACAATATTGGTTATATATTTTAAGAATAACTTGGAAATATATTATAATTAAGACCTTTAATTTTTCTTTTCTTCTAAAGAAAAAACATTCACATTCTTTCTATTTTTAGCATTTTTGAACCAAACGCCGTAGGAAACTTGGTTTCCTATTTTCAACCAGGCCAAACAAAACTATCCAAATCTGATGCTTATTTAAACGCTGCCATCATACTTTTCTCAACCTTTTTGCAGAAAATATACTTTTTCAACTACGATCTCTTCCTGTTTATAATGGGTATACAAGTCAGAACAGCCTTGTGTTCACTTTTGTTCAGAAAAGTTCTCAAGCTCAGTCCTGCGGCGATGTCTAAAGCCAGCTTGGGAAATATTGTGACGTTGATAACCAAAGATGTTCAGCAAATCAGAAGATCTATGTTTGCTTTTAATGATATTTGGGTATTTACTATAGTTATTATGGTGACGTGTTATTTACTATATGCTCGGCTTGGTGTCCTAGTGTTTTTTGCAGTGGGTTTGCACTTCTGCATTATTCCCATAGAATGTAAGTATATTCTTAAATATTCAATGCTATATACATACATTTCCTCGACTTTTAGCCCTGTATAAAAAGTTTTAAATGTTCATAAATATAAAAGATATGAAAAATATTAAACAGGGACACTGTTAGCTATTTGTGTAAATATATTTTTTTTATTTACAAACATTGTCGCATCAACCTCTGAGGTTATTAGCGACATATGTACATATACATGAGATAATTGACTTATAAATATTAAATTTTGTTAAGTATATTAATTTCTTTTAATGAATTTTATCAATTGTTCAATTTTACATTTTTCTCCCAAGATTTCACTTGTTGATCTAATGATGTGGTTGGTTTGCCTTTGCAACAGATCTCTTGGAGACTCTACAAGGACATGCTTAACACTGAGTGGAATATTACAATTGTCATATAAAGTAGGATTCGTGTGACCGATTATATGCCCGTGGGTAAGTCGGGTATGTTGATTGAAGCTATTAATATGTATCCAGGGATTTGGTCACAGTTTTTTAATTGTAGATCGTCTGCAATATGTGTTCCTTGAACAGTAACTACGTCAATTTTGTTTTTTGCCAGTAGCTTGCTAAGATATCGCTCTTGCTTAGGCTGATGCCTTCAATATTTATTTGGCATACTCGAATTGTTGGTCCGACTGTCAACTGGCTCTGACAAGATCCATCATTGCAATGTGTTTGCCAGGAGATCTACGAGGGACAGGCCTGGCGGTTCTATTGTTGCTAGTTCATTTAGCGTTACCCAGGGTGCACGTGTAGTATTCTACTATGGACGCGAACTAGCTTTACACCCCATTATAGTGCGCGCAAGCACTCTTGACCATGGAGCGGTGCGAAGGCGGAGTCAAATTCACGTAAAGGCAGAAAGGTTCTATTGTAAATGGAATTATACAGTGCATAGTACAATGCGTTTCACACGGAAGTGGTGACTAAACCAAATTTCATCTACTGCGCCGTGGTCAAGAGTGCTTGCGCGCACTCTACCGAAGTTAATATGAGTGAGAGATTCGTAGATGGCATATAGCTCGCCGGTATGTTTGCAGCTTAAGGATGGTAGTTCATAGTTAAGTGTAATATTTGAAGTAACTACAGCTGCTCGAACTCCAGTAGATGTTTTGGAGGCATCTGTGTAAGTTAGAAAATTTTGTTTTTTTATGAAGGTATTTTTTATTAAGTAGTAGGAAATATCGTTCTTTCTAAAGAATTTGTAAAACCTTAAGAGTTTGTGTAACTCTTTCGTAGAATGGTGGTTTTACATTCCTATTTTCAGTATATAAGTTTTTAAAACCATCAGTGAATATGTTGTATCTAGTTGGATTGTTAGAATTAGCGGCATATGTGAGAGTTAAATGTATCCTTCTATATTTAAGTGGTGCTTCCTTAGTTTCTGCTCTCAAACTTTCTGTTGGGCTGGTCCAGAATGTTCCTATGGCTATTCCGTAGTTTGAGTAACGTCAAGGTGATATAATAGATTCTTTGGCAGGTGCATATACTATGGAACCGTAATCTATTTTGGATCTTATTAGGGTTTTATAAACATGAATTGAGCAGTTCTAGTCCGCTCCAGTTATAGTCCACTCTAAACTGGAAAAATATTTATTAACACCAGATCATCTGCATATAATCTGACAGAAACCAAGCTAGATTTTGATGTCTCATTGAAGATGTGCATAGGTTTTGTAAATAAAATATTAAGATAATTGATTTATATTTCAGATTTTGTTGGTAAACTGATGACTAAAATGCGCAACGAAACAAGTGAGATGACTGACGAGAGGCTACAAGTTAGTCAGGAAGTATTATCTGCAACGAAAATTATTAAAATGTATACATGGGAAGATTACTTCTACCAGAAAATTAACGTGGTTAGAACGTACGTTTTAAATATTTTTATTTTTTTCATTGTTTATTTTCTTAAAAATCACGCAGGGGGTAAACCACCCAATTATTGGCACTTTAAGGAAAAGAGTTGTTTAAACATTAGATTTGCTAATATAGGTAACATCATAGGGGGATATTTTGATTTTTTTATAATTTACTATTATTACTGAACACAAATTAAATATCATTTTATTATAGATATTGAAGAAAATAATGCAAAAATAGTTTAGTTAAAATAGTTTAGTATAATTGGCATAACTTTTTTATCAAAATATTGATTGAGCATTGAAAACAAAACTAAAACATACGTACGTACTTACGTACAAACAAAGTGTCATTTATTTATATATTTTGTAAAAACAAATTTTATAAGAGCAATATTCTTTATTCAAGTTGTTTCAAAGAAGTTTTACAAAAAAAATATTCTTTATATAAATCATATTGTTCAAGACATCCCTTGTGAAATGTTCTGGAACACTTCTGGCTTTTAACTCCACACCTAATCATGGAAAAATTTCCAGTTCATGTAAAGCATATTATTTTTAGGTGGTGAGCAGAGTTCTAGAACTTCTGGATCAAATCCTAATACTGACAGATTTCTAACGTGCTTTTAAAATTAACCTATTTCCGTATTTTTTTCATGGGCATGTCGATCATCTTCTATATTTAAAGGCTTGTTTACTTTTAAGCTTTATAAAATACTAGATTTCTGCTGAAACAAAGATATTTCTTTGAGTACCTTAATCTTAGTATTTCGTTTAACACTTTTTACTTTCAAAGATTTTTTTTTACTTTTCAGAAATTCAAATCATGAATTTGTTGCTTGTGTGAGTCCATTTCAAATAGGTAAAGAAATAATAAATCAGACTTACTCACAATCAATTTAATTTAACTATCCGACGACCGGTTTCGCTTTCTACAATATGCAAAGCATCTTCAGGTCTCGGTACAAAGTTAACTTTGTACCGAGACCTGAAGATGCTTTGCATGCTTTGCAACATCGCATGTTGCAAAAATCGGTCAAATTGATTGATTCTGTTGTAGTTTCGCCAAATTTATCTACGGTACATTTTTTACCTAAGCGTTTGCTGTAGTCAATACTATCCGCATTCCTAGGACAGAGACCACACACACTAAAACCACTCAAGATAGCCGATGGTTTAAGAGTTCTACTGCTTCTTTTAAAATTGGAGCAAAGTTACTCTTACTTAGTTGTTCAAATGGATTTTTTCTCTTCCAATTCAACAAAGTTCTTTTGCACGCATTTTTAAGTGGTTTAAAACTAGAGATGTCGGCGGGTTGAAGAATTCTAGTGGCATTTGGATGTAATGCTACGAAGATTATTTCGAGTTCTGTACATAGTTGACTTAGTTGGTATATTAAATGTGTTGTGTGCCCTTCTACAAACATTATAATTGGAAATGTAACAGGTTATTTTACTCAATAATGATATAATATCGTAGATATATAATCATGAAAAACATCTGCTTGAATCCAACTTTTTTCAATAGTAGCAATACCCCACCCATCTGGAACACCTTCTGCGATGGTTTTGGCTAATCTTTTATAATCATGAACGATCATCGGTGGCGTTGTAACTCCTGCAGAAGAAAATATGAACATGACGGTAATGTTTGTTTTCGATGTTCCTTGCTCTATCTGATAAATATTTTTGGCACCTTTTGGTACAAGAACCCTATCTGCTTTCGGACAAAGGATAAAATAAGTTTCATCTCCGTTGTAAACTCTGGTAGGATCAGAAAGAATGTCAAAATAGTTCTCTTTCATTAAATGTTCTTGTATATTATTAAACCACTTTCTGATATCATTACCTGACACGTTTCCACTGGCACTGTTTACAGCTACAGGAATTAAATTTGTTAAATAAGGGTGTCTTATTAAAAACGATTGATATCAATGATCCCCAGAAAGATTGTTTTTAAATGGATTTGGTCGGGGGTTACGATTCAAAAATGACCTAACACAAGTTTGGATGTCCTCTTTTGTTCTCGAAAACCCATTTCTGTGACAATCTACTACCCATTTTTCAAATAAAGTTTTTTCTGAAATACTTAAATAAGTTTGGTTCATGTGGTACTTTTTTAAATTTTTCGCTTAGTCTAAATTGCAGAGTAGGTCTGGGTATCCCATATTTAACTGCTGACGTCGCCTTTGGCACGCCATTATTTATTTCCCGTAAAGCTTCTTGAAGAATTTCTTCATTATAATGTTTTTATATTATACCTAGGTAAAGAAATAATAAATAAGACTTACTCACAATCAATTTAATTAAACTCAGACGACCGGTTTCGCTTTCTACAATATGCAAAGCATCTTCAGGTCTCGATACAAAGTTAAATAAATGCTGAAATGATAAAAACCCATGTGAGGGTGTTGTCTAATAAAGATAAACAAATTAGATGGTGTAAATTACAATAATTATGCCAATATTACATGTCTGTGGTTTTATTTCAAAATGAGTAAGTTGAATAAAAAGGTATAAAAAGTTTTAAAAGTTTAAACAGACAAGGTAAGGCCCACAAATTGTTATAAAATAGTCTATTAGATAAATTAATAAATGAGCAAATAAATAAACATTACTTACATGCCGGTACTCTATTAATTGATGGATGTTAGAACATGGTTAAAACCACATCTACCACGTTGAAAAACACGATTATCGGTTATAAGAGTTATACCAGTTTTTTATACCGCGAAGGGTACAATGAAATCTAGAGATTAACCTGATATATCATTCTAGTTATTACAGCCAATATTACAATTATATAAACTTACCTATCATCTAACACCGATGATGCCTTACTGAAATCAGATAAAATGAAAGGATAACTTAACCTCAAACCTTCACTCTCGAATAGTTGGCGAGATAATAACGATTATAGCAGAGAACTAACGACCACAGTGTTCGTAGTTCTCTGATTGTAGTATCCTACGCCCTACTATAAATAATACATGTTGTCAGATCATTATAAAAGTGGAAGTAAGTACTTACAGTTAATTGCTCCTTAATTATTTAAAAATAAAGTGTCCGCTGCCAATAATTGGGCTAGTGCCAACAATTGGGTGGTTTACCCTATATTAATGCATTATACTATTTTAACCTATTCCTTTAAGGATTTTAATTATCAAGAAATAATAATTCGATTAACACAATTTCCGATTCATTTTTTAGGAAAGAGGTAGCAAAAATGATAATAGTTTTTTATCTTCGTATGATACTATTGCTCTTGGGTGTTATCTCAACCAAAGTGGGCTACTATTTAATTATTATGGGTTACATTTGGATGGAACAACCCCCAGATGCCTCTGTGATCTTCTTTATAACTGTCCATTATGAAAACATCGTATTATTTTTTGGATTTCTTCTTCCAAATTCTGTAGGAACATTTGCAGAATTTTCTGTGGTTATTAAAAGGATCAATAGGGTACTGATAGCCGAAGAACTAAAGCAAGAAGATCAAAGTAAACTAAATAATGTTAAACCATATGTAGAGTTGAAAAACGTTACGGTATGTATTGGGAAAGAAGAAGTTTTATCAAACGTTAGTTTTAAGGCTGATTCTGGACTAACCTTGGTAACCGGAAAAGTAGGATCTAGTAAGAGCACCCTACTTAAATCAATATTAAAAGAGTACCCTTTAAGTAATGGTGATGTTGTCTGTAATGGAACTGTTTCATATGCTTCTCAAGATTCGTGGTGTTTTCCAAGTACTATTAAGCAAAATATTTTATTTGGTGAGGAGTACAGTGAAAAGAGGTAAATATTTGAATTAGAATTATTGGGACTTTCTTCCTTCTGATCTTAAAAGAAGTAAAGAGGCCCTTCCAAACACTAACAAAAAGGATGAAAAATCATCATCATCATCATCAGTGGCATTACAGCTCATTATGAGCCAAAGCCTTCTTCAGAACAATCTTTCATTCGTCCCTGTATCTGGCAACTCTTCTCGATGCTTTAACTCCGATGGAATTTAGATCATCCTCTATGTTATCTTGATACCTAAGTTTTGGTCTTCCTCTGGATCGTCTTCCCACTGGTCTTGTTCGGTCGAAAATTTTTCTGAATCATTGCATCTTCATCTCGCCTAATTACATCGTTCTATCGTCCTATCCCTTGAAGGCGTGCTAATTTAATACATTTTACAATGTCAGGTTCCCCAAAATTTCTGTATAACTCAAAATTGTAGCGCCTACGCCACGAACCCTGTTTTGGACTCCTCCATATATTTTCCTTAGAATTTTTCTCTCGAAACGTTTAAGTAGTTCTTGGTTGTTCTGTGTAAGTGACCGCGTTTTTGAACCGTATGTTAACACTGGCCTTATTATTGTTTTATATATGGTAATTTTAATTTTTTTGGGTAGTTTTGGGGTCATCTGTTTCCTCAAGCCATAATAGTACTTATTGGCAAGCACTATTCTTCTTTTTATTTCTTCGCTGACATTATTGTCTTTGGTCAGCAGCGAGCCCAGGTAGACAAAGGTGTCCACACCTTCCAGTTCCAGATCATCTATTAATAGTCTAGGTATCTGGTTGCCTAATCTAGTACAATACATATACTTGGTTTTGTGTGCGTTTATTTTTAATCCCATTCTCAGTGCAGACACCCTTAATGACCGAAATGCTTCGATCAGAGATTCTGTGGACCTAACAATAATGTCTATGTCATCCGCATATCCGACTACTTGTACAGATTTATTAAAGATGATACCATTCGTATTAACCCATTCATGCCCAGAATTCCCTAGTGATTTTTTTTGTGTAATATTTTAGTCACGGAACTTCTATGGTACTTTAAATGTAAAAATGGTATTAAAAATCATATCATTATCTAAGTGCCAAAATGGCAGCCTGGCAACTCTAGTTGCCACTGGGATAAAGCGGTGTAAATATAAGAATAATAAAAAACATTAGTAATTATAGTATTTATTTATTAAATGCTGTTATAACATCAATTTTAAGTGTGAAACACTTTAAAACAGTTGTCAGGGTGTAAGGCAATATCACATTTAATACAAAAATAGGATGTACGATTGCCACAGATCTTACAATGACGATACTTGGACGCACCTTTCTGAATAATATGATCAGTGTGGTCTTTTCTGAGTTCTTGAAGTACAGGTGAAAAATTCAATGACGTTTTGACTCCAAGTATTTTTGGAAGGGTACCAAATGATTTTAAAAGGTACACTGTGCATTGGCGCCTAAAGTTCAACAATGATATGTCATAACCAAGTCGGCGATATAAAAGCCAACCTTGTACACATGCGACATCTACAGCCCATGAAAAAAAGGCCACCACCATTTTTTTGATCTAATTCGGTACCGGTAAGAAGCCACGAATTGATCCATTATTTTAACGCCTACCATGTTGCTGTTGTACCGTTCAATAGGACCTGGAATATCGATTGTAATCTTTTTCTTTTCTGCACGAGAATATCTATTAGCCTTTTTCATCGGATAGACTTTGTCACAATTGGTAAGCATTGTGACAACGTTATTATCATTCCAGCGAACTAGCAAAAGATCACCAGACGAAGAAGTAGCCAAGTCACCTCTTTGTTTTTTTTCCACGCACTTTTTTCTGGAAGTTTCATTGCGGCATTACATCGATTTTCACGTAATGTTCCGGTACCTCAAATTTCTCTGAAACTCAATTCTTGCAACAATGCAACCGACGTAAAAAGATTATCAAAATAAAGTCTATTTCCTTTCTTCAATTGCACGTGATCAATTAAACCTAGAACAACATCACCACCTTGTCCTAGACCAGTTTGAGGAAGGCGTGTGGAAGAGCCACAATACGGTTCAACATGGTGGATGTAACCCGAAGGATCGGCAGCTACCCACAGTTTGTACCCAAATCTAATGGGTTTGCCCCTTATAAATTGTTTACTTCCATGTCTCCCGTAATAAGGAATCATACTCTTATCGATGCTTACAGTGGGACCAGGAGTAATTTGCTTGAATGCAGAATTTAGCATATTAAACAAAGGGCGAATTTTATACATTCGATCAGTACCGTCATTGGACTGATTGTCGGCGAGATGAATAAAACTCATAAGTTCATCGAAACGATTTCGTCTCATTGCATTTGAGACTATTGATGTGTGAACCTCATCGTCTACGGTCCAGTAAAGCCGTCTGCAAGGCAGTGGGTGATATCCCGATAAGAGCATAACCCCAACAAACGTTAAAATTTCTGCCGAAGTAGCGTTAAGGTTGTGTACTAATTTTTGCCCTGCATTACTTGTGTAAAATAACACCTAAATGCGTCAATCGGGCTCTTAATTGTTTCTTTCAAAAGATCCTTTACATTAGGACAGTATTCGACATCTGGTTCAGGAACCTTTGAAGTAAATTCAAAAATATTTGATTTCCATGTAGTTGGATTTAAACGTGGCCGTTTGGCAGATTTAGGACATTTGGAAGCAGATGGTTGAGAAATACGAATCTGCCGAGAGGTACTCGGTTGGGAAACATTTTCGGTATCATCAGCAGCTTCAATTTCATGACTGTACTTCACACTTACTTGAGAGCGCAGGATACGAGCTGGAAGATGGTTGGTATCGCCAGCCACTTCTTCATCCGAGAAATCGGAATCCTTGTCTGTGTCTGCGTCTGGAGGTTCTTCAGGTGGACAAATCGATATATACTCAGGCATTTCATTATCTTCTTTGAGAGCTTCAAGAAGTTCGTGAAAAAGTAACCCCTTGCCATCTCTTCCTCGTACATACCTGAAAATATCACATGATAATCCATATTTCCAGTGGCAACTCAAGTTGCCATGCATTTTTACATATGTATATTGAAAAAAGTAAATGACTGACGAATAACAATTATTGTTAAAAATGACGACAAAAGCTTTCTATTGAAGACAATAAATCATTTTTTTAAAAAATACATTTATATATTTGTATACTTACATAGAACTGTCGGCGGCCATGAATATAATTATACACGTACAACGCCACTATGCACACTATCTATACTAACTAATTGAATGATAGATACAAATTGTCGCTTTGCGGAATTTGTTAGCCGATAACCCCTTCCATCTAATTTAACTGCACTCTGCGAATAAGAATGTCGGAGAGGGGAGAGGGAGACATTCATAGGCGTGGCAACTGTAGTTGCCAACGGGCATGAATGGGTTAATATGGCACTCTTGAATGACTTTTTCTAGTGCAAGCTTGAATAAAATACACGACAGTCCATCTCCCTGTCTCAGTCCATTTTTACAATGGAAGGGTCTTGAAAAGTCGTTTTGGATTCTGACTACACTCTCTACGCCTGTAAGTGTAAGTTCCGTTAGTTAAACAAGATGAAGTGGCATTTGAAATTCCAACATAGCCTGTAGAAGTTTTTGTGTGTTGACTGAGTCATATGCGGCTTTGAAATCCAGGAATATGTAACGGGTGTCGACCCCGACAATACTTTATATGCCACATTAAGTAGGATGATGCCTCTATAATTATCACACACCATCATATCTCCTGTTTTGTGAAGAGGGTGCATTACACCTAATTTCCAGTCTGTGGGCGTTTCCTTCCGTAGCAAGATTTCGGTTACCAATTTATGCATGTATTTAAAAAGGGTGTCAGCACCATTTTTAAAGAGTTCGGCAGGAATACTGTCCAAACCAGGGGCTTTATTATTTTTCAGTTTTGAAATGACTTCTTTAATTTCCTCTTCGGTGGGGGGCGGCTCTTGAGCGTTTTCATCCATTTCAGACAAGGTAATTTCTATTTGGTCTTCTTCATGACTGTCGCTAAGCATTTCTTCAAAATGATTCGCCCACCTGTTTAGTAAATATTTTTGTCACTAATTATGGAACCATCTCTGTCTTAACATGCTGTTATTCTGGGTTTGAATACTTTTCTGCAACTGTTTATCTTCTGGTAGAATTTTCGCGAGTCTTTTCTGTTGTTGTGGTTAACAATCTCGTTTAGAGCATTTTCGTATGACTCTTTCCATTTTTTTCATCTCGTCTAAGATTTTCACAGTCTTCCAGGTTTGATCTCGTTGTGCGCTGCTGAAGTCTCTTGTATGCTTCATTTTTCTGTTGGTTAGTGGATCTATATTCTTCATCAAACCAATATTCGTTAATTTTAGCTTGGTTAGGTTTTAAAAAGCCTTTAGCCGCTGTATACATAGCTTCCTTGCATTTGGTCTAGTGTTCTTCTGTACTTAAATTTTTGTCGATTCTTGTCAGCTCTTTATTTAAAATTTTCCTGAAGTTATCCCTAGCGTCTAGGATAAAAATCTGTATAGTAAAAATCTGTAAGTATCTGTAAGAAAAAAATATCAATAAAGCTTAGTCCATTCATAAATATGTATTACATGCTTTTACTTCACCTTTATCAACGGTGTCAATTTCTGCTCTCTCTGTTGTCATTGTTTTTTATGTACCCAAAGTGACATAAACCAGACGTGTATAACATAACTTTAAGCAGGTTTGACGACTTGTTTTCATAGAAATATATTAATCTGTTTATCATTTCTGTTGCTTCTCCTAGAATTAAACCTTCTTTTTTTCTGCAATGCTTTATATTCTTCTTCTAAGTTTCTCAGGATTTCTTAACTTATTGGTAAACATTGTTTACCTCTTTGTTTATGTATTCTTCTTTATGTTTTTCAATTGCTTTTCTAGCTATTTCTTTCTGCAATTTTTTAAACTTTTATAGTCATATAATTGTCGAGAGTATTTTGGGTATTTTATCTGTCTCTTTGTAGTTTTGCCCTATTTCTTCTTGCAAAGACATTTCTACATTCTTCATCGAACCTGTCTCTTTATATACACTCTTCCTATACACTTTTCCGCTGCTTTCAACATGGTTGTCTATATGGTCTGCCATTCTTCTTCTATTTCCTGCTTGACTGAATTCTCTCGCCTTTTATTTATTTCTTCCTCTAGTCTGTTTACTATATGTTTCCCTTAAAGATAAATATGTACCAAAAACAATAAAAGACCCATATAGAAGGCTTGACAGATAGAGCTAAAAAAGTACCAAAAAAAAATTTATCTGAGTGAATTATATGACACTACAAGCCACCTAAAAGCAAAATGAGTCACAAAAACACCAATAATAATAGGACAGAATGGATAAATATATAAAACAGAAGAAGATATTCAATAGGTATGAGTAGAATATTTCAAATAAATATACAAGAAGAAAGTGATTACCGAAAATATAGATATTCGGTAACAGATTCATTTAATAATATTTTTTGGGCAAACAAGTTTGGTAACACAGACTTTTAGTTTTCTCAAAGTATTCACATATAAGCGTTGTCTTACTCCAAAAGGAATCAGGTGAATATACTTAGTACAGTGAAGAGATCCCGAGAGAACGTTTCAGGGTACACTTTTTTAAGTCTAGAGGGATTACTTCTTAACCTAAATGGTACACGTCTAAATCTGATGGGTGAAGTAAAATTTTTTGGGGTAATATATACACGAGACTTATTTGTAATCATCAGCTCATTGACAATTTTGAATATTTTTTATTACAACTGTGATTCCTCTATTTAAATATATATTCTATTTTCTAGGTACCAAGAAGTATTAAAAGTTTGCGCATTAGAGTATGACTTAAATTTATTTGAAAAAGGGGATGAAACAATTCTGACTGATAACGGCCAAAACTTAAGCAAAGGTCAACAAGCCAGAATCAATCTGGCTAGAGCAATATACAGACAAGCTGATATTTACCTCTTGGATGACTGCCTCTCTGCATTAGATACACACGTTCACCAATTCATATTCAAGCAGTGCATTAAACAGTTTTTAAAAGAAAAAATATGCATTTTAGCTACTCCATCTAAATCTACGTTAAAACAAGCAAATACTGTTTATGTACTAGATAAAGGACACATTACACAGAGTTATAATCCTCAGGACAACAATGAGAAGGAAGTAAATAATTTCGCAGACACTATCTATAAAACGGAAGAATTTTTAAATAAAGAAAATGGACTAATGGAGTCCATGGAGGTTGACAGATTTCTTGAAACCGAGCAAACTATTTACAAAAATATATATGAAGAAGAATTAAAGAAAGGTGCTGTAGATAAATCTGTCTATATTAAATATATATATTATGGAGGAGGAACCGCTCTGTTAATATTTTCTTTATTGCTGATTGGTTCAAAACAAGCTGCTGAAAGTTACGCTGAAAAGTTAATATCTGTGTGGTAAGAAAATTTTTATATATTTTGATAACATTCCAGCTGAAAGATTAATTTTTTCTGCGGTGGTTAACAGTAGATATAACCTGTGGCAACTTATATTACATGGGAAGGTGTACGGAAAAAGGGGACCAGGAAGAAGAAGAATATCTTGGCTCCAGAATTTATGAAAATGGTTTTCCTTGACCACTTCAGGACTATTTCGAGCTGCGGTCAATAAAGTTAGAATTGCCATGCTAGTTGCCAACATCCGTAACGGATAGGCACCACAAGAAGAAGAAGGTTAACAGTTTTTGTCAAATCGGATCTTTTTACTTCGAGGGCTTTTAAAACTCTGATTGCACAACAGCTGGATCACGTGGTATTCGGCTGAACACTTTGTCAACATTCAGAGGAAATATTCCGCATTTTGGAAACCCTACTTCTAAATTAGATTTAATTTGTGGACCAAGCAAGTTCATCACCTTTGGCAACAATGGCCGAGAGTATTGCTTTTGTATATTAGTGTTGCGGATGCCATCTTCAGTACTTTTCCAATCTGACAAAATTTTTCGCCAGGCTATTTTTGGGGGCCGAAAGAAAGCCACGTCTAGAGGTTGCGTCAAAAGTGTATTGCTTGGAGGCAGATAAATTAAATGAATGTCGTTTTAACGACATAGTTGAAGTGCATGTACTGTTATATGTGAAGAGAGGTTGTCGCATAGTAATACCTTTTTACCATTCAGCTTATAACCAATATACCTGCATAATTGGATGAATTAATGTAGTCGATGTAACATGTGCATGTAGCGAAAATTGTTAGGTTTATGAAAATTTTATTGATTTTAGGACCGACGAAAAACAGCTCGTTCTTAACATAAAAGCCAACATATCTAAAATTGGTCAAAATATAACTCAAGCAGCTACAAACCTAACTCAAGCTGAAGTTCAAGCAGCTTCTACATTCCAAATGTATACAGTGATGCTAATACTCTCCGTAGTTCTAGATCTACTCAGAACCTTCGCTTTTCTAGATTTTTGCAGAAGAGCATCGATAAATATACACAAAGCGATGATAAAGAACGTACTACACTCAGTGATGGCTTTCTTCGATACACATTTCATTGGTAATATATTAAACAGATTTTCTCAGGATGTTATTAATGTTGATGAGAATTTACCTTATCAGCTGTTAAGTTGTCTAGAAGTAAGTATCTGCTTTAAGTCTGTACTTTTATGCGACCATTATTAAGCATTTTTTAAATGTCAATATTAGTGGCAGGCGTTGATTCTAGAATACAAAAGAATAAAAAGGAAACTACTAGGTGCCATTAAATTTGTTTTTTATTAGAAAAAGATGTTGTATCCGCCAAAAGGTTATTAGCGACGGAACAAAATATAAATAACAAAGTTAAACACCTACAGATTGTACAAAATGTTCATGGATCTGAGATAATTCACTATATACAGGAACAGTTTTGACCTAGAGCCTGTGTTAGAGCGTTTGAGATCTTGTAGCGCTGTCTTTCTTGATCATATTTACTACAAATTGTTAAAAAGTGTTCGACTGTTAATCGGACCTTACACTGATCACATATAGGTGGATTTTTCTTTGTGAAAAGGTAGGAGTACATTAATCTGGTATGTCCTAGACGTAAACGCGCAACCACAATTTGTTCTCGTCTATTGCGCAACGACGGAAACCACTGAGACACATTATTTTTTATTTTATTTACCACCACACTTAATTTTTAAAATAAGCTTTTATGTCACTGGAAACACACTTGTCTATCGGCTTCGACAAATCACTTAAAATTGCCCCTCGTGAGGTCCTGTCAGCTTCTTCATTTCCTGTTATTCCGACGTTATCCCGTTATTCCATAAAAATTGGACGCTTTTTCCATGTTCATGAGCTTGGAAAAACTGGTATTTTAGCAACTTTTTAAAAGGATGTTTAGGAAAAATGTGTTGTAATGAGTTTTTGTAGACAAATAATATCTGGAGAATATTCAGATAAAAGAAGCTGTAGCATAGGAAGACGATGGAAAAATTCATCAATGTTCCGTTGAAGTATCGAGTTGAATGTTGTTAACAGATTGGAAGTAAGATGAAACTGAACAATTGTCTACAGAAGGTCACTATCTAAGTCAGAAATCTTTTTCCCTAAATGATTGTGTAGTTTCTTTTGAAGTTTTATAAACTTGCTTTTTGTAGATCTATAATTTGCATATTGATAGCTGCTTTGTAAAAGATGGAGTAAACCAGCCATATCAGTTGTAAATTGAGTCTGAAGGAGGAGTGACGATCTCACCAATACTGCGTTTTATGGAAGAACTTGCATTTTCGCAATTGCTATTAGAGTTTTCACTTAGATGCTGTGGCTTTATTACATTTGAAAGTACTGGAGCAAACTCATTGGTAATGACAGAAGTCGAGCTTAAAGTTTTATTTTTAAGATTTGTTGAAATGGTTGTTTCAGAAAATTGTGGTGATATATCAGTTTTATTAGAATATTCTGCAGTTGTATCTAATAGAAAAGGAGCTGACAGATTGGAGGATATTGCTTCCGAAGTTTGTTAAACGGTATTGCCGCTGAATGAGGTTGATTGAAAGTGTTGCTATGAGTAGAAGTATTAGTAATTTCTTTATCATTAAGATTTTTAGGTGTAGGTGATATGCTCGGATTTGATAATGGATAACTTGATGACGGCTGGGTGTTTGGTATCTTGAATTGTATACTTATTGAAGCTGTTTGTGTTGAAGCTGTTTTTACCTTGTATACTTATTAAAGCTGTTTGATTTGGTTAGATTTGGTACTACATTGTTTGACTCAATATGAGTTGATTCCGTTACTGAACTGTTATTGCATTGGGATGATATGTGTCCTGTATTTTGCTAATAAAGCAGGTGAGTGTACCTTGTGACAAAAATATGTGGTAAGGTGTTAAGCTTTAAACCGATATTCTGTAATTCTTCAACTAATACTTGATGAGGAATGGACGGGCAGACTCCACACACGACTAGTCTTTCTGCTGGAGAGACAAGTCTTCGTGCTGTTACAACTTCGCCGAGTACTTCTATAGAGTCATGTTGTGTTATGAAGTTATCTACTACGGTTTTGTTTGCCAAATACATGCAGATTCTATTATGAGATAATCTAGATGAAAAAATAATGTTGATGATTGTGTCCAAAGCAATGAAATAATCCTGCAGTTTACCATTATTGATACAACTAAATACAATTGCTTGAGTCTTACTCGGAAAAGAATGTAAAATGGCTGATGCATAACTGTTTGTGATATTCGAACGTTGATTTACTGGACTCTGGTTAGATCGGAAGGTGTGTTTACATTATTTGAACTCATTTTAAGTTGCGGCGGTGAAGGCCTTACTCCGACTCTGGTAAGTGACAAACCAGTCGCATGCTACTATAAGCTACTTATAGCAGCTAACCTCACAAAATGATTGTACGGTATTGTATATTTATTATTTGACTAGTATTTAGTAGATAAACACTTTAATTAAAAAAAACTATTTATTAAAACCATTTATTTTTATTAAAAACTTCTTCTTCTTCAAGTGCCGTCTCCATCAATGGAGGTTAGCGGTTATGGTGGCAAACGTTTGTCTATCTTCAGCTGCTCTTAAGAGTTCCTCAAATCCAAGTCCTGTCCAGTTTCTGATATTACGTAACCAGGACAATTTTTTTTTCTTCCAATTCCTCGCTTTCCTTCTATTTTGCCTTTTACTATCAACTGAGGGATGTAGTATTTCTCGTTGCCCAACAAATGCCCTAAATAACTGGTTTTTCTTCTTTTGACTGTTCTCAATAGTTCTTTTTCTACATTGAGTCTAGCTAGTACTTCTTCGTTTGTTTTTCGTGCTGTCCAAGGAATTTTTAAAATTCTACGGTACAGCCACATTTCAAATGCCTCGATTCTATTCAGGCTCTTTATTTTTAAAGTCCACGTTTCGACTCCGTAGAGAAGAACAGTTCAGATAAAACATTTTACAAGTTTTAATCTCAATTTAATATTTATATGTGTATCGCAGAATAGAACGCGCATCTTAAAGAAACTATCCCTAGCTTGAGCAATTCTCGCTTTAATTTCTTGTTCTGGGTCCAGCTTGCAATTAATCCAACAGCCAAGGTATTTGTATTGGTTTACCTGTTCTAAAATATTCCCATTTATTTTTATAGGTAAGGGGATATTCTGTTTTCTTTGGATCACCATTACTTTTGTTTTTTTTTTTTTTTTTCGTTGATCTTCATTCCAAACTCTCGACAAGCATCCTTGAGGTGGTCTATAACCCCCTGTAAGTTTGTGTCTGTATCAGTCAGTAGGACAGTGTCATCTGCATATCTTATGCTAGATAATGGTTCTCCATTAATTTTTATTCCTGTGGAAAGGTTTTCCAAGGCTTGCTTGAATAGTAGTTCCGAGTAAAGATTGAAGAGCATAGGGGATAGTATGCATCCTTGCCTTACTCCTTTATTTATACTAATATTTCTAGATGTATGATCGTCGATCCTAATCTTGGCACTCTGCCTCCAATATAAGTTCTTAATTAATCGGAGATCTTTACTATCCAAGTTGATGCTCTGCAAGGAATTTAACATTTTATTATTATTAAAAACTAGGAGTACAATATCAGTACAACTTAAGCATACCTTGCCAGGGCGGATCTTCTTATTAAATTATTTTACTAAATTGTATAAAACACTGAGTATATTCACACAAATATCACAGTTATTGGTTTGGTTATGGGTTCTTGTACCTCCAGCTGGTTTTAAATGCAATGGCCAGGAATTTCAAAAAATATTTTATCATGTAGATAAAAGTAATAGCTCTGCACAGTGTTTGCAGTAATCCAAAATATTGTGTTACTCACAAACCTTCTTTGGTTTTTTGATACTACTTATTGACCCTCTTTTTAAGAATTTCTTTATGAAAAGCAAACAATTTTTTCAACAATTATAATCATATAATCACTTAACCAAACCTGTCTTTAATCTTTATTGAAAGAATTTTATTTTTCAGATAGTAATCAGTGTTGGTGCAGCTTCTACCTTACTTATATTAGTAAATCCGTATTTTTTCTTTTATATATCAATAACATTTGGAGTAATGTTATTATTTTTGAAATTATATCTTCCAATAACCAGAAATTTGCGAAGACTTGAAGCCTCAAGTAAGTTTAGATTTTTCAACCAGCTTTTTTAGAATTTTTTAGTAAAAGAGGGACGTAAACAAAGCAAAGAGATTACTGCTAATATAGACAGATTTTAAAAATGTTTTTATCTTAATAGGAAGAGATGAGGTAGGTGATATCATATCAACGAACATAATCCAAGAGGGTGACCTGAAAATTCTTAGAAAACTTGAGGATTTTAAATGAAATAACATGAAGTAGATACATAAAAAAAAATCGAAATAATTGACGGTAAACTGCAATATGTCAATTAAGATATCAGGATGAAGAAAATATTTCGGCACTAAATGACGATAGCTGGTAAAAAAATAGCAGAACGGATCTGAGACCCGTCAATTTAAAGAACAGAATATGACGACTTGCAGCATTAATAAGACTAACTTAACTCAAAATCCAAAACATCTAAAAACTGATATACGTTTAATATCAGGGACTATCTTTCTCTTGAATTCTAATATAAATTCGAATGACTTATGTCAGAACTTCTTAATCGATGATATGTTGTACAACATGAAGACTGTGTCTGTTGTCTGTCTGTTGTAATACCATATCTATTATTGGCTGCCTTCTTACTTCCACTCCTTGTAGAAGAAACCTTGTAGCAGTCGACACAATTAATTTCATTTGTCCAGATTTTATAATGTCTTTCGTGTGTGTTCGTATATTCTTTTGCATGCTTTGTTGCATGCTTTTACTCAAGTCGTATGTATCCTTTTTCTGCTGTCAGTTCTGTACGATACATTGTTTAGGTCTGTGGACATTTCCTCAGTTCGTTTTATCAATGCTTTTTGGAACTTATTCAGTGCCCTTTTATTCATTCTTCTGTAAAATTAATTAAAGCTATCGTTTGCAACATTAGCTATGTCGGATTGCTTGAAATTTTTTATTAGTTCCTTCTGATTTTCGTCCAAGGAATCTATGTATACTTCATTCTTTACCTCAAATATTGATATGAGGACTATTGCTAGAATTTCTCTTTTCGGTCTTCTAGTTCTTCTAATGCTCTAATTACCATTTTTGTTCCTTCTTGCTCCTCTTGAAGTTGACTCGATAGTGATTCACAATTAATTATATTGCTAGTCTTACACATAGCGTCCAGATCTTGTACCATTGACTCTATCATCCGTTCACCGTCTAAAATTTGTTGTTATTTTAGATGCGTTTTTAGTCTTAATATTCCCGATCTATGTATACATCGCTTAGATGCTCAGAATTTAATCATACCCTCCCCAAATTAACCACCCATTTTACTTTTGAATAAAACCTACTTAACCAAATGAAATTTTCAGTTTCCAAATACATAAGAAATAATTTCCACAATCCAAACTCCCCTTCATGGACAATGCTTCTTCCTCTTATTAATGTTAGTCTAATAAGCGTACACAATACAGAGATGTCGCCAATTCAAATAAAGCAAGAATTTTACAGACTAATACACACATATGGTAATTTTTGCAATGTACACAGAAATATGTCAAAAAAGGAAGATGGAATTAGAGCAGGAGATAGAAAAGAACCCAACAATTATTAAGGTATAAACTACTAAACATCGCACTTAAGCTTACCACAAAAGTCCTAACCAACAAAATCAATAAACTTACAACTTTATCCGATGAACAAGGATTTAGATCCGGAAGATCCTGCTTAGACGCCGTATTTGTACTAATACAAATCATGGAAAAGGCCATCGAGTACAATAACCAAGCATATCTGTTTTATAGACCTGACAAAGGCTTTCGATCGCATCCAAGTCGAAGATATGTTACACCTACTGTATAAAAGAAACATAATAATCAATATTATACAAGCCATCGAAAACATCTACTTCCATAATCAAATACAGGCAAAAATAAATGGAAAACTAACACAGTGTACCAGTACAAAGCGGAGTCAGACAGGGTGACTCATTAAGCTCACTTCTCTTTAATATAATAATTTACGAAATAATACAAGCAGTACATAACGGTCATGGTTACAGAATGGGGAACAAAGAAATCCAAATACTATGTAGACGACGCCGCATTAATCGCCAGGACATAAGACGAGCTCCCAAGATTAACACACATCTTCAATACAACAGCAGATGATAATAGCAGCAATATGATAATAGCAGAAAAAACCAAATATATGACTTCTTTCTTATCTTAGAGTTGTCATGTTTTTAGAAAAAGTTTACCTTTTGAATAACACCCCTTTTTAAAGAGTTTTAAAAGACAGAATTTGGCAATTTGGCTATAGGCCTTTTGGTTTTTGATTTATTCAATTACCGTCTACAAGGACAAAATTACTTTAGGTAGTCACAGTAAAACCGCAAGAAAAAAGTTAAAAACTAAAATACATTAAATTATTACAAAAGGATAGAGATCAGGTTGGAGTACATCAATATATATTGTTTATTGTTTTTATACCATCTCTGGCAATTACCTAGTCGTCCTATGCCAACAAAGTTAGACGCAACAGTCACTGGTTTATTAATAAATCACTGCTTGATGACCATTCTTACTTTTTAACATCTTTAACGGCTCCTTATATTTTTTAAAAAATGGTCTAATAAGAATTATATCTAGATATATTTCTATTAGAAGAAATCTTTGCACGAGCACTAGAGCAATCAAGAGAAGGTGTTAAAATTAACGGCAGAGTTCTAAATAATGTACGATATGCCGACGACACGGTCCTAATTGCAGAGAGCGCACAGGATGTCCAGACACTCTTAGATCGCGTCAGATCGATCGGAGAACAATACAGCCTCAGCATTAACGTCAAGAAAACAAAAACAATGATTGTCTCCAAAACATCCATCCATCCACCCATGCTTTAAACGTGAATGGTAACATTATCGAAAATGTCGAGAAATTTCGATATCTAGGGTGCTGGATAACGAAAGATATAGATCCAGACATAGAAATAAAATCGCGAATTGAACAAGCAAGAAATGTCTTTTTAAAAATGAAACAAATGTTTACGTCCCAAACACTCAATCTCAAAATCCGATACCGAATGCTGAAATGTTACGTTTACAGCACCTTACTATATGGAATGGAGGCCTGGACCTTCAAAATCAACTCACTCAGGCGTTTGGAAAGTTTTGAAATGTGGTTATTTCGAAGGATGCTGAAAGTCCCCTGGACAGCGCATATGAGCAACGAGCAGGTCCTACACAAGATGGGTACCGACAGAGAACTCTTAAAAATAATGAAAACACGGAAAACCTCATATTTGGGACACATATACAGAAATGAGAAATACCAGCTACTGCAGCTTCTTATAGAGGGGAAGGTAGAAAGAAAACGTAGTCCTGGTAGACGGCAGGCGTCCTGGTTGAAGAACATTCGTGAGTGGACTGGTTTAGATTCTCAATCTTTAATAAGAAAAGCCAGGGACAGAAATTATTTTGCTGAGGTTATCGCCAACCTTCATTGAAGACGTCACCCAAAGAAGAAGATATTTCTATTAGTTAGTTAAACACCACTGTTACAGTAAATCGATTGGTTATTTTAATCGCTTGTATATAAAAAACTGATACACTTGATTCCCTTTATTTTTTACTTACACTTAAAAACAATTGCACAAATCAAATCTACATCAAACTTCTCATCGCTTTCTTTTTTGTGTTTCTGTTTCTGCAGCGGCGCATCTGCTCTCAACGCTGTCCGTTCAGCCATGGGAAATGGGTGTGAACAACTGCACCCGGTCCAACCGCAACCCACTGCACTCATGTTTTATTTCTCCTTAACAACAACTATTTGACAATATGATGCTTATTAAGTTTGTGTACTCCTAGGATAACACTGTGACTGAAAACTGCACATATATCTTGTATCACATAACAAAACATTCTATATTTTGAGAAATTTATATTTTAAAAAAGATATAGAAATTAAAACGTCAAGTGTAGTGTATTTTTAAATAAACTTGTGGATTATTCCCATTAAATATATTAGATAATATTAATGTGTAATGATGTAACTAAACATTTTTTTAGCAAGAAGTCCGATGATAGGACACTTAAATGCTGCACTGGAAGGTGTAACCACTGTTAGAGCCTATAAAGCAGAAAATATGGTCATTAATGAATATGAGAGGCATCAAGACGTTTTCACTTCGGCGCACTATAGTTTACTGTGTTTCAAGTTCGCAATGGGATTTTATATGAGCCTGTTGGCTGGTGTTATGGTGACGCTGATCATATGTACTTTCGTTCTTTTTGACACAGGTAAAATCAACAATGTTTCTCTAAATTAACTACCTCGTATCTTTGATTTAGTATAAACATAGTTATTATACATAGTATATCACAGGTATAAGATAAATTTTAATGAATAAGTTTGGGGTCCCCGTATTTGCGTCCTAAGATGCTACATATGACCAATAAACATAGCCGCTAGCGTGACCTGGTCACTTAAAGTAAGATTGAAAAACCGTATTTAAAGCATTCGAAATGTGATGTTTCAGAAGGTTGCTTAAAATTTCATGGGTCGACCATATTACAAATGAAGAGGTCTGAAGAAGAGCTAATATTCAAAGAAAGCTTCTAAACATCGTTAACAACGAAAGGTCTCATATCTAAACCATATTTTAAGATGCGACAAATCTATCCTTTTTAAAATAATTTTAATAGGAAAAATTGAAGATTAGAGGGACCAGGTTGCAAATGACACTCATGGTTTAGAGACATAAGAAACTGATGCGGCATACCTGATATTAATACAATAATATGAAGAGCAGAAAAAGATTCCTTACACATAATCAGAGAAAAATTTGTTAACATTTTTAATAAACCCTGTATTCATTATAATCAATATCTTTACCTGTATCCTTATATGGGGTGGTTTTTCTCCAATTAAGTCTTTTTACTATTAAGATTATCGAATAGGTTTTTTGTATAGTTCTGTTTTAGATTTTGCTACTAACACTTTTGCTCTTTTGAGGTGAAGAGGGACTACAGTTTTTTCTATTTATTGAACTGTATAACATTATATATTATGTATATGTTATTATTTAACTATTTTATTCTTAAATTTTATAGAGTTTTATTTTCTCCTCGCTTTTTTTCTTGACTTTTATTTGAACACTACCAGATCTCCCTTTTCTTCTTATTATTTTAAGACATTGATTGTGTTTTTTCAGCGAAGTGTGCGAAGTTATAGTAAGTAGTGTGCAAAGCATTGTATAAAGTACACATTGCATGGTCTCTCCATGCTCTTTTTGTGACTCTAAATCATTTTACAACATCTTGGTCTCCATTTCTTAGTAGTTAATTAGTGTGGTTTTTTTTGCTCGTGTACTGTGACGTAGGTCACAGAAGACGAGACCAAATACGTGATAATAACAAAGAAAACAAATATACCAACAAACATACATTTGGAAAATGTACCGATAGAAGGGGATTTACCGATTGATAAATACAAATACCTAGGAACCTGGATTTCAGACAATAATGATCAAACAACCAAAATAAGAGCTAGAATAGAAATAGCAAAAAAAGCGTTTGTAAAAAGGAAAACAATTCTCTGCAACAAAGATCTTAGATTAGAACTGAGAGTAAGAGCACTGAGATGCTACGTGTTTTCGATACTGCAATATGGACTTGAAAGCTGGACATTGAAGCAAGAACACATAAATAAGTTAGAGTCATTTGAAATGTGGTGTTACAGGAGGATGCTTAGAATAGCATGGACACAGAAGAAAACTAACTCGGAGGTATTGCGAGAATGGGCAAAAAATGCGAAATAATAAACACAATAAAAATAAAAAAGTTACAATATCTGGGACACGTAATGAGGGGACAGCGATATGAACTGCTAAGACTTATAATACAGGGAAAGATAAGAGGAGGAAGAAGTATAGAAAGAAGGAGAGTGTCATGGTTGAAGAATTTAAGGGACTGGTTTAAATGTAGTCCTATAGAACTCTTCATACCAGCAGTAGATAAAGTAAAGATAGTGATGATGATAGTGAACGTTTGCAAGAAGTCGGTTCAGATGGAAAAGACATCAAATTCTTAAAAACTTGTACTGGAACCAAAACGCCAGAGTTAGGATCAAAGGTTCCACATCCGCAGAAGTAGAAATTAGGGGAGGGGAGTTAGACAAGGATGTGTTCTGTCGCCTCTGCTGTATAATCTTTACTCCGAGTTTCTATTTAAAGAAGCATTGGAGGATTCCAAGGATGGAGTCAAGGTGAATGGCGTAAATATCAACAGTATCAGATACGCCGATGATACAGTGTTAATTGCTTATTCCGACTCAGGTCTACAACGACTCATCGACAAGACTAACTCGACCTGTGAGCAATTTGGTATGAAAATAAACATTAAAAAAACCAAAGTGATGTCAATCAGAAAAAGCCAAAACGTACCTCAACCTTGCACAATAAATGGGCACATCTTAGAACAGGTCAATAGATTTAAGTACCTGGGATGTTGGATCGATAGCAGCCTAAATCCTGATCAAGAAATAAGATCGAGAATAGAACAGGCCAGAAAATCTTTCGAAAAAATTAAACAACTGCTTTGTGATTCTCGAATAAAACTCGAAATTCGACTACGTTTATCAAAATGCTACGTCTGGTCGACTCTTCTATATGCATTTGAAATGTGGACCCTTAAAACATCAACCGTAAATAAATTGAAGGCCTTTGAAATGTGGATCTACCGGAGAATACTTAAAATTTCATGGACATCGCATACCTCAAACGAAGAAGTGCTGCATAGAATAGGCAAGGAAAGAGAACTTTTTAACACAGTAAAGTTAGAAAAACATCATACCTAGGCCACATACTGAGAAATAATAAGTACCAATATGCCCAACTTATAGTGAAAGGAAAAATCGAGGGAAAGAGAGGCCTAGGAAGGAAAAGACTATCGTGGCTCAGAAACATCCGACAATGGACAGGGCTAAATTTTGAACAGCTAATAAGAACAGCTGAAGATAGAGAAGAGTTTAAAATTGTAGTAGCCAACCTCCATTGAGGAGAGGGCAGTTTAAGAAGAAGAAGTGATGATGATATCCAACCTCCGGTTGGGAGACGGAACTTAAAGAAGAATTTCATTTATTTATTTCATTATTATATGATTTCTAAAAGACTGAAAATTAATTATATCATGTGTATATTTACAATGTAAATTGTTGTATAATCTTTGTATTCAATTTTATTTTTAGGTGCTACAGCTGGAAGCATTGGTTTAGCCTTAAGTCAAGTGATATTTTTAGGCTATCTAATACAAGGAGCGGTACAATCTTGGGCTGATTTGGAAAATTTAATGACAGCTACTGAACGAGCCATGGAATATACCGAATTAAAGTCTGAAACCACGCTAGGGAGCGTTCCAAAAAATTGGCCTGAAAACGGGGCAATAAGTTTCAAAAATGTTAGTTTATCATATAATTCTACACAAAGAATTTTGAACAATTTGAGTTTTCAAGTTCAAGCAAAAGAAAAAATTGGAATAGTTGGCCGAACAGGGGCTGGAAAGTCTTCCATAATATCCACAATATTTAGACTATATGAGGTGGATGGTAAAATAACCATCGATGGAGTTGATATAAAGCTACTACCCTTAAAACATTTACGAAAAAATCTAGCAATCATCCCCCAAGATCCGATTCTATTTTCTGGTACTATACGATCTAATTTAGATCCATTTGGTGAGTTTGAAGAAAAAGACCTTTGGGTTGCTTTAGAAAAAACAAATTTAAAAACTTCTATAACAAATTTAGATACCAAAGTTAGTAGTTACGCTTCTAATTTTAGTCTTGGTCAAAAGCAAATGCTTTGCTTAGCACGAGCCATTTTGATTAAATCCAAGATAGTCATTTTAGACGAAGCTACATCTAACATGGATCACGAAACAGAGAATCTAATACAAGAAACTATTAAACATCACTTTTCTGATAGTACTGTACTTACAATTGCTCATAGATTGCAGTCTATATTACAATGTGATAAGGTATTGGTACTGGATCGAGGACAGATAAAAGAGTTTGATACTCCAAAGGAGTTGCTGAAAAATAAATTTGGGCACTTTAGTAAAATGGTAGCACAGGGTGATATGTCCAGTTAATGTTAATTAATATAAGTAAATAAGTACTACTATAGAAGGTATTGTTGGATTTCATTGACAACGCTCTACCAGCATCACCTATATAAAATAAGAGCAAAGTAACAAAAAATATATGATTCAAAAGGTTAAAATAAGGTTTTATATACAATTTTTAGTCAACGTATACACCCTTCTTTTTGTTCATTATTAACAATAAATGATCAAACTTACCTGAGTTTAACGGCATAGAATTTAGACACACCGAGTTTTCGACTTCCTGTTTGCAGTCTTCATCAGAGCTATCTAGGTCCCAGTCTTGCCACTGCTTACTTCCATTATTGTAGCTGGCTTTGTAAAATTCGATAACGGATTTTCGGTGTGTGCTGTTATAGGTAACTTTTGTCACCTTTTCAGAATGTGGTGTTTTTTGTGAGTCGTGTCACTGATTCTGTCGTTAGTCACTGGTGGTGTTCGGTGGTGGGTATTGAGTCCTGTGAAGGAGGTCGTCTTCAGAGGGTGGTCAGAGCTTGAATGCTATAACGTTTATTTTCTGAATTATTTTTTATTTAATTATGATTGAGTTAAATGTGCATGTGAAAAGAATAAAATTGATAATGATTAAATTATACGAATCATTTTATTTCGCATTAAAGGCATCTGTAGCTGTATCCTGCCTATGGGTAAATATAATTTTTCAAATGAAATCGGATAACCACAGCAAACCGATCTCTCCCTATCTATGTGCAAAGCTCACAGTGAGCTATTTATCTGGGTGTGCGGGAAAAAAGAGGAGTTCGGCAGTTTTGTCGGTAGACATAGGAGCTTTCTTTTGGTATGTCCAATCAATACATTGCTGAAACATGAGCAGGTAGTTTTGAGTATTTTGAGGGCTATGAAGCCTTTGCCTCTGATAGTTTCTAACGGAGCTCCTGCAAAGAGAGGTAAGCCTCTTAAGTATGGTTGGAATGTTCTGTAATTACTTATATTAAGGGGGAGGGCTAGTCGGTTTGTAGTTTACTTTATGCAGAATACTTCATTCTAACTATAGAAGCTATTGCGACAGGTCGTAATTGAGCAAGGCGTAAATATTAGCATTATATTCAATGACCTTGTCCTAATTTTCCACAGACAGTTAAGCATTAGAGACAGTTCTCATTAATCTATTTTGGGTGTTGATCAGATCTTGTCTTTTATTAAATATCTAGGAGTGGTGTTTTGGTAAACAAGACCCCTAGATACTCAATATGATTTCGAAGTTAAAGTTGATCTTCTTAGAGACTTAGGTCGATTCTTTCTTCGGCATTATGTGTAACGTAGCCACTAAGGTTGGGAAGTGGGGTTTTATTATGATCTGACGTTACAATTCATCTCCTGCATCACCTATCAACATAGTTTAGATGTGATTTTGAGTATGCTATGTAAAGGAAAGTTTGTGTGTTTGTATTGCGTGGGTTAGGAAAGTCACTGTTGTAAATTGTGTACAGTATGGACGTCAATCAACGCAATTTTGGTGAAGTAATATCTTCTATAAAGCCGAATTGAAATGTGGGAATAATGTTAATTTCTGTCGCAAAGTATACGAATCTGACGACGTTTATGACGTTAGAAAAGGTATTTATCTATAAGAGATAAGGTTGGTCTGGGGTTTGCCATTTTTAAGGAGCAAAATTGTATTGGCTACTTTCCTAGGGCATGGAAAGTAGCATAATTTGAGACATGCGTTGACTATAATATGTATCAAGTAGAGAGCAACTCTCGGTGGAAATGTTTTCACGCTGTTCCTGGGAATTTTGTCAGGACTTGGTGAATTGGAGTTGCCTATTTGACTGTGACATTTGACAAATCGGAGTTCGTACCATTGCCCAAAAAACCAGGAGCAAAAGTTTGTGAAGGTTATAGGACCATTAGCCTAATAAGCCATCAGCTGAAGCTGTTTTTAAAAGTCATTTACAAAAGAATTTACTGGAAATGCGAGGAACAAATTGCTCCCAATCAATTTTGATTTGTAAACGCCATTGGTACGAAAGCTTTATTTAGCGTGCAGGTATTATTTTAGAAATGTAGAGATAGAGTCAGACATGAACAAATCATGGAAGTGCTGGAGAGGACAAGGATTGATGGAAAAGACTTAAAAATAATAGCTACCTGTATTGGAATCAATCAGAGGTACTCCGAATAGATGGATAATATACAGATCAGGTCAAAATCTTAAGCGGAGTAAGACAGGGGTGCATAATTTCAGTACTGATATTCAATCTATACCCGGAGCACATGTTTGAAGAAGCTCTAAAAGATATTGATGAAGGCATCTCAATAAATGGAGTCAAGCTCAATAACCTGCGGTATTCAGATGATACAATAGTGTTTTCCAATATTACAGAAGGGCTGCAAAACTTAATGAACAAAATAACAGAAACAAGTAGAAAATATGGACTGGATTTAAACACTATCAAAACCAAGCTAATAATTATCAGCAAGGAAAACATAATTAGAGCAAATCTGTATGTGAACCAAATGAGAATTGAACGAGTCTTACATTACAACTACTTGGGAATAATTAATTAATGCGTCGTGGAACAATACCCAAGAGACTAAATGTCTCATCGGAAAGGCGAAAAGTGTATTCTTGGCTATAAGTTCTATGTTCACGAGCCATGATCTCACCTTAAAATCAAAAATAAGGCTCCTTAAATGTTATGTGTACTCAGTGCTTCTGTACGGGGTAAAAAAGTGGACATTGAAGGCAGAAACTCTATCAAAACTTCAGGCTTTTGAACTGCCGACAACTGCGGATTTGGTCAACATCGTGAAGAATCGTAAGCTGTAGTACTTGGGACATATAATAAGAAATTAAGGCGGATACGATCTACTTCAATGCATTTTGCAAGGTAAAATTGAAGGAAAAAGGGCCCCAAAACGAAGAAGAATATCCTGGCTTGCTAACCTGAGAGCATGATATAGAATGACCTCAACACAGCTGTTTCGTATGGCAACCAACAAATTCATCATAGCCAGAATGATCGCTAACGTTTGGAACGGACAGGCACCCTAAGAAGAATTTAACAGTAATTCTCCAATGTTTGTTCATCTACAGGAACCACGAGCGAATGTTCATGGAATATCTGTATTTCGAAAGGGCTTCGAGCTCTTTTTGTGTATTTCTCCCAGTGCCTACACGGAAGGCTCGGTCAAATCTGGGATTGTTAGGGATGGTGAATATATTTTGAAGATATGTTTTGAAGACGTGAGCCTTGTGATGGTTGGAGTTTATTATTTGATTGTTCATTACTAGATGGGAAGAATTATTTGTTTTTTGTTTTGTTAGGATTTTGAATTTTTTCCAGAACGAACTGCCGTTAGAGTCCTAAGCCATTGGCTGGCTACCTCTGGCCTGGATTACTGGAAAACAAGCAAAAGACCAGATGAGGTGCCCATCGAATTATTAAAACTCATCGATGAAGATGTTATTGATGTAATGGTTGAACTCTTTAATCTAATATATCAGACTGCCACAATCCCCAGACAATGGCTGCAATCAACCTTTGTAGCAATTCCCAAAAAACCAAGTTCAACAACTTACTCAGACCACAGAACCATAGCTTTAATGAGTCACACACTTAAAACATTTTTGAAAATAATTCACAGCAGAATTGTTAAAACTCTTGAATATGAGATTAGTGACACACAATTTGGCTTTAGAAATGGTATGAGTACAAGAGATGCTTTGTTCGGCTTGAATGTGCTGGCTCAGAGATGCATGGACATGAATCAGGATATGTACTTATGTTTTGTAGACTTTGAAAAGGCATTTGATAAAGTTCAACATAAAAAGCTTGTAGATATATTAAAAAGCAAAAATATTGACAGTCGTGATCTGAAAATTATATCTAATTTATATTGGAATCAAAATGCCAAGGTAAGAGTTGACAGCCAGTACACCGAAAATATCAAAATTCAGAGAGGAGTCCGCCAGGGTTGCGTGCTGTCCCCACTACTTTTCAATGTCTACAGTGAAGCGGTATTTCAAGAAACGCTCTCAGACTCAATAGAAGGTATATCTATCAATGGAGAAGTTTTGAATAACTTACGTTTTGCAGACGATACAGTAATAATTATGTATAACAACAATGATTTACAGAACCTAATGCAATGCCTTAATGAATGCTGTCATGAGTACGGACTGAAGATAAATTTAAAGAAAACTAAATGCATGATCATGACTAAATCTGCACATGCAAATATCCAATTGACTATTGAAGATACTGCAATTGAGAATGTTAATAACTATAAATATTTAGGAACATGGATAACATCAGATGTAGACCAAACCAAAGAAATTAAGACACGTATTGAAATCGCACGTACATCATTTATTAAACTTAAAAAGTTTCTTTGTTGTCGGGATATAAGGTTAGAACTACGCCTGAGAATGCTTCGATGTTACGTGTTCTCTACTCTTCTTTATGATCTGGAAGCTTGGACACTAAAACAAGTTCATCTTAATAAGCTGGCCGCCTTTGAATTTTGGTGTTACAGAAGAATCCTACGAATATCATGGATTCAAAGAATGTCAAACATGGAAGTAACTAGAAGGATAGGAAATGAGGCGGAAATAATATTAACTATTAAAAGACGAAAACTTGAGTACTTGGGACATGTGATGAGAGGTCAAAATACGCATTATTACAACTTATTATGCAGGGCAAAATCCGAGGAAAGCGAGATGTGGGAAGACGAAGAATATCCTGGCTTAAGAACTTAAGGGAATGGTTTGAATGCAGTAGTGCAGAACTTTTTAGAGCGGCAGTCAACAGAGTCCGCATAGCCATGATGATTTCCAACCTTCGATAGAAGAAAAAGCCCAAGCTGCCTTTGTAAAAATGAGAAACGTACTTTGCAGTCACGATCTTAGCATTGACCTTAGAGTTCGAATGACATCTTGCTACATCTTTCCTGTCCTGCTGTATGGAGTGGAAGCGTGGACTCTAACTGAGGCTATCTTTAAACGCTTGACAGCCTTTGAGATATGGGTATACAGACGACTACTAAAAATAAGATGGGTCAACAGAGTTAGAAATGAGGAGGTTCTTAGACGGCTGAACCAAACAACACAACTGGTCAATATAATAAAGAAACGCAAGCTGGAATACGTCGGTCACATTATGAGAAACCATGAAAAATATGATCTTTTACATCTGATAATTCAGGGAAAGATCCAAGGTAATCGTGGTCCTGGTAGAAGAAGAACATCATGGCTGAAAAATCTAAGGCAATGGTATGGAAAATCGACTACATCGTTATTTAGAGCTGCTGTCAATAAAGTCACGATAGCGAATATGGTAGCCAACATGATATCCAACGATCGATAACGGTTATGGCACTAGAAGAAGAAGAAGTTAAATAACTGTAGACTATTATTAGTAAGAATGTGCCTATAAATGGGCCAATCGCCGTGTTTGAAGTCTCTTTTTGTAAGTAGAGTTATTTTGGTGTTATTTTTGGTTTATGTATGTATGTTTTATGTTGCTTACTGTAAATTTCGGCTCATTTATACCGTAGAACGTGGCGTGGCTTACTGACGTAGCGTTTGGGTGAGTAGATTTCTGACGGCTGAGAAGATTTTGCGAAGTTTTTATGGCGGAACTGGATTGTAGCACCAAGATGCCGATGTTTTAACACGATTAAGAAGAGGTCTAACTCCTATAGACACTTATCTGTTGACATATGTGGCATATTCAGCTACATAAAAAAGTTCAGCTAATTTTGACCTCAAAGATACTCTTAGAACCTCTTGATTTATACCTAAATGAAAGTTTATCGCACAAAAGTATCGCTAAAAACTTAAAAGGTATAATAGAGTAATCAAAATAAGTTTGATTGTTAATTTCAACTTTAAAGCATTGTATATTTTAAGACTTCATATCCAAATTAATCAAATAACAATTACTTTTTAATGTAGAGCGTGGTATGTCAAATATAGGAATCCTTGTTGTTATTAATATCAATTATTTTGGTATAGTTTTTATATACCTATATGGTATAATTTTTGTATAGTAATATTTTTCCATAAAATTATTGATGGTCTTTAAATAGGGAAAAGGAGAGTAAAAATGTTTTTATGTTTATAGAAAAATAAAGGTTTATGTAAAATAGTCGATGTTATTATTAATATTTATATGTTATCAAATAATTTGTTGCGAACAACCCACAAAATAATTAAACAGGAAACTTTCAGCAGTTTCATTTTCCACATCGAAACTAGCTTTAAAAATTCATTTTTTTATTGAGGCAATGTTTTACTAAAGTAATATTCTGTAAAACAATCTGAATTATGAAAGGTAAAATTATATAAATAATTTGTTTTATTATTTTGGGTTATTCCCAATAATCAGACTATGATCAAGCCAGTCACTAAAAAACTTAAGTCACCTCAACCTACTGCAAAATTGGTCAAAGACATAGAAAATCAAGCCTAGGAACGCGTGAAGCTCTTTTTTCACTTAATATACTGATACAAAGATGCCTGGACGTCAATCAAAATATATACACATGTTTTATTGACTAAAATAAAGCATTTGATAAAGTACAACATAAACAAAATGAGAAAAGGCAGCAAATATTTGATTTCACGCAAACAAATCCTATGTATCTCTTGATACGTATTTCGACCTAATAGGTCTCGTCAGAAGAGCTAATTCATAGGGCTTCTCAACGTGAAAAATCAATATTTTCTGCCTTTAAAGAAGGAACAATAACATGGCTTCAATACGGACGCAGTAGCGACATCTAATTACAACAATCGTAAAATAGTTTTGAAACACAATTCAGATTTCTGCTTTATAATCTAAGCCTTCTAAAAATTGCAAGGCAAACAGACGTTGATAAAAGATGTTAAAAGAGACATGGGGAATCTAAAATTTGCATTCCACGACATGTCTTTTACAACTAAGCAGAAATTCTTAGCGAATTGTGCTTCTTGTACTCACACAGAGCAAATCCGAATAAAATGAGAAATTTTTCTCAGATTATAAAGCAGAAATCTGAATTGTGTTTCGAAACTATTTTACGATTGTTACAACATAAACAATTAATGAATGTCATCAAGGTCATATCAAATTTATACTATAAACAGCGAGCAAAAGTACGTGTTAACGAACAGCTGTCAAAAGAGATTGAAATTAGATGTGGAGTGAGACAGGGATGAGTATTGTCGCCAATTCTTTTTAATGTCTACACCGAAGAGATCCTGAAAAACGCCTAAGGCCGGTATTAGACTAGGTAACTGGTGGCGCAGCTGGTGGCGCAACTAGTGGCGCCACCAAATTAACTCACAAAAAATTATGGGCAACTGGTGGCCGATAATTGCCACCAGCAAAAATTAATACGTTGAGTAGTGAATAGTTAATATTGTTTAGTTAAAAATATGATATCAAACGAGTCGTTATTTCTTGTTGCCCTTTTATTAAAAAAGAAAGGGAGAGTGACAAGGAGTCGGAAAATTCATATACATATAATGTATATGTTATTTTACGTTATATACATTACATTACATTATTATGGTTATTATACGTTATTTCCTAAAATTTGTGCCGACGAACTAAATTTTTTTCCGTATTTTATATTAAAATTGTCATTTTTTGAGCTCTTGTAGTACATTAAAGGTGACATACGTGGTATTGATACAAAAATGAGGAAATGTATTCCAACTGACGAAAAAATGATAGTGGTTTACAATGTTTTAAATTTTAATGTGCTAGGGTTTCTTTAATTCTAAATAAAAACTATGTTTATATTTGAATGTTAAAAATGTAGTTTACTAAAAAATAACTGAAACAATATAACAATAGATAATCCGCTAAAGGTCAAATCTGAGGTGACCTAAAAGAGGTATCGCTAGTATTAAAAATTCAAAAAACGAAACTAAACCGATACCGATCAATAGAATTTGCCAAAGGAAAATAACAAAGTAGGTAATGTAATCGAAAAGGTATGTTCAAAGAAGAAAGAGAAGACCAAGGAAACATAAATAGATAAAAGAACTTTGGAAAGACCAAAAGAAGAGGATAAAAGAGAATAGAAACGAAGAACATGCCTCCGATGCCTATGAAAGGCATTAAGAGTTTCAAAAAAATTAGGACTATGAAGTGAATATAGTCAACTTTTTTCAATACTAAATTATGACTATATTTATATTTGTATATATATATATATATATATATATATATATATATATATATATATATATATATATATATATATATATATATATATATATATATATATATATATATCTCGGAGGAACCTGTAACCTCTAGAGAGCGCGTCCCCAGGTGGCGGATAGGGGAATGCCCGACCCGGTTTACCGGTGGGTAGGAGGGAAATAAAATACCTCCCGTGGACCAACAGGTAATTCACCGAATGATTGCCGGTATAAGCAATCCCCCACTTATGACCAACGGCTGCGGGCGGATGAGTTAATAAGTGGAAGGGCACTCTTTTGTCCAAGGGTTGGGAAACTGGTCCTAAAGGCGGATGAATCGAAAAATATGTCAACGGCGTAAGGATGCAGAAGGCAACGGGGAACCACTGCATTAAAGACTCTTAGAGTACCCCTAGTAAAGTCATGAATGGCAAATGACAAGTAGAGTAAACAAACTTACTGATTATGGAGCACGGAATCCAAGATCCGGCAGGGGAGGAATAACTGTAGATCACAGGGCCTCCCAGGTCGTAAACCAGAGAAATCCCTGTGGACTTAAGACATTGAAAATAGCAACCTGGAATGTCAGAAGTTTATATGCAAGTGGTAAACTAGCGAACGTACTGCTTGAAATGGAAAACCTCCAAATTGATGTTTTAGGTATAAGTGACGTACAGTGGCCTGGTTCAGGCAAACAAATTACAAATAATGGAACCATGTATTATTCAGGTAACAACGAGGTCAATCATCGTTACGGTGTTGCTATCTTAGTTGCAAAAAAGGTCAATTACTCTGTGATAAGTTTTACTCCTTATTCTTAGATAGGATCTTATCAATACAACTACAGTCTAAAAAAGGTATAGTAAATTTTATTCAAGTTTATGCTCCTACGGCAGATAAAGATGACGACGATATCGAACTGTTTTACCATGATTTGGAACAAGTCTTAAAATCAATGAAAAAACATCACACTACAATAGTAATGGGCGACTTCAATGCCAAAGTTGGCCAGGGAAGAGTGGATGGATATGTGGGGGAATATGGTCTAGGAAATAGAAATGAACGTGGTGACCGTTTGATACAATTTTGCCAGACGGAAGAATTTGTAATAGCCAATACACTTTTTAAGCTACCAAAAAGAAGGTTGTATACATGGAAATCTCCCGGTGATACAACGAATAGAATAATCCGAAATCAAATTGACTTTGTCCTTATTAGACAAAGATTTCGTAATTCTATACTGTCTGCCAAAACTTACCCTGGAGCAGACATCGGTTCAGACCATAACCCCATAGTAGTCACATTACGAACCAAATTAAAACTGGTTAAAAAAACCCACACAAAGTAGAATTGATATTAAGAGATTAAGGGAACCACAAACAAAGGAACAAACTGTAAAAACTCTTACTGAAAATATACGTAATGCCCAAGAACTGAATAAAAGTAGCTATAACATTGATCAGAAATGGGAAAATATAAAAGCAGCAATAATTAAAACAGCAAATGAAAACTTAAAACCAAAGAATAGAAAACATAAAGATTGGATGACTGAAGAAATACTACTATTAATGAATGAAAGAAAATCATTCAAAACAAAAAATCCAATTAAATATAATGAAACTGATCGATTAATAAAAAAGAGAATAAAAGAAGCTAAGGAGAGAATGTTACATGAGCAGTGCCAAGAACTAGAAGAAATTGAGAAAAAATATGACTTTTTTAACATGCATAAAAGAATTAGAGAATTAACAGGAATGAGAAAAACACTTCAAACTAGGCAACTAAGAGATGAAAGGGGTGCACTTATAACAGATATAAACCAAAAAATGCAGAGATGGACACAATATATAGCACAACTATTTGAAGACAAAGAAAGAACAGAAGCACCAAAAGAATTTAAGGATGATACTGGGCCTGACATTATACGAGAAGAAATTGAAAATGCAATGAAACAAGCTAAAGATGGTAAATCTCCGGGGCCTGATGAAGTTCCTATCGAATTACTTAAAATTGTGAATACTGAATCTGTTGATCTTCTTTTGGATCTATTCAATACCATATATAGAACAGGTATAATACCTAAAGAATGGCTCCAATCAACATTCATACTGCTTCCCAAAAAAGCCAATGCAAAGGAGTGCAATGAACATCGCACCATAGCCTTAATGAGTCATGTCTTGAAATTGTTTTTAAAAGTAATTCACAATAGAATACATAAGAAATTAGATGAAGGCATAAGTAATACACAAATGGGATTTAGGAAAGGTCTGGGAACACGAGATGCACTGTTTGCAGTAAGTGTTCTTTCGCAGAGATGCTTAGATATTAATCAGGAAGTATATGCCTGTTTCATTGATTTTGAGAAGGCATTTGACAGAGTGCAGCATAACGATACCAATATTCTAATAGGACGTATGCCACATTTTTTTTGATTTAGCGTTTTTAACAAAATTGTTCCAATAGGTCTTATTCCGTCTAAATCTAACATATCGATACCAATATTCTAATAGGACACATCCCACAAATATGTTAGATTTAGACGGAATAAGACCTATTGGGACAATTTTGTTAAAACGCTAAATCAAAAAAAATGTGGCATACGTCCTATTAGAATATTGGTATCGATAATCGACTTAAAGAAATTTTATTAAATAAAAACATAGACAGTAGAGACATTAGAATCATCTGTAACCTCTATTGGAATCAAACAGCAAAAGTGAAAGTTGAAAACGAACTGACCAAGGATATCCAGATTTGCCGTGGGGTCCGCCAAGGGTGTATTTTATCACCCTTGTTATTCAATTTATACAGTGAAGCCATCTCAGAATTAGCGCTTGCCGAGATCAGTGAGGGCCTTATAATAAACGGTGAGCCACTTAATAACATAAGATATGCTGACGACACCGTCCTTTTGGCAGGAACACTAGAAGAACTGCAACACCTTGCTGAACAACTAAATATATATTGCAACGATTATGGACTAAAAATCAATTTGAAGAAAACCAAGTTCATGGTATTTATAAAAGCACAAAACATCAAAGTTAAGCTAGTACTAGATAATACAGAAATTGAACAAATATCTTTGTACAAATACCTTGGAGCATGGATCACAGAAGATACTAATCAGACAAAAGAAATAAGATGCCGCATTGAAATTGCGCGGTCAACTTTTAATAGAATGAGAAAACTTTTTTGTAATCGCGATATCAATATATCGCTCCGGATAAGAATGCTTCGATGTTATATTTTCTCTACCCTTTTGTATGGAGTTGAAGCTTGGACACTTAAAAAATCCAACATTAAAAACCTAGAAGCATTCGAAATGTGGTGTTATCGACGCATTTTGAAAATATCATGGATGGATCGCAAAACAAACGAACAAGTTCTCGAACAACTAGGAAAACAATGCGAAGTCTTAAATTCCATAAAGATCAGGAAATTGGAATACTTGGGGCACATCATGAGAGGTGAAAAGTACGAACTACTAAGGAATATAATGCAGGGTAAAATCAAAGGTAGAAGAAGCGTAGGAAGACGTAAAATCTCGTGGCTACGCAATCTCCGTGAGTGGTTTGGATGCAGTTCAATTGAACTATTCAGGCGAGTAACCAATAAAATTATAATTGCCAGAATGATTTCCAATCTCCGATAGGAGTGGAACTTGAAGAAGAAGAATATATATATATATATATATATATATATATATATATATATATATATGTATATATATATAATTAATGTTTCTTGAGTGTAGGTTCAAGAAAGATATATTACATGTGGAACTCACTAACTGAGTTGGTTAATGTCTGTGTCACGTTTTACGTTTTGAATCTTGACAAAGGCAAGGGTTTCCTGCCGAAACGTTGATTGCCATGGAAAATAAAGTCTAGTTTCACATGTAATATATCTTTATTAAACCTAAACCCACGAAACATTAATTTTATATTAAATATAATAAGGTTCAAGAAACTCTAAACTACTATATATATATATATATATATATATATATATATATATATATATATTCAATAAAGACCAACTGAAAGCGACCAAAAATGTCATTAATTCTATCCTTATCAATGGCCTAGTAATAAAACATCTGCACGCATTACCAGCTCTTTTTTATTACCAATTGATATTTAATATTTCTTCTTTGTTATTACAAATTAATTAAATAAGTAGTAAAATTTTATAAATAAAAATGTATACGTAGTTATAAATATTTTTTAAAATATTTTATGGATATGCGCTTTTTAAAAATTTCATCTAAATGACAATGTTGCAAGTAGAAAAGATTTAATTGATTTAATATAAGTGGCTCGTTGTAAGTGATGTATAGGAATAAGTAGGTGTTTTTTGGTAAGCCTCTGCGTTAATATTAAGTTTGATATACAGTTAATGAGTCTTATAAAATCATTAAAATGGATCATTGTGGAGTAAAAAAGAGATCTATTAATCCACGGCAAACAGCAAATTTGTTTTCTTTGCTAACATTCACGTAAGTATTTATAATTGTAATTCCTAAGTAGGAGAGGGTAGTTTTAGGGTGTTTCAATCGTAGAAGCAAAGAATATAGACACATATCACCATATTTTCTAGCGTTATTCTTTATCAAATCTTCTGTTACTCCAGCGTCATTTTCATGTAATAAAGTTTGCAGTTGACTCAGCGTGAATAATTTGCTATTTAGAAGCAATTTGGTATAACAATTAGTAAAGTTTGTTTCACGAAAAATGGTTGAGTGCTTAATGGTAACCTGAGTTGATCCTATTGTGTATACAAGAGTCTCTCAATAAATTACCGAAGTACACAGGGTCGCACTTCAGAAAGTTTGTTATTTAATATATTTCATTGGTAGCTCTATAATACACGATTATACAAATTTATTAAATTATTTCATATGGTATTTTCAGGTTGTTCAAGTGAATATACTTGATAATTGAACAATTTTTAACATGAAGAAAGTAGGTTTTTTGTTCTACGTGATTAATTGTAGTATATGGATCTAAATTCAGAAAGGTACTTTCCTTCACACTTTTTACAGGCTTAGGACTGTCAGCAAAAAACTGGCGTGTTTAATAGTTTTTGCTCTTCCTAATCGGATATCATTACAATGTACAGTAATAATAGTTCTATTTACAGTATATACATACAAACGAATACATAATGTACAAAAAATAGATGAATTGAAAAAAAAAATATAGAAAAATATATAAAAAAGTTATTATTTACAAAAAAAAATACCCAAAATAACCAAAATATATTTATGAATTCCTAAATACCTAATTCTGTTTCGCTGTCGCTATCCTCGTCGAGATTAATAACAACTGGTTTAATTATGTGATTCAAACTAACATATGAATTTTCTACGTTCATTACATGGCGTACTGAATTTTTCCAACTTTCTTCGGAGATATCATCAACACATTTCCTTATTAATTCGACTACACTACCATTTAGAATCGGAGAAACATTCTGTGACCTAATATTTGACTTTAGTTGGTACCACATATGCTCTATGGGATTAAATAAACAATAGTAGGGCGGAATCCGTAACACTGTATGTCCCATGTCCTCGGCAAATGCGTCACAAACATACACTTTTTTAATAGAAAATAATTTTAACACTTCTAACAGTTCATTTTTTAAATAACTTTCTTCAAAATATATATCGTTTTCTAGCAGGTAGTTTTGAATTTCAGTTTTCGTGTTATTTGCACTTGGAGACTTATGTAATTGACGACTGTGGTAACTTGCATTGTCCATTACTATCACACTAGTTTGAGGAAGGTTAGGTATAAGACAATTTTTAAACCATTACTCAAAAAGCTCTGCCGTTGTATCCTCATAGTAGTCCACGCAGGAATCTTTAATGTTCTTTGCAGAAAGCCATAAGGCATTTGGGACCCAACCATTTTCTGATCCTGTATGTAAAATTGATATTTTTTCCTTTTGTTTGATGGAGCTTTTGTTTGACATCTGTTGGAAGAATCGGACCATCCTTTGAATGGTGTTTCATGATTGTCAAACCATGTCTCGTCCAGATAAATTATTGGTCGATGTTCTGTACGGTACTTTCTTATGGAAGTTCTATATTCAGTACGCCACTTTTGTAAACAATGGGACTCCATAAGCACTTGCCTTTTGTCAATTGTACGATATCTGAAGCCCATTTTAGACAAAATCCTCCAAATACTAATGCGGCTACAGTTTATTTATGTATCATCATTAGTAAGCCGTTGCTCCTCGTACATTGTGTAAATTTTTCGTCTTATTAAGTTCTTATGACTTTCGTCAATACATTTGGTAAAACCGGCATCCTTACGCTTCCTTCTTGACATAATGGTATTTGATTTAATTCTTTTCACTGTGGTTAGAGGTATTTTCGTTAAATCAGATATTTCACTGGCAGCAGTATTAGCAGTAAGTCCTCTTGTAAGTAAAGAACTATATTGTTTTTACGATTTCTCTAGCGCCAGCAGAAAAATGCTTTTTTTTGCTGGAACACTGGAAGAAGCACCATCAATGTTTTTCCATGGACGCCACATAATGCTGTTTTATAGGTATAAATAGGTATAACACTGGGAACACTTGTAGCACTTTCAACTAAATGAAACAAAATGTATAATTAAAAATTTCTCATCGGTTTTATATACTTTTACAAATTATACAGAATAGAGGGAACCTGTATAATTATTCCAGGAAATACTTAACGATCAACAAATTTATTGTGGTCATTAAAAGATCAACCATTGAGAGTAAAGCTCACTGTTAAAATGTTTACAACTTTATGAAATAAAATGTATTCTAATCGTTTTTATAATTTTATACGATTCTTTTATCGTCTTTATATTAACAGGAATTTATGATACAAACAAGATAACTTAGTAACACTCCACAGTAGCTTCAATTTTACCTGAATACTTACCTGCTCAACTAATGTTGACTAAGCCAGGGTACTTGCAGTCGGGTTTTATTGCAATGATTAAGCACTCAACCATTTTTCGTGAAATAAACTATACCCCAATACTAGAGGTTTGAGATCACTATATTAATGGCTACTCTAAGTTCTTTTGAACTTCGCCTACAACTTGTAAACTTAATCACCACATTTAAAATATTAAAATTCAATTTTGGATTGTTTACCAAAAATCAAGATGAACGCTTCACAGGTCACTAGTTCAATCTTAAAAAAGAGAACTTTTCTACAATATCAAGACAGAACTTTTACCAAATAGAGTTTTTGAATGCTGGAATAATCTTAATGATAACATTGTCTCTGCTTCCTCTACCAACTCGTTCAAAAACAGACTTCACCGTTGTATATTATAGTTAAAATATTGTTTTACTTTTAAACTAAAATTTTAATTTTTTAATTTTTTTTTGTAATTTACTAGTAGGTTACTAATGTAATTTCTTTCTTTTTGGGCTTAATAGGGACTTATCCCTCTACCCTTGCTTGCGTATAATAATAATTAAAATGTTCTCTATTATGTGTTACTCCTAGTAATTATAGAACATTTTTGTCCGTCTCAGTTCAGATATTGCGAAGGCATGACATGGTTTTTTTGTTTCATTTATTTTAAGCTCTCTTTTTTGTGCTTCAGGATCAATTACCTTGAACGTTTCCGTTAGCCATATCTTGCCTCTACTAATAATGGCGACATCATCTTCATATGCAGTAATTTGTACTGTTTTGGTGTTTATATGTATGGCCGGTTACATTGGTTTTTCTGATGACTGCTTCAAGAACTAAGTTGAACAGTATATTTGAAAGTGCGTCTTCCTGTCTCACCCCCATGTTGATGTCCAACAAGGGAGACAGTTCTCCATCTACTCTAACTGCGGCTTTTTAAATCTGCAACGTCATTTTTATGAGGTTGATATACATATCATTTATATAAAATAAACGAAACAAAAACTAAGTACATGACCATCAAAAGAATACCTGAGAATGAAAATAATACAGCAATAGACAACTATACTATTGAACGTGTAGATGCCTTCACATATCTGGCCACAGAAATCAATCAGAAGAATTCCGTAAGTAGCGAAATTAATGCACATATTTCCAGTGAAAGTCGTACATATTATGCTAATAAAACATTGAAGAAATCGATATTATTAGACAAAAGATCCAAAATGACTATTTACAGAACTTTGATTAGACCCTTAGTAACCTATGGTTGTGAAACCTGTCACCTGAAGTCGACCTGAAAATCATGAATATAAGACAATGGGGGAGAGGTGTCCAAGAGAGATCTGAATGGAAAGACATAGCCAGACAGGCAAAGACTCATTAAATGATGCCAAAAGAAGAAGAAGAACAAGAAGATGACATGGCTCTTCTGCCTACTCCTCTACGGCCCTCTATTTTCATTCAATTATGCTCTGTGAGGTAACAACCAACTCTAGTTAGGTTGGTTGTTACCTCTTAGAGCATAAAGTTCACTTTTTTGATCTGGAAAATTGTACTTTTCCTTAAACAAAGTAATCCTTTATTATCGACCTAAATAATGTAATTTTAAGGGTCATCTGACTCCATTATGTGGTTAGTTCCAACTACTACATAGACATTTTTCACTGATGGTTATCTGATAAGATCGAAAACGTTCTGAAACTTTATAAATTCATTTATTTTCTATCATTTTTAAAAATTTTGATAATTAAATTTTTTACCATTTCACAAAAAGAAGTTTTTATTTCATTGTAAGTTTTTTTAAACCATTGTATACAGCTAACCACTGAGAATTTTCCTTTTAAATTATAACATAAACATAAGGAAATTTCCAAACATACAAAATATTCCATTCAAAAGAAATACCATTCTTTCAAAGTTTAACAAACAAAATAGTCTCCTTTTATTTCATTCTACCTTTTAATTCTTCTTTTTGGTTTAAAATTACTTTATCTTTTATTTGCCGTATCTCATACATGTATAATAGACATTTAAGTGAAAGTTTTTGTTTTTTTTCAGATATTCTTGGGAGTTAATCAAAAGAGCATACCAGCATGGACTTTCTGAAGATGATTTGTATGAGGTTGTGAAAAATTGTCGATCGAAATTTCTAGGAAAAAAGTTAGAGAAGGATTATGTTAAACAACAACAAAAAAAGAACCCAAAATCGGTCTTTTTAATTTTGTGGCAATTGTTCGGATTGAAATATTTCCTAGTTGGATGCTTTGATCTTTGTTTCCGAATAGCTAGAAGGTAAGTGAAAATATGTTATATAATTGTTTTGAATAATAACCTTTGTTATAGCTAAAGAAAGACTTATTTTACTAATAAGTATTTTTTAATAGGTATTTTTGATTTTTGTTTCGATACAGGGCAGCGGCAAGCCGCTTATAAAGATTGAACGAATTTAAAACGGATCATACAATTTAATATATGTCTGTTTGAACTGCATTTGAAATAGTGGACCAATATAAAACTTGGACAAAAATAAATCCATACCAGGTGTTAGACATTGTATAAAATATCGTTCAATTATCCGTCTCCTCTTAGAACCCACCATAGTCTAAAGCGCAGCTCAAAGTCAATGTTGCCAATCGCCGTGTAATAATCCTATTTGCGGATCTTTTTAAGAGTTATATCTTTAATAAAGAATTATATTCTTCGTATCTTTAAATAAATCAAATATTTGCCTATATTTTTCATTGTATTTACCAATCTACTACAACAGACTAATAACAAAAATAAACTTAATGGTTTGTAGTTATTTCAGAAGTTTGTAGTTATTTTAGAAACATCTAGTAAAATGATATTGGCAACACCACTCAAAATCTCCATCTCCGATAAACGAAAGAGGGGCTTGCCTAAAGGCGGGCACTCACGATACTTTAACTACACACTTGCTTTGATCATATTATAGAAAATCGAAATGGCTTGATTTAGCGAGAATTTTTTAAGAGAGTTTTTTAAATTATATAAAAAATAAGAATGCTTATAGCGAATTAAAGGTAAAACGTATCACGATAGAAACGCCCGAAAACAGGCAATGGACATTCTAGTTTTAAAGTTCCAAGAAGTAAACAAAGATGCGAATGAAAAGTATGTAAGAAAAAAAAATTAACAATTTTAAAACATCCTATAAAAGAGAATTAAAATTAGCAGTGCAGTCCAGTAAATCGGGTGCAGGGGCAGACGAGATTTATTTTGCACCAAAATCTTGGATTCTGTGCACCAGAATCTACGTTTTATTTGAGGTTTCTTTTTACGCTTAGTTATACACAAAGTAAGAGATGCTAAAATGATGTGTGGGCGCACCAGATATACCAACAAATTGAACAACGCCTCTGTTCGATTATATCGAACGACACTGCTGTACCGTGAGTGGCCGGCTTTAGGAAGCAATAGGTGGTTTGACCACCTATAAATGAGTTCTTAAATTAGTTCAGAATCCAGCAGCCCGCTGAAGTATTGGATTTTTATCATATAATTATTTGACAATGACAACCTTTTGTTGGTCAACCACCTACAGCAGAATTGAGCCGAAATACATAATATTTCGTATGTTTCGAATTTATTTCGTTCAATCTGTATGTATTTCGACCTCTTTAGGTCTCCTTAGAGTTGTCTAGCCACTACTCTGACACGAAACAAAATCTATCCCGTCGTAGACAATAGTTATCAAAATAACTCTTTACGGACGTAACTACTCCGTAATCTAATAAAAAAAGAGAAATCATACAATTTCTACCTGGTTAAATCGAATTAAAATTTTTACCTCCGTGTTTCTAAAATTAGCAAAGCAAACAGCTTGATATATAATTGTATATTGATTCTGATCCGAAATGATTCCAGTGTCGGGTAAACACTTTCAGTGTAATACCTGTACAGATTCCATCTCTAACCATGTAGTATAATGCAGTACAATTTAACAATATTTGGTAATTCTTTTGCCTATTTCTCGCCTTAATTAAGTCTTCCTCTACCTGGTTTTTAAATCGTATTCTAGTCGTGCCTCTCCTTCTGACTCTATCCGTTCCTCGTTGGTTATAAATGTATCTTGGTGGCTCTATCTCATTTATTCCAGTTCATCTATGTAGTCTAGCCGCTCCGTTCGGCTTGCGGAGATAAGAATACGGCCGAGAAGACCCTGCCTGTCGTAAAAGGCGACTAATGGAAAGGAAATGAGAGGTGGAGAGCCGTCGTTCGAGGTGTCGGGTTTGTAGAAACGCGCTCGAGATGCAGTCATTTCTGTTACCGAGACGAGCATCTTGTGGGACCACTTTACTTTCATTCCACAAGAGCCAGGTTAGGTTGAACGAGCTTGGCCCGTAAATACCTCTCACGGCCTTACACCACCGAGAGTGGTGACGGTGTCTCGGCACGTACCTACCTGGAATGATTTAAGAGTGGTAGAATTATTGATTTGACGGCATTGACCTGTCTACGTTCGAGGTGCAATTCCTCCGTCTGCGTCATCTTTCCGCCCCTGGTGGTTATCTCCGGACGGGTGACGTACTCGCAATACAGGTATTCCGGGTAAGGTGGAGCCCCACGATGTTTCGGCATCGTGCCGCCTCATTTGATGTCGGACTTGTAGGGGCAGTGGAGTAACTAACGGTCGTATGCCGAAAGGCCAGGTAGTATATAATATATATATATATATATATATATATATATATATATATATATATATATATATATATAGGTAGAGTATATATATATATTACAGGATCCAATTTGTAAATAGAATACATCTTGGAGACGGCTATCGCCGTATTCCCGTCCTCCTCCGCCAATCCTCCCGGTCCAAGGCATGCTCATCCTCCAAACCTCTCGATTCCATTGCTCTTCTAATACCTTCATTCCATGAGCGTCGAGGTCTACCTCTTTTTCTTCTACCAGGGGGCATCCATCTGTGAAGTTTTTGGGGCCAACGTTCGTCAGGCATTCTTAACAGGTGTCCAAACCATTTTAAACCTCTTCTTTCTATGTAACAATAAAACACTGAAAACTTTGTTTTCAAACTTCCACAAAATTTATTTTAACTATTATCACTACAGCTGTTTCAACTCTTCTTTCTATTCTGTCTATGACCGTATCTGTAGCATTCATCTGATTTCTTATAGATTCGTTGGTTTTCCTTTCCAGCCTTGATGTTCTAGCACTTCTTCTCAAATAATCCATTTCAACTGCCAACAATCTTCTTTTCAGGTCTGCATTAATTGTCCATACTTCAGAGCCATAACAAAGAACTGATTCAACCATCGTTTGCCCTATTCTTTTTTTGTTCCTTTTGGAAATGTTGCGATCCCACCATAAGGAGTTCAAACATCCTACAATTTTACGTCCCTGATTAATTCGGTGTTTAATTTTGCTTTCACCCAAGCCGTTCTTATTAATGAATGCACCTAAATATTTAAATTTTTCCACTTGTGTGATTTCCACGTCCTCGTCTATCAACACTTCAAACCTTGCATCTGAATTGATAACTAGATATTCCGTTTTCTTCATGCTGACTTTTAACCCCCATTTTACATATTCTCTGTATAGACGCTTTATCATAAATTCTAGATCATAAGAATCTTGAGCTAGAACGACTTGGTCATCCGCAAAGTTCAGGGAGAACAGTACGTCATTTCCTATTGGGATTCTTATTCCCTGGCAGTGGTTTTTCCAATTTTGAAGGGCTGCCTCAATATATAAATTAAACAGTAAAGGTGACATACTGCATCCTTGTCTCAGTCCTTTAGTTACTTTTATCGGCTCTGATAGTCTATTTCCGATTTTTAGGTAAGTGGTGTTATCCCTGTATACTTCTGTGATTATTCCTAAAAGGTGTGGACTAATGCCGAGTTGTTGTAAAGCTTGCCACAATTTAGGCCTTGGTACTGTATCATACGCTTTTTCTAGATCGATGAAGGCTAGATGTACTTCGTTACCAACCGCTATTCTTTTTTCTATTAATTGTTGGAGTATAAACAAGTTATCAGTGCAAGATCTACCAGGCGTAAATCCGCTTTGGTCTTCGCTAATTAGATGTCCTACATCATCTTGTATTTTTCTATTTATTATCTTTCCAAACAATCTGCCGAAAGTAGGTAGGACACTCAATCCTCTGTAGCAGTTAGGATCTTTTCGATTACCCTTTTTAAAGATGGACACTTGGTGAGCGGTTTTCCATTCAGATGGTATTTTAATTTGTTTGCAGCATTGATTCATTAGAAAAGTTATTCGTTCGATTAGGATTGGACCTCCTGCTTTAAGTAACTCTACAGCTATATTGCCAGGTCCTGAAGATCGCCCGTTTTTCATTTTAATTAGCGCAGTACGGACCTCGTTGCTGGTAGTATTAATGTTACTATTTGTTTGTCTCTCCATACTGTATTCTTCTCCCATATATTCCAATCTGGACTCTTGGAGTAAATTTTTATAGTGATTTTCCCATTTTTCTATAGAAATTAAGTTGCTTAATGAGTTATGGGTGTTCTTCTTTAGATTAGTGATAGTTCTCCATGCTTCCGTTGTCTGAGAACCACCCATTAAATTTTCAACTTGGACACATTTTTGTTCCCAGAAATTGTTTTTTGCTTCTTTTATTTGCTGGCGTACTTCTCCGTTTTTCATTTGATATGATACTCTATTGCTAGATGTTTTATTTGTTAGCCATTTTTTATATAATTTGTTCTTTTCTTGTATCATTTCTTGTACGTTTTCGGTCATCCATGGTGGTTCGTGGTGTTTTTTGTCGTTGTTCTCTGTTCCTAATACTTCATAAGCAATTTTTTTTATTATAATTTTGAGGTTATTGTATTCTTGTTCTACATCCATATTTCTTTCCATCTCATTTAGTTTCCTTTCTAATCTACATTGAAAAAGATGTTTAATACTTGGTTGGAATAAAAGATGCAATTTATATCTCTCCGTTTTGTACTGCGTAGTATTGTTTCTCTGACTTTCGGTGTTATGTTTGTTGTTTTGTTTAAAGGGGCACAAAATATTAGCTAAAAGAAAGTAATGGTCTGTAGCACAGTTAGACCCTCTTTTTACTCTGCAGTCTTGGCACTTAAATTTTGAGTTCTGTCTCATTATTATATAGTCTATGATCGACTTCTGTTGGAGTGAAGGTCGTTCCCAAGTGTATTTATGAATATCTTTATGTGGGAATTGGGTGTTCATTGTTTTTAAACCAAAAAGTTGACAGAACTCAATTAAACTGTCCCCTAAACTATTTTTAACTATTTGTCCCACCACTTCATCGTCTATTTGAGAACCTACTCTGGCATTTAGGTCTCCTAACAATATTATTTCTTGATGGCTTTTTATTTTATCACAGATGTTTGATAACTCTTCATAAAAGGAATCTTTAACTTGTTGATTTGAATCGTCTGTTGGCGCATAGACCCCAGAAGTATTGTTTCGATGCCGTACAATGTGACAGTTATTGTGAGAATTCTTTCAGATATGTACTCATAGTCTTTTATATATTTTTTTAATGATTTTTTTATAAGAATTGAGACCCCTCAATTTTTTTTGAATTTCAAAAAAGACCAGAGTCCTACCAAATTTATATTTGGAGGGGCAGAAACTCAGGATATTCCTTCTAGCCAGCGCAGCCTGTTTATTTTGATGGACCTAGTAATATCAGGTTGACTATAAATACAATAAAAAAATTGCCCAAATTTATAGCACCTAAGCCATAATTCGTTTTTTTAAATGCCTTTATAAATATGTCTGCGTATGTATAAATACGTTCTTATTGCCAGCGTCCATGTTTCTGATAATTGAGGACGAGTTGATGATCTCTGAGAAGATGTCTCATAGAGATCATTTTATGCATGATGAGATAGTTTATAAGATGTATTTAATTGCTTATGCCTTATTCTTCATAAAATGATGAAAAACTCTATAATTAGAAGTTATAAAATCAGATTCTAGATTGGAGGTTTCTGGACAGTATTTAAATGCTTTAATGATGATCATTGCTTGGTTTTACATTTTTAATTAGTCTTGTTTACAGCTTCAATGTATCAAATAATAAAAGTTTTTATGTTTCAGCTATTTAGAACCAGACGCTCTTTCCAATCTTATATTCTTCTTTAGTGAAGGGCAAACCAGAATAACCAGGAGTGATGCCTACTATTACCTCGCCATCGTCCTATTTTTTAACTACATGGTAACACTAATATATGACAATATGATCGTTTATTTCGTCATCATAGGAATACAAATACGAACAGCATTTTCGTCGTTTCTCTACAGAAAAGCTCTAAAACTATCACCGACTGCTTTGGCTGAGATATCTGTTGGAAATATAGTCACGTTGATAACAAAAGATGTGCAGACATTTGAAAAGGGAATTTGGACTATCAATCACGCTTGGATTGGTATAGTTCACTGTTCTGTGGTGACTTACCTGCTATATTGCAGAATTGGGATAACGACGTTGGCGGGGATTGTGTTGTATTTTCTAATTATACCTGTACAACGTAAGTAGAGAAAGTTCTTAAAAATTATATCTGTAATATAATTTCTTTAATTATAGTGACCAATTTTTTCTTTTTCATTGAGAAATTTGGCTTTACCTATTCTGACTTCACAAGGGTGTTAGTACCTCTTTTTCGAGGTCTTCCTCTTTTGCCTCTTGGATTAAATTTGTTTAAATATATTTATTTTCCACTTAACTATATTGACGTTTATAGCATATATCTCTCACTTCATAGTATTTATTTACTACAAATCTCATCTCTGTCATTATAGCGACATATATTTACATATGTATATAATTTAATGTTTGTGTATTAGTGTGTTTTATTTTATTGTGTTAAATTCTATTTTTTATACCGCATGTAGCTGGAACAATGTTTATTTTATGAGTTTTTACCATTTATATCATTATAGTATTCATAAATTTTAATTATGTCATATTTAACCAAATTTACAAAGCCCTTCGTCCAGTAGCACTAAGAGATCGTAGTTGTTTTATACATACAGCAACGTAAAATATAGTGCGGGGTATAAGTTGGGGATATTGCCAATATAATGGTAAATTGTAATTCATTATCAAAATTATTATAGCTTTTAAAAAACATGAAAATTTAAGACGAATCAGACCAAAAAAACATTCTAATTATGGACAAAGTACTTGTACAGTAAAATAGAAATAAGTTTAAAGAAGAAGAGGTATAATAGAGGTATAATAGAGGTATAAGAGGTTTTTCATACATACTTAGTAGTCCTGAAACAGAAAATAATATATACGACTTAAATAATAAATTAACATACGCTTTACTAGAAAGTCAAAACAAATTCTGTCCTAAAACTCAAAAAGAAAAGAAGATTAGCCAAAATAGTAGGCAAATAATGCAGAAAAAAAGAGAAATGAGAAGCGAGGTGGAAACTAAAGTCGACGAACTAGAAAAATTAAATAAAGAAATATCCAAAGCTGTTAGACAAGAAACTCGAAAATACAACCAAGAACAAAGTATTGAGAAAATAAAACCAAGTATTGAGAAAAGACTAAGAACGGGGACAAGGCAGATAATAAAGAGTAAAGATAGAAATGGTCATCTAGAACCAACAGAGAGGAAACCCTTAAAATAGTTGGAAGACTTCTACAAATTGGATCAGAACTACTACCGGAAATCACAATGGTCCAAATAAAACTAGCCCTAAGAAAAGCTAAGAATAACAAATCTCCAGGCGAAGATTGTGTAGTTACAGAGGCACTTGCCTACTTAAGAAAATAAAAACCTCATTAACATAATGCGTTTTGGACAGTAGTATACTCGACAAATGGCACAATGCTGGGGTAATTCTATTGTACAAAACGACAGTCCTATAAGTCTTCTTAGTCACCTATACAAACTCCTTACCAGAATAGTAACCAATCGTCTTGAGAAAAAACTTAATTTCTACCAGCCAATAGAGCAAGCGGGATTTCGTACCTGATTTGGAACAAATGGTCACCTACAGAGCATTAAAACGGTAATAGAAAAGACTATTGAATACAATCAACCACTAGAGTTCTGGCTTTTGCAGATTTCCATAAAGCCTTTGACCAGGTAGAATTTGACAAAATCCTGGAAGCACTACAAGCATGCCGCCATAACTATCGATATACAAGATTAATTTACAATACATACAAGTTGTGAGTAAAAAATTAGTTTTATACCTGAAAGAGTAGCTAATTTTCGTAAACTTGAAAATACAAAGTCATATAAACCTCATTAATTTAAAAATCTAAATTAATTTAGAACATCGTCGGCTACATTTTTAGTTGAACATGGGGGAGAATTAATGACACTACAGAAACATGGTACTTGGAACCAAGTACTTTTTCGAAAAGTTAAGATATTAATGTTCATAAAATTAAAATATAAGATAGGCCTATTTCCTCAGCATCCTGTAATACCAAGCCTATTTACCTCAACTTTGGTCTACCAGGTCTTCTTATTTCCACTGGCTGCACTGTTAAAATCCGCTTTATCATGTTCGATTTCGGACGGTTTCCGAAATAGTAATATGTTTTTGACCCAACTTTTTTTGTACAATTGTATATATTTTTTAACACACTTCTGTTTTAGCTTTTGCTACTGCTACTTTGGCTTCCTTTTGGCGACCGTATAATTTTGAAGATTTTCTCTTCTTAATTTTTTACTTGAACTTCGTTTGACATGTGACATGAACTAAATTTAACATGTTAATTTCCTCAAAAAAGACAAAAAGGCAAAATGCATAGTTACATGCAACAGCAGATTTACTAAGATGTAAATTGGAGCTGGAAGATCAATAATAAAATGGTTTAAATATCTAGGAATCACATTATTAAGCTACGGAAAGCTCGAAACTGAAGTGAAAGATCAAGTGAATAGAGCAAACAGAGCCACAGGCTTCCTAAAAGAAACAATATGGAGAAATAAAATATAGGGAAAGAAATGAAAGGCAGAATTTACAAAACAGTTATCAGACCATAAATTACAGACGCGGGAGAAACACGACCTGGCACAGAGAAGACAAAAAGGATCTTAGAGACGGCAGAGATGAAAATACTGAGAAAAACTTATTATAAGACATTATGAGACAGAGCTAGAAGTATCGGGATATCGGGAAAGAAACGAAAGGCAGAATTTACAAAACAGCCATCAGACCAATAATGACATACGCGGATGAAACAAGACCTGACACAAAGAAGACAAAAAGGATGTTAGAACCAGCAGAGGTGAAAACACTCAGAAAAATTGATGGTAAGACAATATGGGACAGAGCTAGAAGTACAGGCAAGATGGAGAACATAAGAACTGGGTAAGAAATAGAAGAGTAGAACGGAACGATCATATAAGCCGAATGACAACAAATAGAGTAGTAAAGACGGCAAGAGACGGTTCCCCAATAGGAAGACGATCAGTAGGAAGACCACGAAAAGGAAGGAATCACTACTTACTGGAGGCACATTGAAAAGCAGACAGAGTCATGTCTACATAAAAAAAAAGAAGAAGAAACACTGAGTTTAATTACCAACAGGCCTGTTTATGCTCAAATTAGCAAACGGTCTGAAAAACGAAGTAGTTACTATGGAAATAACGCACATTACTAATCATTCGAAATGAAGCAAATACTTTGTCTTCTATCTCATGCTTCGAACGATTTATTCATGAGACCCAATATTGTACTTACTTACCTATATCTTTTTGAATATTCTCAGCCTTTTTCGATATGTCCACAATTTAAATGTAAAATTTATTGTAACATTGTTTATTTAAGGTCCATATCTCCACACCATACAAAAGAACAGAAAATACATAACACGTATAGATTGATGTATCTAATATTTTTCTCTGATATAACCATGAACTTTGTTTTCTTTATGTTTATTGATTGATCAAATTCTTCACTCACTGCAACAACCTTATCTAAAATTCTTTGTAGATCTGTAATATTTTCTGCTATTAGTATTGTATCATCAGGATCTCTAATTTTACGTATGGGTAGATCATTTATTTTTATGCATGCTACTTAATCTTCTAATGCTTTTTTGAATATTTCCTCTGAGTATGTATTAAACAGAGATGGCGACAAGACACAGCCCTTTTTAACACCTCTTTTGATTTTTCTTTTATTAGTTGTTAAATTAATTATTTTTATGGCAGCTTCTTGTTTATAATACAGATTATTTATTATTCTTATATCCCGTATATCGATGTCTTTGTTCTCAGTAGTTTTACAAACGGATTATGTTTTACTGTATTGAATTCCTTGTTATAATCTAGGAAGCAGACATAGATGTCCTGGTTTACATCTAAACATCTCTGCATGAGCACATGTACTGCATATAATGCTTCTCGGGTTCCTTGAGGATTTCTAAATCCGAACTGAGTTTATCCAATGTCTTGATATAACTTTATATATATATATATATATATATATATATATATATATATATATATATATATATATATATATATATATATTGTAAAAACTACGACCGTCAATTTATATTAATAAAGTATTCAACTAGTGAATTCAGAGGTTTATTCGGTCAGTCAGGTTGGCAAAATAAAGCTTTCTGAAGCTTTAGAAATATAAAGCGAAACGTCTTCGATAAACTTATGAAGTAGTTGACTTCTGTTTTTTATTTTGCCAACCTGACTGACCGAATAAACCTCTGAATTCACTAGTTGAATACTTTATTAATATATATATATATATATATATATATATATATATATATATATATATATATATATATATATATATATATAAATATATATATATATATATATATATATATTCTACGATGAATAATTTTTAGAAATACTTTTAGTATTTGGCACATTAGACTGATGGTACGGTGATGGCTACATTGTCTGGCGTTTTTATTAGTCAGACTCTATAGTTACGAATGTTGATAGAATCCATTATTTAGGTAATATACCTGTTCTGTATATGATATTAAATAATTCGACAATACCATGTAGGTATATTGGAGTCGGCGATAAGTTGCAATATTTCTGTCGGTATCTTGTCTAGTCCTACTGATTTCCCAGTTTTTATTTCTTTAATTGTATGTTTTACTTCACTTTCTGTTTTTTCTGGTCCAGTCTCTTCAACGAAATATTCGTTATCTATTCTGTCTCGTTTGTCGTTAAACAGCTGTTCTATATAGTTTGCCCATACTATCAATTTGTTTTCTGTATCTATTACTGTCTCTCTTTTTAGCAACTAGTATATTTTGTTTGTATTCTGGTCGTTTAGTTAATTCCTTTATTTTCCTGTGTAAATTAAAGCTGTCATATTTATTTTGTAGCATTTCTATTTCATCACATATTTCTTTTAACCAATTTTCTTTTGTTATTTGAATTTGTCGCCGTATTTCGTTTTGTGTTTGCTGGTACAATGATTTATTTTTGTCCCTATATGCTTTTCTTTTTCTTTTCTTCATCAAGTTTAGTATTTCGTTCGTTATCCAATCTTTTTCTTCTCTTTGGTTTTGCGTAGATACTTTTTATACTACTACTTGTATATGTTCTTTTCCTATTTCAAAAGATCACTCAAACTTTATTGAACTACTACTAAGACTTAAGACAGAAATAACAGAATTAAATAGGGACTGCGTTAGGCTAATGTCCTTCAGATGAACGAAAATCATTTATACCTATTAATCTAACTTCCCTTTTTACAAAAAGTATGGAAGAATTTAGAAGAAGTGACTAATATTAAACAATATCTGTATTTCTTACTTTAAAAACGTTATTCATTGAAAATTTTTGATTGGGGCGGTACTACGCTGTACATAATGTTTTCATTTGTCGCTAGTATCAACAGCAGTGACCTATCGGGCACCAATTAGCAAAGTAAATACCTGATTCGAAAGTTTTGTTGTGAGAAGAATATTTTTAGTACTGCCTACTAATATCTCGATTTGTCGTTAACACGGAACTTGAACTAATCACTTGCTAAACGTGATATCATTGGTTTAAAGGTTTGGCTTCTCATATTTGCAGTTTTTGGTAGTAAAACGATTTAACCCATTAATTATTTAACCGTCAATTAATTTATGAATATTTTAGAGCAAAACAAGTAATAGACTATAGAGAATCATTTATTGAACGAAAATAAATTATTTCTACGAAGTAAAAATTAAAATTTAAATTTTTATAAAAAACGGTAAATTTAGACTAATAAAAAAAATGTTCCCAATACCGGATATTAGGATAACGGGATAAAATTAGCTATCGAGGCAGGAATCACAAATATATTTATGTTTTTTGTCTACATTGGTGCAGTCGGTGTGGGCCCACTTAAAACACGAGCACTAAATCTATTATTCGCCCAAGGTATCTTCAGAAAAGAGTCCAGTACAAAACATACATTCTGCTTCCTCTTCCCCAATGTCACACTCCATGTCAGAATCATCATCTAAAATGAATTCTTCAGATGAACTAAAAGCTTCCCCTTTCTTAGCACTTTTCTTTTTAACCTTGGTTGTCATTGTCTTCTTAGCAATAGATTTTCCTTTATTTTTAATTTTTTTTTTTTTCACAAAAAGCTCACATTTATCTATTTTCCCTTTGAAACACTTTTATTTCTCTTTTGTTCTGACTTTCTAAGGCATCTTTGTATGGTGTACCCGTAATCAAGTCAACAGATCCTTTTCTGGAATTTCTTTCTTTAATACTAGACTTGTAAAATGAAGTGGTGGGTAAAGGGCTAAAATTCTAATATAATTCGAAGGATCAACGTCAATGCGGCAGATCTCCACAGCGATGAGCAGACACCACGGAAAAAACTTCCTAACAAGCAGTACACTAAGGCTATACATGTAACAGATGACCCCGATCAATGGATAAATATTATTTATCAAACTATCCGAGTTATTAAAGCTCAATGAGGAACTAGAACACATCTGCCAAAATTTTAATGACTATGATGATGATCCTCATACATCGTTATAGTTTTATGTTATTGTTACCGTCTTGTTGTTTTTTCATCGTACCATAAGACCTTCGTTGATTTAAGCAAATTGATTTTTAAAATATTATTTTTCTTATCTTCTCTCTCTATCTTTGCACGACATTAGTGGGCATTGCTTGCTTAAAAATTGAAAATATGTCCCAAAATTAGGATATTGGCAGATAATGGGTGATACTTGATCAAGTACAAATTAATATCAAGTACTTTCACTCATTTCTTACAATTTCTACTGCGCTACCTTTCATTTCACTATCAGCAATTCTACCAACTCCATTCCTAGGAAAAAAGTAATTTCATAAAAAGTGATATTTTTGTTACCTGTCAACAGAGATAAAATATTAAACGTTTTTTCGCCATAAAAAAATAATTATATTTTGTTAACTATTAACAGAGATAAAATTTTAAACGTCACAGAAAAAAAAATTACAAAATGTTTTCTCTTTTTAATACTTTGAATGTTTTAGTGTACTTGGGAAACATATTGAAAAAATTTAGAATACAAACGAATAGATATACTGACCAACGTTTGCAAATCTTTCAAGAAGCACTCTCAGTTATAAAAATTATTAAAATGTATACATGGGAAGACTACTTTTTAGGAAAAGTTGACACTGCTCGAAAGTAAGAAAACGCATTTTTCTATTCACTAAATTTAAACTTGTAAGACGTTCTAAAAAAAATTCTAAAGGATATGTTCGCAAAACTAAACACATCAAAAATATGTAAGGAGCACGTTTTTTTTTATGTATAAAAAGATATGTGTTTAATTATCTGTGTTTCCTCCAACAGCATTAATTATAGCTTTACAACGCCTGTAATGCTTAAAATTAAGTTATCAATTTCGGTTTGAGGCAATAGGATCCATTCCTGTTTAAGAAGATCTTAAGACCTTGTATAGTAGAAACATAATGCAGATGAGCAGCAATCTGTCTCTGAAGCATATCTTATACATGCTCGATGAGATTAATATCTTGCAATTATACTGGACATGGTAAAAGCATATAAACCAATCTCTTTCTGTTGCTGCAATATGTGACGTTGGATTATCCTGCATGTAACGCAAATTGGGATCTGCAGCAGTGGCAAATGGAAGAACAACAAATTCTAAGACACGGCCAATATATTGATATTGTTTTAAAGTGCTTTCAACAAAAACAAAAACAGTTTGATGATGAAAAATTAATCCAGCCCACATCATGATTTGTACCACTATCTGAACGAATACCTTGTTGTGCTCATCTTAATCTGAGTCCACGATTTCCATGATTTCTTCTTCTTCTTAGGGTGCCTGTCCGTTCCGAACGTTGGCGATCATTCTGGCTATGGTACTTTGTTGGTTGCTATACGAAATAGCTGTGTTGAGGTCTTTCTATACCATGCTCTCAGGTTAGCAAGCTAGGATATTCTTCTTCGTCCTGGGGCTCTTTTTCCTTCAATTTTACCCTGCCAAATGCATTGGAATAGCTCGTATCTGCCTTGATTTCCCATAATATGTCTCAAGTACTCCAGCTTACGGCTCTTCACAATGTTGACCAAATCCGCAGTTGTGTTCATCTTCCGCAGTACTTCTTCATTGGTGACTTTGTCTGTCCATGGTATCTTCAGGATTCTTCTGTATAACCATAATTCAAACGCCTGAAGTTTTGATAGAGTTTCCGCCTTCAATGACCACGTTTCTACTCCATACAGAAGCACTGAGTATACGTAACATTTAAGGATCCTTATTTTTGTCTTCAGGGTGAGGTCATGGCTTTTGAACACAGAGCTCATAGCCAAGAATGCACTTTTGGCCTTTCCGCAAATGACGCAACATGGAAACCTTCAATGAACGTCTGGCATGAAGGCCAACTTTATATAATATATTCGTTGAAGTTTGGTCATATACAGTAATGTTGTGGATATTTTCTAAGGCCTCACAGAGTTCACGTGCAATTATATGCACATTTCGACGAGATAATCCTACCACAAACCGATCCTGTCGAGGAGCAGTTGCACGTTAATGACCTCTATGTCTTTTAGCCACGTTAGCAAATTGTTCATATTGATGCCACTATCGCGAAACGACGCTCCCAAATACGTCAAAATGACGTGAAGCATCAACTTGTGAAAAACCAGCCTCAATCATATTCATAGCACTTACTATTTGAACATTTTTGTTAATCGTAAAATGCCTACGCTACAGGACTATGGTTGCGTTTAATAACATTGTTTTAGTAAAATTTTAAATACAAACTATTTTTAAAATTTAAAGCAATTTTTCTTGACAATATGAACAAACTAATCGTACGAATTTGAGGCATCATCAATTTTGCCCTAATTAAACAGTGCAATTGCCAGATTAATTTTCATGGCAGTCTTTGATTTGTAGAGAACAAGTCTTCAAATCAAGTGGTATGTACTTATTAACAAAAAACTATTGAAGTTTTTATTGAAAAAAGTGGAATAAGAGTGGTGTTAATTAGATATTTTTGGTGTGTGTACTTTAACTATTTGTAACAATATTATTTGTTGTAAGTTATACAGTAAAACTACATTGTTATTTGATATTATATTTTTATATCTAATATTAACTAATAATATATATATTAATATAACTTATTTTTTTATGTGCCAAATATATAATTTACAATTTTCAGATTAGAAATTAAAAAAATGCTTGGCCTGCTCTACCTGAGAATCGCAGTGGAAACTACTGGGCTGTTGGTATCAAAACTGGGATTCTACTTACTAGTAATGGCGTATGTTTGGATAAATGACGAAGCAGACGCCACCACCGTTTTTTTCATAATGTCCAATTACGGAACGATTAGTTACACGTTAGGAATTTTAATACCAGATTGTAAGCCATTTGAACAGTATATTTTTACTACGAATATTAAAAATGGGGTGACCATGACTTAAAACTCGTTGACAACCCGGCAAATTTGGTACCAAACTGTTTTGCACAAAAAATCTGCACAAATTTTGGTTTTCCAAACTTGCAGATTACATCATCAAGTGCATTAAAAAGTACTTTTTCATCTGTTTGCGGAAATATTAAGCCATGTGGAGATTTTTTATAAAACTTTCCGATATATTGACCTCATCAAATATCCTTGTCAACATATAACCGGAATCAATTTTTGGTCTTTCCTATTACTTTGACAATGGCAAAGTCCAAAGTTAAAGTGAAAACTTTAACAAATTATTTTTTGAATCAAAGGTTATATACTGGCGTTGTATTACTTTTTCTCCAAAGTAAAATGCTGAGGCAATCGTCACGGAAGTAGCGCCACGAGACACGTCACGTAAGTAGCGCCACGAGATAGCGGTTTTCACATCGATTCGCTACTCTTTATCAACTCGTTTCTAGTCATTATATATTTATACTAAGCAGGTTTAAACTAAAAACTGCATGAAAAATAACTGACAAAGTTTTTTTCTAAACACTTCTCGTTTTAAGATAATTTTATGTAAATACAATGTCGGATTTTTACAATAATTATCAGTTCGACTATTATATTAAAGTGTGACAAAAAGAGTTATTAGTAAAACATTTTGTTTTGTAGTTGAATTTTCATATCTATCCTTTGAAATATATTTCTAAAGCAGCATATATTAAAGATTGCTTTTTACGAAATAGCCGTTACAGTAAACAGTTGGAAGATACGTCATGAGAAGGGTCCGTTATACAACATACATGCTTTATTAATTTTATTTATTTTTTTTTTTAACCTATTCTCTATCCTTCCATTGTTGGATATAGGTCTCCCCAGTTCTCTCCATCTTTCCCTATCTTGAGCTGTTCTCTGCCATGTGGGACCTCCTTGTTTCCTGATGTCATCTTTCCACCTCATCTGTGGTCTGCCTCTTGATCTCTTTGCATTGTATGGACGCTACTTTCCGATGGCATTGTTCCATCGTCCGTCTTGGAGACGTTCATTGTGTCCAGCCCATTTCCATTTCAGTTTTGGTGGTTGTTCTATCGCGTCTATTGTCTTTGTTCTGGTTCTGATCCACTGGTTACGTTTTTTATCTCTAAGTGATACACCCAACATTTGTCTCTCCATCGCTCTTTGTGCCTTCCTTATCCTATCCAAATTGGCCCGTGTAAATGTCCATGTTTGTGCTCCGTATTATACAGGAGTATTATGGAGGAGTATTATACAGGAGTATTATATTATACGTTATTATACCGGTATTATACAGGAGTTATATACCTTGCTTCGTAAGTATAGAGGGATTGTTTGATTTTTTAGAACGTAAGAAAGTTTGCCGAACGCTGCCCATCCCATTCTTACTCGTCTCGATATTTCGGCTGTTTGATTTTCTCTGTTAGCTCTGATTGCTTGTCCTAGATAGATATACTCATTTACCTGTTAATCTATTTATTAAAAATCTATATTTATCTAGATAGTATATATTTAGATTTATTAAAATCTATAAAATTAATAAATCGATAATATATTACTTTATTTAATTTTGAAAATATTTAAATTTTCAATATACAGAAAACATAGTATGAAGCTTCGCGCATTCTGCATCACTGTCTTGGAGTGAATAAACAGACTATTCAGAAGTTGATTCATCATTATCTTCAACAGGTTTTTTTTAATGTGCAGCTCTTTGGGCTCTTGTTTCCATTACTTGGACCTTGGAGTACATTTATATTTGTCATTAGAAATCTCTGCTTGAAAATCTATTACTTTCACACTTTTGCTGATGCTTTGAGAAAGGACCGATACTTTGGTTCGTTTTGGCTTTGTTTCTGTTTTGTCTCATTGTACTGTTTGCCTTCCATGTACTGTTTTCAGCAGCTGTTTCATTGTTACCTTTTAATATTTGAAAGAAGGCAGCAGGACTAAAACTTTTTTCCTATTAAGTGGAATAAAGCCAATATTTTTAAATCAGGGACAACATTAATTTCTTTTATCGATACATACTGCTCTTTAGAAGAGTCTTTATTGCCCAAAGAGGCTTTACTTCTTCCTATGCCATGTTTGTTTTTTAAAAGGATGGACCTTTAATTATGTTTAAGTGGTTGTGTAAGATGTGCAGAGTTGTTGTGACAGAAATATTAAAAAAGAGTGAACCTGTTTGTAGATACTAGAAATGTCGTACTATCCAAATATGGAAAACATAAAACTATTAGATGGTACCATGGTGCAATACACTTGTATCAAATTGCTTTACTAGATTATTATCACCTATGTAACAAGTATTCTGGAAAAAATACGCCTTTATGAATCTAGACTACAAGTAATAAAATCATTGCTCCCAGAATCAGGAACGCCTCGAACTGCAGCTAAAAAACAACATGAATATTTTCCAAGGAAAATAAATACAAAAACGCAGTTTAAACGCTGGAAGAGTAGTAAGAAAATGTTATACGATGTGCATAAAAATAAAATTAGAAGAGAGTACTTATATCATTGTTAGACTTGTCCAGATACACCTGGTTTATATATTACAGGCTGCTTTGTAAGCTATCAAAAAAGTGTGTGAACTTTTGTTTCTTAACATTTTCAAGTATTTGTTTCATGTTTGTGTTCATTAGAATATTATTTTTTATAGACAGGTTATACTCCTGAAAAGTTTCGATAATGATATTTTTAATCTTCCCATGTAACGAAATATTTTAATACAAGGGGTAGAACATTGGGGACTGAAACTAAAGGGGTGGAGAAAAGGCAAACAAAATAATCGCTACTTGTGCGAACGGCACTCCAGGTTTATTAGGAGAGCTGAGGTCGTGGATAAGTAAATGGCAAAGGGGTTTGGATTGGGATAACTACAAAAAATGAAATAAAGGGGTCATTAATCTCTTGGAACAAACAAAATAAAAATAAACAGGAAACACCTCTAGTAATTTAATATAGGGCGCCACTTTGATGTGCCTAATTATAACTATTACAACAACTAGTTGTAATAGGAAAATAATTATTAAAAAATCAAAACATATCTGGGCGACATTTTTGTAACGATAACTTGGGATACTATTTGAAAAGAAAAAAAAGATTAATTTAAAAAAATATACAAAATGTTAAGAAACAAAATTTAACATTTATTTTTGTGTCATACCACAAACACAAATACAGACAGCAGAAAAATTGCTATATAAGCTACAGAGATTCTTACCAAAATAATAAAGAAAACTTACATGTGTTCTACTCTTTTACAAACTCAGTAGATGCTACAAAAACTTACAAATGTTACTGACGTATAAACTGTGGCAAATATAAAAATTATTACAAATTAAAAAATTAACTGTTTAGACAACGAAAGCAATTATTATTATTTTTTTAATGTCTATCTTGACTTTAAATTTTAGACACAGAAAAAGTTACCTGAACCTCACTAAACTTCACTCTGCATGTCTGGGGTCGGGAACTTGAATCATGCTGGAACTATACTGTGGACAGATCCGGGATGACGATCAGGGATAAGAAGATGAGGGCGGAAGCCAGCACCGGCTGGAACACAACCTTGAAAACTCGTCTCCTTCAAAGACTGGAACAAGCACAGCATAATGGCAACATGAGGCCATCTTTAAAAACTAATGTAAAACTGCTCAATACCAAGTATCCAACTGCTACTGTCACTTCATGCTACATTTCCATGACAAGAAAAGAAAAACGAAAAGATTTCGAATTTGAAAATAAATTCGGACTCCAACAAAACTGAACACACCTTGATCAGCGGCCGGCTTTACCGAGAGTAACGAAATTATCCTCAGAAATTCATCGCATAACTTAAAATAACAAAACACAACGGAAATTAAGACGTAGATTATTAATTTGAAAACGTAGTACATCGGGCGGTTTAAATCGAAGAATATCGAGCAACATACGCAGCTGCGAAATAGATAAACAACTCTAAAATGGTTTTTATTACTTGGCGACGCTGAAAGGAACGAAATATTATTTGGGTTTTTAATACGCACGAATACGAAACTGAAATGCATTAAAAATACTCTTCGATTTTTTAAACATACATGAGGGGATTTCAATATACACCAAAAATCAATGAATTGCAAATGCTACACCCATAGGTAAATAATTGTAGTTCTGACAAAAAAGTAGTTCTAAGAGAAGTACTTAACAAAATATAGGCAGCGAACCTATTTAATATAAAATTTTATTAAAATTATAAAATAAAATTTTTAGCTTTTCACATGTTTTTATTTACATGTTCCCGTGATTAATTTTTAATTTTTTTGTTTTTTAATGTTTATTACGAACATTTTTGTACCAAACTTGCACGATTGCCAACAAATTTTGGGTTTGCAAAAACTAATGCATTTTTGAAGATTTACCGCTTGCCTATTACAACGATATTATAAATCTTGTACTGCACTTTTTTATTTGTACAGCTTCTTAAGGATACATTACATTGGAACAATTAAAAAAATATTTTTATCTTTTGTAAAATGTTTCTTAACTTTATAGGTATTACTACTTCTTATGAATTTTTATCAACAACAACGAGATTAAACTTAGTTCTACGAGCAAAGGAACTGCCTATACCCAAATTAAAGGAAAAAACCTCCAGACCAACTATACATATCAAGGATGCTACAGTTTCGTTAGGCAAAGAAAATATTTTGAACAACATTAGCCTCAAAGTTATACCAGGGCTTACATTGGTTACTGGGCAAGTAGGATCAGGCAAAAGTTCCTTACTAAAATTGATGTTGCAAAGTTATTCATTAACTGCTGGTAACGTTTGTGTAGAGGGTAGAATATCATATGCTTCACAAGATCCCTGGTTGTTTCCGTCTTCTATCAAACAAAATATTTTGTTTGGACAAGATCTAGATCCAAAAAGGTAAAGGTGTTTTTTGTACAAAAAAAATTAAAATAAAAACAGCGTCTATTCAATATATTACTGAGTTTTAAATATTTAATGTTGACAAATTAAGTTTTTCAGTATAACTGTGTATCAAAATGTTCTTTGTATAAATATAAATAAACGGAAATTAGTTATTCCTACCTGAACCATACACCAAACAGCAGAAATAGTAATCTATAATATATCTAATATAATGTCAATAAAAATTCGATGCAATATTTTAATCAGGACCTCACGATCTCTTACAAAGCATTTTAAGTAAATTAATACCAGCGACTAATTATTTATTTATTATTTGGAATGACATTCTCATAATCTGGCTGTTTTCGAAAGGAAAATACGACTACAGCGGTATACTTTTGATTAATCAACCAAGTCCAGTTATCAAAGTTGTACATTATATTGCACCGTTTTTAAATAAAAGGAGAGATGCAGCAACTATCTTTTTAAGTTACCGCATTGAGCTGTAGGTAGTCAATACAAAAACCTGTTGAACCATCTTTCTTCTTTACTAGCACTACTGGTAATGTGCAAGGACTGTTTGATGGTTCAATTATCCTTTGTTCGTTCATATCTTTAATGATGTCTTCGGCTTCATCTATTTTCGCAAATGGAAGTCGTCTAAGTTGTTGTCTGATTGGCTGAGCGTCTCCGGTATTAATTTTATGATTTACTATGCTTGTTTTGCCCTTATCCTTCTTATCAATGACAAAACATCTTGAAATTTTATCAGCATAGACGTCGCTTTTTTAGTTCGCTTATCATCAAGATTTTGGTACGTTTTAATCCACATCTCAAATTCATAAATCTTACAGGAACGATATCTTAAAATCTCACCAAAGCTTTTGCCGTTAGAAACTCGGCATTGTCCACATCTTCGACCGTCCTTAAACTTCCCTCTCGGCATTAACCATCAGGTCTGATCATCAAAATTTTCTCACTATTACCGGGTATTGTTACGTCACAAGTAGTTATTAAGCTGATAACATCTTCTTTGTCTTCATGAAAGGGCCACTCTTCACCATTGATCTCGAGAACTCCATTTTTGACATTCCATTCAGCCCCAACTTTCCTTAGTAAATCCATCCCCAATATGAACTCGTCGGAGATCTCTGCAATTAATACTCTGCGTTTCACTGTAATCTGGCGAATGGATACTGACATACTAGCCTTGCCAAATGTATTAATTATCTCACCAGTTGCTGTTCTAAGCTTTACTGTTGCAGGCGATAATTTAAGATGGGCTCGTACTAATTCTGGACTCGCAATAGTTCTTGCTGCACCTATATCTACCAAAAACGATCTACATTTATTATTGATACGACCTTCGATTTACAAGCTATGAATTTTACCGGAGGACGTAATGTTAACAGTTACTATGGAAGCTATGTTTCTCGAGGTGTGCAGTTGCCCCTTGGTGTCGACCCGTTCTAGTTTTCCTACTATTGTGTCGTTTTCTTTCAATTACGGCTAATGTGACCTACGTCACCACAATTCCAATATTTTGGGCTCGTGTCTCTTCGGCATCATGTTACAAACTATTATTCGTACCATTTCTTTCAGACGTTCATCGTTTGGTTCGTCGTCTTCTTCGATAATTCTTACTCGATGAGTCCGTGAAGTTTGACTACCTGTTTCATATTCTAAAGCAATAGCGAGCGCTTCATCTAGAACTTTTGGTCTTTCTAGTCGTAAAGATTTCTGTAATTCATTGTCTTTTAACATTGACAAAGATATCCACAGCAATTTCTTCCAAAATGTTGTCTGGTGCCTCTGGATAAGCTAACCGCACTATACGAGTAACATTTGCTTCAAACTTTTGCAAATTTTCACTTGCTCGTTGCGATTCTACTTCTTAGTTGTGTTGTGTAGACTTGTTGTAGATGGGCATCTCCGTAACGTTTGTCTTGTTGAGTGAACAAGGTCTGGTAACACTTTTCTTGACCCTTAGGAATCGATCTTGGGATATTCGCAGCATCATCTCGTAAAGCAGCAGTCAAGGAAACAGCTTTTTCTTGTTATGTCTAATGATTGGCTGTCGCATAGCTTCAAATTGTCTAAGGTACATGGACCAAGAAGACTTTCCATCAAATGGTGGTAATTTGTATTTCATATAATGTGTAGTTTGGTCTCTAGGAGATTCTTCTTTCACTACGGGGTCTAAAACTATTGCATTAACTAGTAGTAGCACTTTTGTATTGGTTATCATGCTTTCTAACTGTTTGATCTTCTTTTCTACTTTATCGAATGTTTTAGAAACTTCTTCAAATTTCTTATTGTTCTTTCTAGAAGTTTCTTCCCTCATTTGAGAAACATTTTCAAATTTCTCGTCGAATCTTCTAGAAACATTTTCGAGTTTCTCGTTGTTTTGTGTAGCTACTTCTTTAATAATTTGAGACATATCATCAAATCCTTTGAAAACGTTTTCTAATTTCTCATTCATTTTTGTTAAAACTGTTTCTTCTGCTGATTGAAACAGGAATATTTTTGGGTCATCTCTATTCTTGTTGAGAACATTCTTCATTCGTTCTTAGAGGATATTCTTGGACCCACTACAGTCTTCATCGCGTTACTGTTTTACTGAAAGTTGTACTAACAGCATCTTTGGTCAGGCACAAACGTACTTATTAAATGTTCTTTTTTTACAAAGATCGCTACCAAAATACGCGGATGTTCCCGACGAACAATACTTTTCAAAAGTTCGAAAGCCTTTTTTTAGGAATGACTGCTGAATTTATTTTTCAATCTCACGCCGGACACCACTGTACTGTTTTTAAATAAAACGAGCGGTTCTAATTTATATAAATATATTTATTTATAAGTTTACAGCACGAAAATATCTTATCAACTAAACTTAGCTAATATCGGAGCTACTTATATATAAAAGTTATTATGTACTCGAAAATTCTGGAGTAGTCCACCTCTAATTCGTTTGTTTGGCGGGTCAATCGCTCTTGCGCTCGATACATATCTGGAAGCTTCTAGTCGCCTCGAGATACAACCGTTATATGGGCTACGTCAAATGCATGTTCGTAACAATATGTTTGAGTTCAGTAGTACATTTAATGTACGTTTTTTTCTATAAATCAACGACAATTCACTTTTAATTTTAAGCTCTTTTCAAAAATTAAAATAGTATTTTTTTAGATATGCCGATGTGTTGCGGGTATGTGCACTAGAATTCGACTTAAAGATGTTAGAAAAAGGTGACGAAACAATTCTAATCGATAAAGGATCAAATTTAAGTAAAGGCCAACAAGCCAGAATTAATTTGGCAAGAGCTGTATACAGAATCAGTGATATATATCTACTAGATGATTGCCTCACTGCTTTAGATAATGAAGTCCAGGATTATATTTTCAACGAGTGTATACAGACATTTTTAAAAGGAAAAATATGCGTCCTCGTAACCCAAACAGAACGACATATAAAACAGAGCGATGTTGTCGTAATTATGAAAAATGGAGAAATATTTAAAACGACAAAGCCAACTAATAAAAGTCTAAAAGAAATTAAGGACATAAATACAGTTCCAAATGAAAATATAAAAGAAAACGAAAAGATTGAGAACGAAAACAATGAAAACAAAAAACTGTTGGAGGCCGAGCAAACTGTTGAACAACGAAAGAAAGTTTATGAAGAAACAATCCAAAAAGGGAGTGTTAGTTACAAAAACTATAAAAAGTATTTTGGTTTCGGTGGATTTGCCTTGATGGTTATATACTGCATCGTTTGTGGAGGTTTCCAGTTTGCCCAAAGCTATTCCGATAAGTTGTTGACAAAGTGGTAAGAAAGAATTATATAATTTAATAAATATAGCATATTCTTTTTATTTGTTTAGAGATATTTTTTATTATAAAAAATATAATGCAGGTAAAGTTAGAAAAAATTACAATAATTGATACAGTCCTGAGTCTTTAAGATGACTTATTGTGTTTTTAATGTTCATTTTTTTTCCTAAGGTTTCCTTTATATTATTTGGGATAGTGTGCTGCTTTCCTGCTGCTTCATATGCTTTGGACTGAGTTAGTATATGCTTCACGTAAAGTGTTCCTTGACAATTTTCACACATTGGCGACAGTTCGCGTAAAGAGGTGTTTATGTATTAAATTACTGTGTTATAGTCGCAAACGTGTTATTCTCACTTGATCGTATCTATTTGCTGTAGGTGGGATTAGATTAGATTAGATTAAGAGAGGTGGCCTTTCGGCCTATTCCACTGCGACCTTTTCAGATCTATTGTGGCCCTCTAGTCCTAGACAACATTCTCTAGCCTGACCCTCTTTATAAAGTCTAGTAGCTTCGAGACTGTACCTTCCATGTAGCTGTTTGCCGGTGGATTTTCTTCTCCTAATGCAAAAAACCGCACATTTGCCAGACTGTCACACTGACATAAAATGTGCTCTGCCATTTCTTCTTCGAGGTGACAGAATCTGCATAGGTCATCATCTGATAATCCCATTAGCTTCAAGTGCCTATTCAGCTTACAGTGCCCTGTTAGAAGACCTACTATGGCTTTGACTGTTTTCCTATCTTTGCTAATTAGGTCTGCCGTAAATTTTGGCGAATGTTCTCTAATGAACTGTTTCGCCTGTCTTTGTCCTGGTGAATTCCTCCACCATTCCAGAGATTTGTGAGCTACCCACTTCTTTGTAGCCGTTCTTGTTACTGACTTTGCAACGCCGCAGAAGGGTTCCGGTCCAATGAATGGCATTGATGAGCCTTGTTTGGCCATTTCATCTGCTTTTTCATTGCCCTTATGACCCTCGTGCCCCGGTACCCAGGCTACCGTAACCTCCCTACGGTCTCCTAGTTTATTTAGGGCACATAAGCTTATTTCCAACTGGAAAACTGTCACATCCTTAGATAGACTTACCGGGAAATGTATCCCTTGATTTGTCCCTACTATGCCGGCTCCAACACCCTCCGATGTTTTTGAGCCATCCGTGTACCAGGTAGCAGCAGCTTTTATGGGTACCCCTTTATTCCACTCTTCCCTGCCCGGTATCTTAATTGTGAATTTATTGTTAAAGCTATATCTAGTAGCTGTTGCATCGATAGGTTTCCCCATCACAATATCGGCTTTTAGCTCCTCGATTAGCTTTCTGTTGTCAGTACCATGCGTTTGGCTTATATGTCGCTGACTATGGATTAATCTGTGCATCACTGATCTGGCTTCGCCCTGTATAAAGATATGAAGTGGTGGTAAATTCAACAGGACTTCCAACGATGCAGTAGGAGTTGTTTTTATGGCCTCCGTAATACACAGGCATGCTAGCCTTTGTGTACTACCTAGCAGCCTTATTGCTCCCACTTGCTTCGTCTTTGTCTACCACGTCACCGAGCCATAGGTTATCATGGGTCTAATAACCCTTGTATATAACCATAGAGTCATTTTGGGGTTTAGCCCCCAATTCTTACCGCACATTCTTCTACATCTGCCCAGGGACATAGTAGCTTTCTGTGTGGTTTTTATAATGTGAGTATTCCATGTAAGCCTATGATCAAAATATACCCCAAGGTATTTTGTTTCTTTGGCAAATGAAATCTCTGTTCTTCCCAGCACCGGTGGTTTTAGGCCTTGTAGTGCTGTTTTCTTGGTAAAGTTGACGATTTGTGTTTTCTGAGCATTGACTATCAGTCTCTCTTCTTTAAACCAGTCGTCAACTATATTTAGGGCTGCTTGCATTCTCCCAGACACCACCTGAGCAAACCTGCCCCTGACGACAGCTGAAGGTGGGAGCCACAGTTTCACTAATTGTATGATTTCCTTGAGGTTATTTTGTGATGCACTCTATTTGTTTTGCCATGCACGCTTTATTTTTTATTTCTGACTTGAAGTCATCAGAAGAAACCTCATTAATAAGAATAGAGTCCTGGCTGAAGGATGCTAAATGGGCTAGATCATCTGCTTGTTCATTTCCTTGTATACCTGAATGTGATGGAACAAACATGAAGTCAACAGTGATCTTCTTATTATTCTTTAGAGCAATTATTTACCGATGAGTCGGAATCTTCTTCCGACAATGAAGTTTTCACTGCAGAGAGCAAACCTGTGTATTTGCCAAAGTTTTTGTATTAATTTGGTGCTTTTGGTTTTCATTTTTTTGTCGATGTAGTGTGGATGTAATTCCGTTAGAAACTTTGTACGTACATGAGAGTCTTCTGAGTGCAATTTTGTTACGCTGATTATGTCTTGATCCTTGTATATTTTCGAATAGATCCACTACTTGATTGAAGCTTAACAATTGCTTTTCCTTTTCTACATATTCTCTAACTGGTTCTAGTAATGTTTGGAGATTTGATATCACATCTCTTAAGTTTTTGTCATCAAGAAACATGCAGGACACAATGCCTGACTAAAGGATAAAAGATGGAACCACGAAATACAACAATGGAGACCGTGGTTAGGAAAGAGAAGCAGAGGAAGACCACAAATGAGATGAGCTGATGACATTAAGAAGATCGGAGGACACAACTGGAAGCAAGTGGAGCAAAATAGAAAATACTGGATTGATTTAGGGAAGGCCTATGTCCAAAGTTAGATTACTTAAGGCTGAAGAAGAAGAAAGTTCATTAAAGGTGCACATGCTTATCATTAATTTTCCAATTTCGTTCAGTATATGTTCGTCAAATCTCTGTTTGACTCCTGATACTACTTTATTGTCAATGTGGGCATTAAAGCCTTCTAGAATAATCAAGTCTTGAAGTTGATTAAAGGAAAGTTCCTGTGTGCTTTTGATTTATTATCTGCAGGTGCATAAATCGACAGAACATTTATACTTTGTTCTTCTATTTAAGTCCAATCACTGAGATACGTGGGGATATATATTTAAATTTTCTTATCTCTATCTCCTTATCTTTTATCTCTGTATCTCAAGCTTACTGCCACAGCAACACTTTCTATTACACTTTCATTCTCTTCTACTCCACTGTAAACTACTATGTATTTGGATGTAATATTTGGTCCTTCCCTTTCTTTATGGAATCTTAGATGGCACATATGTCGGTTTTATTGTCGTTCAATTATTTAATTGTAAATAAATATTTGATGTTGAATGTCTTTATATATCATGTGGTGAATCGCATCATATTTTTATTTTTCCAATTCGTCTTCCGTGTTCTCTCTTGTATAGTTACCGATAAATCAAACCCAGTACGAGGCAGTTTTCTGGTTCTACGAAGAAGAACTCAACTTCCTACAACTCAACAACGCTAACCTGTTTCTTTAACGTTCCTTCTTTATCCGGGTTTACGCCCAGCACCATGACCATTGAGCTACTTGAGTTAGTTTTAATATGATTGTAAATATTCTGAAGGCTGTTGTCTTGGAATTAATCTTACAAACATATACTGTCATTGTGAGATTCTGCACCTTCGGATTCTGCATTGGATGGAGCTGGTTACGTTGGGAACTAGCGGGCGTGGCCAATGAAAGCTACAATGGAAAACGTATTAGAGGAGAGATTAGATTTGGTTCCATTAAAAACAGAAATAGTTGTCACTATGACAGCAAAAGCAAAGAGATCTTAACCCTTAACTACTGACGTGGATGTTTCAAGACGTAGACTCTGACATGCGGTATGTCATACCGTTGACTATTCTCCTTTGTTTTTAATATGAATTTATCTTATATCACTGTATTTATTTTTTATATCAACTACGGAATGATTCTTCACATTGCTGTAGCATAATATACTGCTACAAGTAAAATAAACTTTACTTTTTCAAGAATATTATGAATGCATGCATAATATTTAAAAAAATGGTGGACGTTACTACAAAATCGTTTATAAACTAAATTACAAGAAAAATTGATTACTTGTGACTAACAAATGGTAAAATAATGTTAAAAGAAACAGACTAATGATTTAAATTTAATGAGAATGAGAAACTAAAATACAAAATTCTGACAATACCCAAAAATTACAATAAAATAACTTCATTTTGCGCGCAAGGTCCGCAATTTCTCTTTGTACACTGTAAGCACACTGGTTTTCCACAAGAAAAGCACACATAAAAAGTCTTTTGCTTTAATGCACTTGCGCATAAGTAACACGTCTTTTTTTTGTCAAGCCTTTCTTCAAAATCTGCTTCTTTTTGGCGTTTTTGTCCTAGTATTCGTTCAATACCATGTAATAATTCTCTCGGGATTCTGGGATTTTCGAGTCTTCTTTGTAGATAAGGTAAAACTAATTGTTTCGCCAACTCCTTTGTTTAGCCTTTCCATATTATCTTCTTGTAGTGATTGGTACACAACATGCGAATTAACAGCAGCTATATCAATGATGCGGTAAAAAGTAGTAAGTGGTCATCGGCGAGAACGACGTTTTACAGAATATTTGGCACACTTGGCATCTAAAGTATCGACACTTCCTTTCGTTCGATTATAATGAGCTATAATTTCTGGTTTTCCAGTAATCTGATCCGTGCCTATTGAATGGTGCATCGAAGAAATAAGTAAAACAGCCCTCGATTTTTTTGGCAGATGGGAAATTAGGGATAAACTTTTCGTAAATCCGTAAGTAGTTGAATTTACTTACCTACATCGGGGTGACTGGAATTCCGGAGGGATTTTCCGTTTATTTTTCTTGAGGGTTCCAACATACGTTAACTTCTTTACTTTTAATTGTTTTACTAATTCTATAGAACCAAACCAATTATCAGCTGTAATATTAGGGTTAGTTCCATAAATAGGTTTAGCAAGCCGAAGAACAGATTGAGTTGGTTTATTCATCTTCTTTTCTTCCTCAGATAACCCAGTTCCGTCAGTGTCCTTGCCTCCATATTTATAGGAATTGTATAAGTAACTTATTCGTGCATCAGTCAGGCACATTATTTTAATGCCATATTTCACAGGCTTATTAGGCCTATACATTTTAAAACTACACCTTCCCCTAAAGCCGACCAACATTTCATCAAAACAAATACATGTGCCTACGGAATACAGTTTTTGACAATTTGATATGAATATATTAAATATGTTACTAATGGCTGCTGTTGGATCTATCTTTTTCTTTCTTCTCTATTCAGAGGGTTATCAAAACGTAAACATTTTAGAAATATTGCAAATCTTTCTTTTGACATAACACATCTGAATATATCTCTACCAGTGCCATCTGTAGCAAATATAGAATTTATATCTTCGTCATTGGATTTGAAAGCTGATGAGTATAAAAGCAATCCCAAAAAGGCTTTTAGTTCTATTTCATCAATTTCATTTAGTTCTGGTCTATTCATTCTTTTATAGTTTTCACGAATTGCACGTAATTTATTATTTGTCCATTTACTTATTTCTTGTAATATATCCTGAGAAATAAGGAAATTAAAAAAAATGATGAAGTTTCGTTTCTTACATCTCTGGACCGCACAGCTGGTACTTTTGTTACAAGGTTGTGTAACGGAGTTCTTACATTTTTCGAGGGTGCTGTAGTAGACCACTTAAAACGATTTTTGCCATAAAAATATGACTTACCATTATCATTTAAATGATATTCGTCTTCAGAACTTTCCGACTGCTCACTTTCGGTGTCGTGTGAACTTTCAATACATAGTTCTTCGCTTGCATCGTCAACATTACTATCACTAAAATATTCTAAATCACTAGGTACTTCGTCAGCCCATTGAGATAAAACAGCCTCAAAATCATCATCTGAAAGCTTTACAGTTTTGTGGCTAAATTTAGAACAACTGCATGAACTTGCTGCCATACTAACAGCAAAAGAATACACTACACTGTTTTTAACTATAGAGTTATAGCGTAGACAGATTAGAGTTGTGATGAACGAGAATGCGATACTTTGGGCTCAACTTACACAGGAACCTTAGAGTGACTGCTCACATGGAGCGCATTGTTAATAAAGCTGGTGCAGGGCTTACTAGAATGTTGCTTTAGAATTTCTCCAGAGATTAACTCAAATCTAGGTGTTTTACTGAATATGTTCTTAAACTGATTAGATTTTTTATTTTGGCAATTGCTAAGCAGAGTAATATAAGAATAAAGCTTCAAATAATTTTATTATTAGAGCTTAGTATCCAATATTTGATAAAATACCATTTTTTGAAATGTCACATTGTTATAAAACTTTAATTTAAACTTATTTTCAGGGTCGATGATCAGCAACAAGTGATAAATTTAAAAGCCAAATTGATGCAGCATGATATAACACCACATGGCCCACATCAAAACAAATCATTTACGTTACTAAGGAATGGGAAAGTATTAAAAGAGGACATGAAAGATTTCAACTTTATAAATATCAATAATGTTAGTAACAGTATAAACGAGTTTAAGAATGTAAATATTATTAACAGTAATCTTACGAAAGAGAATATTACTCACCAATTCGATAAATCCCAAGAAAGAGCCAAAAATACATTTAAATGGTACTACATAATGCTTTTTTCTGGAGCAGTTATGGATATTATCAAAACTGGAATAATATATGACATATGTAGAAGAGCATCGATAAACTTACACTATGCTTTAGTAAAAAATATTTTGAACGCTGTAATGAATTTCTTTGACACTCATTTTATTGGCAATATTCTTAATAGGCTATCACAAGATTTGGTCATGATGGATGAGAGGCTTGGATATATTCTCAATGAATCTTTTGGGGTAAGTAGATAGATACTTGACTTCTCGTGTCATCTTTTACAGAAGATTAATTATCTTCATGTTTATTTTCACATAATCAATTATCGCAATAATTCTCTCTATCTTAATTACTATACGAAGACAGATTTCCGAATTACTTTTCTTACCGTGGTTTTCTTCATTTTTTTTTTGATAATAATAATGAGAAATGAGGTACCAGTGGTCTCAATGTGTGATAATGTATAAAAATTTTAACACTATTAAATGTCTGCTTAAAACGTCTAATAAACATTATATGGACACAAAAGTCGCTACTCACATTCCTTAAAATCGCTACTCACATTCCTTAAAATCGCTACTCACAAGTTCTAAATGATGTTGTGTTTCTGCGACTAGTTTGGGAGGTTTCAATTTATACTTCTTCATCAGGCTTATAAAACTAAGAAAGGATTGATTCTCATCTGTCTTAGCTGTACCTCCAGAGGAGTAGATCTTACATTACTATTCCCGGACAACTTCCTCATTTAGAGTTCGGAATATTGTAAATCTGCATTAAGTTTATTCATTAATTTTAATTTTTTTATAATATCTTTATTCTTTGAACTTTAAATGGTACTATTTTACCTAATAATAAAAACCCGTCATTTTTCTAAAATAATTACTGAATAATATTTATGGACTAAGTGTCAACTACAGGTTGAGGTTTTAAATCCTCCCTATCAACTCTGTTGTACGCTTTTATATGTACACATTTAATCAGAGAGTTCGTTATTGATATTTCATTGTTATATATTTAAACCTAGGACATTTATTCCGTCAGGATGGTGTCCTTATTACTTGATAAATACATATAATTGAAAGCCGAAGTACAGAGTTACATCTCTAATAGGCAAGTAAATTACCTTTATAGGTAGAGTCATTAAATTGTTTCTTATATTTTGTAAATTCAAATCATCAGGGATCAATTGTGTATAACCAGGGAATTTTTTTAGTATATAAGTAACTAGGTTCACTGTACATAAACGGTGGTGGGTAGCTGTAAGGAATTATACTGTATATATGTGGATAAGTATTAAATTTGTGGTGAAGACTAAATATTTTAATTAATACCTGTTTTTCTTTTCATTTCAGCAAAAAGGGTATACAGCTTTGCAAGTTGCCTTGTTAGGCATATGTTCATACTTTCCTGGCGCCCAATCACATCTTAGAGCAACTTCCATAGTTTATCACTTTTATTTACATTATTTATATATATTTTTTATTACTTTGTCATTCATTTGCTTATTTTATGGTCTCTGTGGGGCAACAAATTGGCTAAATCCCCTTTTGAGTGTCGAGTAGTCACTCTCCGGCACATTCTGCTAGCCAGCTTTAATTTATTTGGCTTTTTGGACATTGGCGCTCTGTTGTAATTTGTTACATTATCCCAAATACTTTTGTTACATTACACCTACACATATTTGTTACATAAGGAACATATCAGCCTATTCTTGTTTTAGTTTGTTTAGCTACCATAAAATTACTCATCAACCAGTTATCTATTTTTAAAAACAGACACTCAAAACTTAAAGTAGAAATAATTTAAATATACCACAATATTTAGAAACAAAATTGTTTGCCAAAGTACTATTGTATAATGTAGTACTTAGATGTACTAAAAAATTATATCAATATGATAAAACTCTTTTACAATAATTACACTGCAAGGATAGAACTCAATGAAAAGATGATCAAACCAATATGCATAAATTCTGGAGTACGACAATATTCCTCATAGTAATCGACTGGGTGAGCTAACAAGTGCTAACGGTACCTGCATAAGCTGAAATTGAAAATAAATAAACTGGCTGTAGTTGCAAAATCTACTGAGCTACATAAAAACGGAAACAAGATGAAAATATTTACAGAGAACAGTATAGGAAATGAAAATATAGCAGTAACGGCTTAAGAGGTCTTTTAATTTTGCTACCTGGGGAAAATGATGGACAGTATAGGAGGCACAGAAACTGACGTGTAAAGGAAAACAAGACTGGCAAGAAAATATTCTATAGCCTAAACAAGATTAGTAAAGTTAAAGCAAGTTAAAGTAAATAAAATAAAAAATAATAAAAGATAGGAACACATGGATGTGAAAATATGGAAGAAAAATAGGAAATATGAATAGATCTAGTTGAGAAATTACGACCAAACGCTACTCATACTACACAAGATTATCAAATCTGTCAGTATTACACTGAATACATGACAATTGTTGTCGAGCCTTTTTCAGATCAAGGCCATACTTCAATAGGAAGAAGTTAGTAAAAGGATTTATACTGCAAATAGACATATAATGGTCTACTTATATATCTTAAATTTAATAACATAACAAGAAAAAAGAAATGTCAAATATACAAAACTCTGATAAGATCGGTGCTTGCATATGGATCAGAGACTTACAGTTGAACGAAAAATGTAGGGACATAAATAAATAGGGACAAAAGAAAACAATGTATTGCGTAGAAATAATTTTGAATTATACATAGCATACAAAGAAATTGGCATCATAACATTTATAAAGATTGGACGTTTGCGTTGGATAGGACAAGTCGAACGAATACAGGAGAAGAAAATACCGAAAAAAAATATTAATGCTATATAAAAAAAATTAATGATATATGGAATGTAGAACATAATCTGAAAACTCTTAATGATTATTAACAGAAAAAAAAACAAAGCATGGAACAGATCAGAATGGGGGAAAATCATAAAATAAGCTAAGGCCAACAAAGAGTTGTCGAGGTAATGATGATGATGAATCATTACATCCTTTAACTTCTTCTTTTTGTTCACTTCTCTACACTTTTATTTTATTTGTTTTAACTGTTATTGTGTATCTAATTGTTATATTTTTTGTAGGTTATATACATGATGTGTGGAACAGTGATACTGATCGTATCGGTTAATAATCTGTTTATATTTTATACAGTTTTTGTAATAATATGTCTTGTGACATTGGGACGAATATATTTGCCTTTCAACAGAAACATGAAAAGGCTAGAAGCTTCCAGTAAGTATAATAATAATATAATATAATAATAACTACTATTTAATAAATTTAGAATAATATAGTAATGATAACAATAAAATAGTCTCCTTTGAGAGTTTTTTGTCAGTTCTTCTACCAGGCGCAGCCCCCTGCGAATGGGGGATACTTTGTGGGTATTCGTAGTGCCAATACCCATATTGTAGTAGGGACACCTTGCGTGAATCAAAAATTGACACCTGGCAGTAGGTATAAAATGCACACTCATGAAAATAATGGATAACTTATGTTTAGGGTCGCTGCCTGGGGATCGTCAGGACATGTCTGGGGCCGGAACTGGACGGGACAGCATGCGGAGCGTCGGTGGTAGGGTATTGAAGAGACGAGCCCCTGTCATACAATCAGCTATAGTCCAACAACAACAACTTCAAGAGAGAGAAACAACAACAAGAGCTTCACTCGCTAAAGATGCTGCCCTGGAACATCAGCCGGTGCTCACTCAAGCGGGACGACTGAGGCAGCGCATGAAATGGACTATGTTCATGAATGAAAACATTTTGCGCTTTTATTATAAGGTGTCAAACCTTGGAAGAGACAATCGGCTATCCACAACAACTGTATGCCAAATTTTGCTGACAGTACATAGAAACCAAAATATGGAGATTAGCATAAAGGCTGCCAGGCATTTGACGGAACTGATTATAAAGAAGGCTATGACTAAGTAGGAAAGATCCTTCACCAAGAACCAGCTAGCAGACTGGAACTTCTCTAAACCGACCATCTCCACGTATTATCAATATGTATCTGACAGAATGCTTGAAAACTACAACTATAAACTTTAAACAACTATAAACTTTACTGGGACCACGAGGGAGTGTGAACCATATTGCTAAATCTGAATAATAATAAAATCGCTCATATTTCGTTATTAAAAATGTGTTTAAGGCGTTAAATACATTTTCGTGTTCTACACTTCACTACTCATTTGGTATTGTAAACTGCTCTTAAAACATCATACACGAAGTGAAGTAAAGAGAACAACATTACCACGATATCTAGAGAAAAGAGAACTTATGGATATTGTAACGATCCAAATAACAATTATTTTTTCTTTATTCTATTTAATTTAGAACGCAATAATTTTTACGCGACCCTGTATATATGACTTCATTTTAAAAGTATGTATGGTCATTAAAACTGTGTTGATTGTCGATTCTCAAGAGGTTATGTAAACTATTGTCCAGAACTTTCTATTGGTTGGATGTATTCGTACGATTAAGCATTCGGTTGAATTCGAGAGGGATAAGCTTGCTTTGTGAAAAGCAGCGCGTTATTCCTGTACAATAAAAGGTGTACGTATGTAAAATTATGAATAAAATTTCAGTATATAAGGACTATATTAAATAGGGCTGGTTCAAATAAATTAGGAAAGGTAGTAAAGGGTTATACAGATAATAGCAAATCAAGTTTATAAAAAGTCTTACCAATACTGCTGCTACACACACCCTCGCGGTATTTATAGACTTTCACTTGCAGTTGTTCTTCGTACGGTGGGAGCTGTCTTTACCGGTTTCTAAACACATGTCCCACAATAGTAACACTAAGATCAAGAGATAGACCACATTCGCGTTTGTTGTCTCTACTATTGAAAAGAGGATTCGCGTTATTTTTTTCGTAACTATCACACAGAGAGAGAGAGAGAGAGAGAGAGAGAGAGAGAGATAATTTCTGTTACTAGTGGTGTCATCAGTCGAGAGAGTACGTCTGTTTCTTAGTGGCAGTCAATAGTAAAGAGAGTACGTCTATTGCTAGTGGTGGTCAACAGTAGAGAGATAGTCTTTCTCGTTTGCTATTTTAAAACTGTCTGTATTTATAAAGGAGTAGGAATGAAGTGACAGTAGGAAGGGTTGCAGTGGGGTAATGGTTTAAACATTGAGGTGAAGAATGATAGGAATTAATACAATAAAAAAATGTCATGATTTTTCACATTGAACAATTCCATTTCTAATCGCAGAGTGGATCACTTGTGTTGGATTTTCCCGAAAAAGTCTATCAGATAAGCCATTACAATTTTTGTATAGGCTATGTTTTTTGGATTTAATATAAGTAGGGCACTAAAGGGTGTCTAAAACGTAGAGTTTATGACAATTGTATTTTGCCTGTAACTACATATGGAATGGAGACCATGCTAGAGATTAGTTTGATAGACAGGATTCGAAATATCGACATTCGGGAAAAAATAACTTCTTTCTTATAGTAAGGCTATCCACCAGGGATGATTGGATTTTTCTTAGAGGTAGTGTGAGCTGGACGGCTAAATCTGGATAATAAAATGAAAGTAAATATTGTTCTTAAAATACTCTAAAACACGTTCCTTGTCTTAGTTTATTAGCAAATGCTAATAACGGATTTCCATCAATGTGAATAGATCGGATTCTTCTAATAATAATTTTTTGGATCACGAATTTAAAAATTACACTAGGTAGAGAATATCCTTGACTTAGACACTGTTTACTTTCAATTTCTCCCCACCTTATGTTCATATAATATTTTATGTATTATTTTTCAGCTCGTAGCCCAATGATTGGTCACCTAAACGCAACCTTGGAAGGTATAACAACAGTAAGAGCGTATAATGCTGAAAATATCCTGACAGACGAATTTGATAGACACCATGATTTGTTCACTTCCACATACTACACCAGAAATGTATATCACCGCGCATATGGATTCTGTGCAAGCTTCCTTAGTACAACTTTATTAACTATGCTTATTTTAACGTTTATTTTTATGGACACAGGTAATATATATTTTTAAGCCTACGTGTATAACGTTCAGCAATAAAAAGTGAAATATAAAATATATATATATATATATATATATATATATATATATATACAGGGTGGTGAATCGTCAAACGGTCCATAGGAAACTCAATGGGAAATTCTAAATTGTTGAATTCCTGCTTCCCTAATTATTTTACACCCAAAGTCATGGGAAACTATTTGTAGAGGACTCAAATATGTATCGAAAACAACTGTTAAAATTATTCTACGACTTAAACGTATTCCAAAATTTTGCTAAAATATAATACATTTTTCTGTGAAAAAATGTGTATTACGTGTTGCGTTTTGTCATATTATTGTTTCTGATATTTGACAATATTTAAATCAATTATATTACATTTATCTATGATTTAAATGGCCAAAATTTTGTGATTTATTGTTAAAAAAAAATTAGGTTGATTAAAAAATGTACTCAGTTGAGGAGAAAAAAGCAATAATAAAAATTTTTTATTCATGTTTTATTATAACACTTGTTATAGTTTTATGTTTATAAATTATCATATATTATTATTAGAAATAAAGATCACAGTAACAGTATATTGGAATTCATTGAATTGTTGTATAACTTAACATGGAATTAAATTTTAGTGAATTAGAATATCTTACGTTAAATAAAGATCCGGTAGTGGCAGGAAAAGGTTCGCGCTATTGCCTGAGTACAACATTATGCGATTTTTCGTCAACTGAGTAGGTACATTTATATTGATCGATTTGTAAACAATATAATTTATTGTTCACAAAGTAATAATGTTCATTAGTAGTAGTATTTAGTAAAACTCATTGTTTATAATTTAATCATAAAATAAAAAAATTGACAATTCAAATTGTCAAACATCTGACATAAATATGATAAAACACAAACGTAATAATATATATTCTTGCATTACGTGTGGCCTAACTTTTAGGGGTGGCCTGAAAAATGTATTATATTTTAGCAAAATTTTGGAATACGTTTAAGTCGTAGAATAATTTTAACAGTTGTTTTCGATACATATTTGAGTCCTCTACAAATAGTTTCCCATGACTTTTGGTGTAAAATAATTAGGGAAGCAGGAATTCAACAATTTAGAATTTACCATTGAGTTTCCTATGGTCCGTTTGACGATTCACCACCCGGTATATATATATATATATATATATATATATATATATAGTGGTGAATCGTCAAACGGGCCATAGGAAACTCAATGGGAAATTCTAAATTGTTGAATTCATTCTTCCCTAATTATTTTACACCAAAAGTCATGGGAAACTATTTGTAGAGGACTCAAATATGTATCGAAAACAACTGTTAAAATTATTCAACGACTTAACGTATTCCAAAATTTTGCTAAAATATAATATATTTTTCTGTGAAAAAATGTGTATTACGTGTTGCGTTTTGTCATATTATTGTTTCTGATATTTGACAATATTTAAATCAATTATATTACATTTATCTACGATTTAAATGGCCAAAATTTTGTGATTTATTGTTTTATTATTGTATTTGTTATATTTATTGTATAAAAATGTTTTATTCATGTTTTATTATAACATTTGTTATAGTTTTATGTTAAGAAATGATCATATAGTATTATTAGGAATAAAGATCACAGTAACAGTAATATTGGAATTCATTGAATTGTTGTATAACTTAACTTAACATGGAATTAAATTTTAGTGAATTAGAATATCTTACGTTAAATAAAGATCCGGTAGTGGCAGAAAAAGGTTCGCGCTATTGCCTGAATACAACATTATGCGATTTTTCATCAACTGAGTACATTTCATTATATTGATCGATTTGTAAACAATATAATTTATTGTTCACAAAGTAATAATGTTCATTAGTAGTAGTATTTACTAAAATTCATTGTTTATAATTTAATCAAAATAAAAAAAATGACAATTCGAATTGTCAAACATCTAACATCAATATGATAAAACACACATGTCCTAATATATATTCTTGCATTACGTGTGGCCTAACTTTTAGGAGTGGCCTGAAAAATGTATTATATTTATGCAAAATTTTGAAGTACATTTGATTCGTAGAACGGTTTTAAAATTTGTTTTTAATTCAGATTTTAGTCCTCTACAAATAGTTTTTTATGACTTTTGATCTAAAATAATTAGGGAAGCAGCAATTCAACAATTTAAAATTTCTCATTGAGTTTCCTATGGCCCGTTTGACGATTCACCACCCGGTATATACATATATATATATATATATATATATATATATATATATATATATATATATATATATATATATATATATATATATATGTATATATATATATATATACATGTATATATATATATATATATATATATATAAATATGTATATATATATATATACACATATATGTATATATATATATATATATATATATATATATATATATAGGACTTATACGCACTTGATTAAAACGATAAAAATAATATTCAATTTTCTATTCAGTATATCGATCTGTTTTCTTTAAAAATTCTTTTGCAGAATATAATGCTTTATTTAATAAATATTCTTCAAATTATTTTTAAATTTATGTGTTTCAATAAGACCTGTATATTGATATACAGTGTGTTCCAATAAAAATTTCCTCCATTGAGAATTCCACTACTAAGGAAAATATTTATGGTAATGAAAGAGGTGCCATAATCAGCGAAATACCTACATCTGAACCCGATTGTACGATTTTACAGATCAAAAACAATAAATCTCAGCTTAGAGATCTGGTTTTCAACACATCTGAAATAACTTTGGAAAAATGTTGATATAGCTCCAGAAACTCTCCTGGAACATCATCAAGCTATATTAAATTAAAAACCATTTCCCCGTTACCTAAATGTTGTGTTTACATCCAGAAATCGCAGAAGCAAAAAGTCTGAAATTATCACTAGCTCTACATATAAAGATCAACTAATTGAAGAAAATGAGAAAAAAAAACCGCAATACACACTCAAACTGGATGTTGGCGATAACCTACCACCACCGTAAGCGCTTCTGGGAGGGAGTTTAAAAAGAAAACCAGATGTGAACCTCAGACCGGCAGAGAAGATACAAAAAAATGAAAAAGCTGTTTTCACACATGAAACATTTAAGGAACCTATTAAAGAAGACTGGATTAAGTGCATATCATGTGCTGAATGGTGGCATGAACATTGCAGTGCCTACGCAGATTTTGGATCTTATAAATGTGATCTATGTTCATAAAATTTCGTGCGCAATCTTAAGTATAGTTTCCACCAGAGGAACATGAAGGAACTTTTGTGTTTCTGTTGCTTGTTGCTTAAAAATGTTTCGCAAAGTTCCTCAAAGTTCCTAAGTGTTTCTTCTTGTTTCGACAACAAATGTTGCATGTTTGCGATTGTTGGTGGTTTCCAGTTTTAGCGGTAAACTTCAAAAGAAATACGGCAACAACAGGCAACATAAACATATTGTTGTCTGAGTGGAAACAGATACAGCAACTTGTAGTGACTTGTTTTTGTCTAGTGCAGCTCGACGGTGAACGTGGAATAATTTATAGTCGGTCGGACGTGTGAAAAAATAGAAAAATGCCGTTCATGTGGACAAATGAGTTAGTACTCGAATTAATCGAAAACTATAAGCTTTGTGAGTGTTTATGGAATACAAAGCACGCCAAGTATAAATGTAGAAATGCGAAACACGATGCTTGGACAACATTGGCAGAAAAAACAGGCTCAAATATAGAAGAAGTGAAAAGAAAAATGAAAAATGTTATTGCACAATTCCATAGAGAAAGAAAAAATATCGTACGTTAAAAAAGTCGGGAGCCGGCGCCGTATTTATTTCAAAATGGTTTGCTTATGAAGTCTTGTTGTTTCTTGCGGGCAGGAACAAAGTTAGAAAATGTACTGAAAAAGGGATAACTACAAGTGAGGTACGTATTTTTTTTTGTTTTATTTGTAATTTTTATACAAAGTTAAAAATTATTTTGCCATGGAACCATTCCTTCGGGTGACATAAAATATTGAGCAAATTCATCTCGAACTTGTTTAGCTTCCAACGTTGAATTACGTGCTTGTTTTTGCAGTGATGCAAACATATTGTTCTTTATTTCGTTTCTCCAAGAACCTGGGATCCTTTCGCCCGTATCTTTGTCTTCTGAATCAAAGGTGCCAGGAGGTGAGTATGACTTTCGGGAATGTAAACTGCTTCTCAGAAAATTATGGAGATATACACATGCAGCAACAGCTAATTCCACTCTGTCGGGTTCAAGTAGCATGGGTTTTCTTAATACCCTGAACCTAGCAGACATGATTCCAAAAACGTTCTCAGAAATACGCCTAGCGCGTGACAAGCGGTAATTAAAAATTCGTTTTGAGGAACCTTTCTCTTGTGTGCCAGCGTAAGGTTTCAATAAGTTTGGTGATAGGGGAAAAGCGTCATCTCCTAGAAAAACAAACGGAACAGCTTTTGTTCTTCCTGGCAATGGTTCTAATTCAGGCAAATTGAGCGTGTTTTGATATAACATTTTTTTGAAATGAGTACTGTCAAACACTCCACCGTCGGATATACGACCTTGGCTGCCCACATTAAGATACATCACCTCATAATTTGCGTTGGCCACAATAAATAACACCACACTGAAGAAGGACTTATAATTATAAAATTCACTGCCACTATGTTTTGGTGCTTGTATCATAATGTGTTTGCCATCCATAACCCCGGCACATTTAGGAAAATTCCAAAGATTAGCGAATTGATGTCCCGTAATAAGCCACTCCTCTCTACTCTGAGGCATCTGAAAAATTAAAAACCGGTAAATTTGTTTAATCAAAACTTCTCTCGCTTTAAATATAATTTGTATTTCATATTAAAAGAGTAAGAAGTAAAAATATATTTTTAATTTTCAGGGTGAAGATGATGGGTCAGACAGCAGTGAAACGGACAGCGGGGAAGTTGAATCGCAAGATTCCAATATAGCAGACGAGGCAGATGCAGTAACTGATTCTTCTTTTATTGTTGGAGAGGCGAACAATGACGTCGACACTCTGAACAAAACTGTTGCTGCTATTACTGAAACACCTACAAAGCCTAATGAAAACAGAACCAGATCTCCAACGCCTTCCACAAGCAGCACTACAAAAAGTAAACAGGGACCTAGGCTCTTTAAAAGTCCAAAAACAATGAAGAAAAGACAAGCTGATGTGAAAACTGACGAACGACAGGAAGAGGCATATGTATTGCTGAAGCAGCTACAAAATAAAAAGCCACGTAATCGGTTCCAAATTTTCGGCGAACTAGTTGCTTGTAAAATCGAAAATCTTCAAAATGAAAACGCTAAAAACACGGTAGAGCATTTGATCTCTAATATTTTGTATGACGCATCTATGGGTAAATACGATCAGCCATTTCCATGTTATCAAAGTTGGCATACACCTTCGGCCAATAACAACACAGCAAGATATTTTTCAGATAACCAGAACTATTACTTATCCAGTACCAATGATTCTGTAACATCACCAGCCTCAACAACACACACACCTATGCCATCCCCAAATAGCTCTTGTTATGAAACTAACTATCTTCCCCAAACAGAGACAAACAATTCGACACTCTCAAAAGAAAAGCAGCCTTGTAGAAATCTTCAAGAATCATCTATATCTGATGCGATACGTCTGGCCATGTCAGATGCAGGACTTCATGTAAATTACCAATAAAATATTATTTGTTAAAAAGAATATCTCTTTAATTTTTTAATTAGATTTTTTAAATTTTTTATTTAGAATTTAAATAGAATATCTTGTTAATTTTTTTCTCACACTTCAAAAAATTGGTTTTTATTAAAATTTAATAAAATGTCTACTACTAATTACATTATGTCATTTGATTGAAAAGCTGTATATCTACCGAGGTATCTACTTACCTTAAGTTTATCCTTCAGAACTTCAGCGATTACTTTACATACTTCTGGTATAATTCTACTAATTGATGATACCGAAATTTTGAACAAGTACATCAAGGAATGGTAAGAATCGAATGTTGCAAGGAATCGCAGTGTGAGCAGTAGTCGTTCCATTGGTGAAATGGCTTGTCTATAATTTGTATCTCCTTTCTGTATTTTGGGGGCAATTTGACATAATAACGATTCAAAATCGGTGCTGGGCATTCGTAAAAAATTTTTGACACTACCATTATTTTTATTATTTCCTATGTATACATCGTCTTTTTTTTAATACATTGAGTAGATGCATGCCACCATATTCACTTCTATCACAGAGACTTGGTTTCACCCAACATTTGTGCTTTCTTTTTTTCTTTTTTGCCGACAACACTATATAGGCCGCCGCTGCTGCAGCTATTTCATCATCTTGATCCATGTTTACCAACCGCGGTGGAAACACTAAGTTGCTCTCTCTCAGTTATTAGAAACGACCGGAAACAAAAACTTCTGTCAGTGGAAATAAAAAGTTTACATTTGTTGCTAATAAGTTCCTAAATTTACAAACAAGAAGAAACACAGGCAACAAAAATGTTGCTACATGTTGCTATTTGTTCCTCCGGTGGAAACAATTTTTTACAATCCTAAATGCTTACTTTTAAAAAGCGGGTTTATAAGAGTGCACAAACGCACTTTTCTTTTAGTTTACTTTTTCTATTAAAGTAATAATGTTCAGTTGGCAAATTTTAATTTAATTTTTTGTTTATGTATCAACAGGCTTAAATAAAAATAACTATACTTTCAACGTAATTGGTTTGGATTTTACACTTGATTAAACCTTAAATGCGCATTGTTGAAGCACTATACCCTACACATAACGAATATCTCATTAATAAATTATCGTATTTTCCTGTATAAAATAAACAATTTTCTAACCACATAAAAACTGTCTCTCCAAAGTGATAAGTTTTAGATATTGCGAGTGGTCATGCAAAATATCTGGAATAAACCATTGATAGAACGCCAGGTAGACTCCTATAGTTCTTTTGCGTAGTGACTTTAAAATACATTCTCTACATACAATCTCTAAGCCTTCGAAGACTTGCTTCCACCTAAAAATGATTTTACTTCCCCGCATTTTCGTTGCCATGTTTCGTTTTTATGTCTTATAACCATTCTTTCAAAGTTTTTTGTTGATTGCGGTATTCGTTTTGTCGTCTACTTCTTGGAAGGTAAGCCATCTGTAATACGTTCGTTGCCTTATCTGTTTCTGTGATTCAAGTTCGACACTCCATAATATACCTACTCTTATTTTTTCGTCGGTAGGTTTGCTCTTCCGTTCGCAAAGCTTCATATTAGGCGCCCTGACGATTCTGCTTTGTGGGCATAAGTAGATTTGTGTCGGGATTACATATGCACTATTAAATCTCTGGTCTAGTCTGCTCTGATAATTTTCGTGCGCTGTCGTAAAGACTATTTATATTAAACTTTGTTTCCCTTTCAATTGTTTTGTAGTTTTCTGTTGAGGTTTTAATGTTTTATGTGTATACGACATTTCAGCTCAATCGTCCTAATTAATTTATGTTATTTTTAGGTGCCAGTGCAGGAGACGTTGGCCTAGCCTTATCGCAAGCATTTCTGCTTGGAAGTTTCATCGCCTCGGCAGTGAATGTATATACAGACCTGGAAACAATGATGACTTCAGTCGAAAGAGTATTTGAATACACAGACATTGAAACTGAAAAACAAGACGGAACCTTAGTTACCGGTTGGCCCAAAAAGGGAAGCATATCATACGAATACGTGTCTTTAACTTATAATAAGACAGATCATATCTTAAAAAACGTTAGTTTTGAAGTCAAGAGCAACGAAAAAATCGGAATAATTGGACGAACAGGAGCCGGAAAATCATCTCTTATTTCAACAATATTTAGATTGTATGAAATACATGGCAAGATACTGGTAGATAAAGTTGATATCAAGACGCTACCTCTAAAAACGCTTAGGAAAAACATTGCCATAATTCCTCAAGATCCAGTACTTTTTTCTGGAACTATCCGATCAAACTTGGATCCTTTTAATAAATTTAACGATGAAGAACTTTGGAGTGCTATCGACAAAGCAAATTTGAAGGGTTTTATTACAGAATTAGATTCTAAAATTATGGCGTCATCTTCTAGTTTAAGTTTGGGACAAAAACAGATGTTCTGCGTAGCAAGGGCAATTTTAAGTAATGCCAAAATTATTGTTCTTGACGAAGCCACAGCAAACATGGATAATGAAACCCAAACATTGGTGAATAAAAGTATAAAGGATAACTTTTCTGCCTGTACTATTCTGACAATTGCTCACAGGTTGGAAAATATCGTAGATTCTGACAAGATACTTGTGATGGACAGAGGTGAGGTTAGAGAGTATGATAATCCTGAACAGCTTCTCAAAAACAAGGAAAGCTATTTCTCGAAAATGGTCCAGAAAAGTGTGAAGTTTTAATATTGTGTTATAATATAGTATATAGATTATTGACATGTTTTGAATAGTAAGTAAAATAAAAGTGAAGAAAGTCTTAGTGTTTGATGTCATCTAGAACTTGAACTTTACTATACTGTATGCTGAATTTACCAGCTGACTACCACACCACACAAAGGAATGTTTAGTTCCTTTTATAAATGAATTAATTAACTATTCCGTGAGTACCGGAAAATTCCCAGATATTTTAAAAACATCAAAAGTAGTACCGATTTATAAGAAAGGTTCACGAAACTTATTGTCAAATTACAGAAGCATATCTATTTTAAGCGTTATCGCAAAAACTTATGAAAAAGTAGTGTATAATGTAATTACGTCATTTTTAGATAAAACCAGAATCCTTAGTAATAAACAATATGGATTTCGACAAGGACGTTCATGTGAAACAGCTACAGTAGATTTAATTCAAGTTATCCATGAAAAATCTATCAAAATTTGTACACTTTTGGAATATTCTTTGATCTCTCGAGGACCTTCGAATGTCTTGATCCAGTGTGTTTGAAAGAAAAACTTATAGCTATAGGCATTCGCGAACCAGATAACTCATGGATCTATTCGTACACAACAAATAGACCTCTTTTTGTGTTCATAATATTTCCTCGGAAATATACTACAGTAATTTAGGAATACCCCAGGGTGGCATATTGGGTCCACTACTATTCTTACTTTATGTAAATGGTATGCCTGAATATATCTCAGAAAAACATATATTCATGTATGCAGACGATACCACCATACTTGTCTCAGCGGAATCCGTCGAGTTAGCACAATCTCAGATCAAAAATGTAATACTGTCGTTTAAAAACTGGTGCTACCGAAATAATTTGGTAATAAATCTGGATAAGACAGTGTGTATTCAATTTTCTTATGGTGAAAGAAAAAAAACTACTTCTTTGTTCGAAATTGCAGACAACGTGGTTATTAAATCAGTTAATAGTACTACGTTTCTTGGCACGATTGTGGACAACACTTTAAATTTTCGTGAACACGTAAACAATACTTGTTTAAAATTAAATAAATCATATTTCGCGATATTATCGTTAAAGGACGACGTTAATATAAATGCGTTGGTTACACTATACTATTCTCAAGTGTATCTCATAATCAGTCAAAACATTATTGTTTGGGGACAGGCATCGGAAAGTTTGAGAGTATTTATCCTACAAAAACGAATAATTCGAACAATATTTGGTTTACGCTTTAAGGACAGTTGTCGAGAATGTTTTAAAAATAATAACATTCTTACGCTTGCTTCAATATATATTTATAAATTACTATCACATACGTTCACTAAGTTAAATGTTCTTAAAACAGCAACTGACTTACACGCGTATAACACAAGAAATGCAAGGATACTTTATCTTCCCCATCATAATCACACAAATTTCAGAAAGTCTCCTGAATATGCAGGCTCCCTACTTTTTAATAAACTACCGTCTAGTTTTAAAAATTTTAATTCACTAAGAAATTTTCAAAAAAAATTAAAACAATTCTTAATCAGCCATGCCTTTTATTCAGTACGTGAATTTACAGAATGTTTAACTGAAATTACTTAGAAGATGCCCAATGTCTGTTGCATATTTTTATTTTTGTATTTTTAATATGTTTTGTGCAATTGTTAGCGACTTATTGTTTATTGTCTTTGTACTGTATATTACTTTTAATTGTAACTATGTATTATTTTAATGTTATATCGTAATTTTTGACATACCCTATGCATACATGTATGTAACAAAGGGCAAATAATAATATCTATCTATATATCTATCTACACAATTTGGTTTTCACAAAGGCCTAGGGACGCGTAAAGCTCTTTTTTCAGGGTATTATAGGATCTTAAGGGACACTCTTCAATAATGTGGTCGATGGTTTAGTTCTATTCACAGTCACATTGAGGACGCTGGTTCTTTTCCCATTTATGTAGCATGTATGCACATCTGCCACGTCCGGTTCTGATCCTATTTAGAGTGGACCATGTTGTGCGTGGAAGATCAAAACCTGGTGGCTTGTGGCTAATACAGGACATGTTCTTTTGCCATGGGTTCCATTCTTGGGACCATGCATGTGACTTAATACTGGAAGCCATTGAGTGGGAGTTGATTTAAGTGTACCAGCTATCATCCTTATAGTGCTGTGCAGATGAGTGTCGACCTTTTTTACGTGTGGACTGTGTAGCCAAACTGGAGCACAATATTCAGCGGTCGAGAAAACAAGGGCTAAGGCAGTAGAGCGGAGAGTGGAAGCCGATACTCTCCAGGTGGTACCGCAGAGCTTCTGTTATTTCTTGTACTCAACTTTTGGGCAGTTTTTGTTAAATGCTCTTTAAATGTTAGCGTTCTGTCTAGTGTTACGCATTTGTTACGCAAGTGTTAAGCATTTTTAATATCTCCTTTGACATATGTGGCTGTGCCGTATGTTCGGTGGTAAGTTGCGCCTAATAGTTCAGAGCCCGTTATTTTGCCCCCTTTTGTGGTAACTTCTCTGTTTCGCAGTGAGTTTCCTGTATAGCAACTAAGTCAATGTTGTCATCATTTAATAGTTTTGATAAAAAACTGGCTTTTAGCATAGCTTATGCCTTCTATGTTTATATGACAAATTCGAACTATAGGTCCAATTGGTCTGATTGTACGCTCCTCACAAGGGCCGTTTATTTTGTTTATCATCTTTCGTTGGAAGTGTTGTTTGGTCCCAAGGATTGTCTGACTGCAAGTATGTGCTAGTTCATTTAGCGTTATCCAGGGTGCACGTGTAGTATTCTACGATGGACGCGAACTAGCTCTACACCCCTGTTCATACCTATGCCAATATTATATGTGTGTGATTATTAAATACGATTTTAAAATTGATTAAATAAAAAGTGAAAAAACGATCTAGTAAAATTGAAATTAAATAAATATTACTTGTATACCGATACAAGGATTATTATTAAATGTTTAAGAAAATGCTTAAGAAAACATTTAATAATAACAGAAAACAGTTAAAAAACTGTTCTGGTAAACTGGTGATAGATGATCATCGGTTTTACTTCAACTATTTAACGAACAAAGGAAAACTTCTTGCGGGGAAAAGATATTAACAACTGGACTACGAATGTATTGGTATTGTGTAAATTATTTGTTGAAAATTAGATGTGATGATTTAAAAGTTATTTATATTTATTCAAGCGGTATAAATATAACTTCCTATCTGTATACCGCAGACCACCGCGACATCGCCTCCTGTGTGAGCCTTTATATTTCTGTTTCAGGTTCTAAAAGTAATGTACGATGGCATGTAGATTTTGGAGAATCAAGCGATTGTCGTTGTTTAGCGAGCTCAGCTCCTATATTGCAAAAATATTGCGAATGTTTCATCTATCAGCAATTAATTCTTTTTGTCTCTACTTAATAATACTTTTTATTCATGATACAAATAAACAGATAAGATACCGCGCATGTAGGCGTGGCTTATGTGACGTCAGCTTGTGCTAAATTTCTCCATATTGTGTTTTGATATTTATGTACATTTACGGTTCACATCCAATATTTAATAAAATAATATTTTGAGGGTGCTAAAGGCTTTAAATTTTTCGGAATATGAGGTGTGCCGTTGACAATATGTACAAGAGTTTTGTGCCCGGTACAGCACTATAGCTTTCCAAAAGACAAGAAAAAGCTATTTGAAAACATTTGTGTAGACGCCAGGATGGTTTTAATGTTAAATTTGCTCGTGTTTGCTTGAAGCCCTTTATTGAAAGTAATTATTAACCTAATTTAAAACATGAATTGCTGGGGTATACAGCAGGAGAACATCGTTCTTTAAAAAAAGACGCTTTTCCGTCAATACATTTTCTAAAAAAAATAAACAGAACGAGAAGGCGAATTCTGATAGAACGAACCGGCAACAAAAAAGACTTGTGGATGAATTATTAAATAGGTACGTGATATTTATTAAGTATATTGAAGTGGTAAATAATCATGTCTAATGATTTCATTACTAAATATTTGTTTTTGTAGAACGGAACTTTGTAACAATAGTGGGGACAGTTTTAATGATGCGAAGGCTGGTGCTTCTTATTTTATCTCCAAGAATGCTGTTTTGGAAAAATTACTTACTAGTCGAAGTATTGTGTTAGTTTGTTGTAAAAAATTCCTAACTATAACAGGGTTATAGTGTATATCACTATCTTAACTGTATCACTATCTTAACTGGTCTATCTTTTTTAATATCTGGAATATATGGTCCTGTATACTTTAACTATAATGACTTTGTTTAAGGGTTAATACTGAAGAAGATAATCTGGACAAAATAATACTTGGCCTTTAGATCAGATATTACTGGTACTTCAGATCTAAAAATTACGCATAAAATATTAAAGAAGTCTCAACATTCAAGGCACTGGAAGACAAAAAGTGAAATTAGCAACTAAGTTATTTTCCCACACCATTTTCATGGCAATTTTAAGATGTGGAACAATGGGGTTATTTAAACAAGCAAACTGGCTTGAATGTGCAGAATTTTTTAAATTGGTACGCATATTTTGTTGTTTTTTGTTTTTTGTAAATAAATACTTTTATGTAAATATGGCGATGATATAAATATCTAATCAATTTTAGGTAAATGATTGGTTTAATATTATGAATGTCAGAGGGTATTCGAGTGACTCTAGGGAGCCAAAAAAAGCTTTTATATTAGCTTTAAATATCCAAGATGATCATTACAAAAATTATGGACACAGTGAAAAATCTCCGGGTTAAAGAAAAGAAATGCTTGCTTCCATTCCAAAAAGGTGAAATAAAAGTACATTAGGATTATTTAATAATTCTCATGACACCTATTCATTAAAACTTCTATTTGAAGATATAAGAACTAGATTTTTTACCCAATATATATTGACATCTAGGTTAAATCAGGACGTATCGGAAAACTTTTTTGGAGCTATAAGAGCCAAACGAGGACTTCATGATCATCCAGATGCATTGGAATTTAAATACCGTCTACGA